TTAACGATTCCCTCTTTATCAAATGAAACAAACGGGAACGAGGTTTGAGTGATATAACTAAGCTTAGAGTGCCACCGTCATTTTGGATCTCCGCCTGGGTAGATTTTAGTCACGTGCTAGGCAACGTATAATCAATAACAAGATAGAATTTCATTTCAGGCCTATTTATCAATTTTGTGGTGTGTAACTTTCGCATTTTAGTACGTTGTATGTATGTTGAATCTTCAAATTGTCTTGAAACTTAAAAGAAAATTGTTCTTTAAAAATCTACTGAAAATCGGTAGCTAAAATTGTTTGTTTAGGTGTTATTTGATTTTCGTGCAAACTTGTTACTGGGATACCTGTGGTAGCCCAGTCATAAAATGCCTTTGTTTTTTCCTCCGCCACAAAATGGAAAAATTGCGCAATAGTACCCAGAGGTCATTGGGCCCTCAACACCATGACAACTAACTGTGATCCAATGAGGTGTTCACATACTCATCACGCGTGTTATCCCTTGGCACCATAACAACTAACTGTGATCCAATGAGGTGTTCACATGCTGATCACGCGTGTTATCTTGATGATGATTGACGTTGTCATGCACAGACAGGGCCGGGTCACATGACGAACACGAGATTTTGCTCATGAAACTCTTTGGTCAGTTGTTTTGCATTTCAACGTATTTGGATTGCGATCTCCTGGAGCATTATAGCGCAAACGCGCAAAATACTTACAGACGCATATACAAGTCGTATTAATCGCGGCTAATCCACACTGAAAGATGTTATTGAGCGGTAATTTTGGAACGGATTGAGTCGCGAACGCTTGAAAGCCATGAAAGCCTTGAATGCCTTGTGTGCTAAGTATGCCAATGTCTTAGTTGAAAAACGTTTACTTGTTGTAAAAAGCAAAATCTGAAATCTGAAATCTGAAACCAAACTGCATATACTCTATGCAATCTATTGAACAACGCTACTACCGTGAGACTGAAGAACATAACTATATGGGATGCAAACTGCTTGTGAAGAAAGACGACATGTTGGATTCACTTGATGGCAAGGAACGTAGCTACGATAACAGTACGAATGGTATTAATTTCACGATCAGAAAGGTGAATCTTATGTTTGTTTTCATTGTAGTTGTATTCTTTTTTAATAAATACGTGATCCAAAACCCTGTGTTTTTTTGGGTATAATGTTGTTATGTTAAATATTGTTTACGCAATTGTCTTGTCACAAGCGGCCCAAGCTCACGTCTTGAGAAAAAGCCAACGATTAATTCATGAACGCGTCACGCGTTGTGTGACCCGGTGTTAAGTTACGAGAGGAACTGCACGTTATAAGGAATAGTACAGGGAACGAAGTATGCTCGATTTACAACGATACATATTTCGAAATATGAACATTTTTCTCGTAAAATCAATAAAACTTACTCATACCCTGTGTATCCGTTGTATTTTCTGGCGATTTCTGCCGTTTTAAGCTTGCTTTACCATCACTGTTGTTCACATCATCTACTTTTATTACGTTGATAAAATCTGTACAGACATCACACCAACCAACTCGCGCGCAAAGTAAGAAGACTATATTGAAGGCTTGAAATAATATTGCGATCGATTTTCATCAAGAAATGGGCCAGGAATATTCCACAATAGTGCAAATAATTGTGAAGGCGGATTGCAGAAAAGCGATTGCGTGACGCTCGGTAAGCTTTAAGATGACATGTTATTATATACCAGACGTAAAAACTCTTCAGATTCTTAGTCTGCATTTCGTACCCACTCTGCAGTCTGCAGTCTATATTTTGTATCCGGTCTGCAGTCTGCTGTCTGCATTTTGTACTAACAGGTATCTGTGGCACCAATACAGTTTATTTTTGGTTACATTTATTCGCAAAACACACATAATCTCCCACAAAATACCTGTGAGTGAGGTAATTCGACATTTTCGTTCTTTCCCACATTAATATTCTTCTCTCCTTTTGTAAGAATGTAGACATCACTCACAATGTTTCAAGTAATCCACCCACCCTACAAAAAAGTAACTCTTGCACGCATAGCATGCCTATGTTTTGAAATAGGTGTATGCCCTTGGCCAGACTTGAGCGCACTATTTCAGTATACTAGTCCGACACCCGTAGTATCACTACACTTGATTCCAAGGATCCAGTACCATCCAGGTATCCCAGTTACCCTGCTCACAGGGTCTAGTTATTTCGTCAGTCGCCGGCATCTTTTGTTGCTTCACACAGGAAAAACACACGCGATGAAACGTAATGATCAATTTTGTCCTCAATCTCACGCTATAACAGAAAAAGCTTTTGAACATCTGTAAACTCCGAGCGCTTCGCAGTAAGTGATATTTTCAATGAATCTTCGGATTTTTTTCAAGTTCAAGGATTGTAAATTACAATTTTATGAAAAACGAAGGTTGTTCTGTGATTTCAGTGTGAATCCTTGCATGCCTGCCAGTCGCTGGCGCCGCTAGTTGAAACGAAAACGAAAAAAAAAACTCTTTTAAGATTATCATTGGCTTCTTTTTCACCCCACCACTATTCTTAGCAACAAAGGTCGCCATTTCGTCTGTTTATTGCTCGTCAAAAACTATCAAATGCACTCAAAAGCCTAAAATCTAAAAAACGTTTACAGGAATCGACCAATCGAGCGAATGCCATTCCCCACATCGTATGTATAACTCGTGAATTGCGCATGCGCGCAATTCACGAGTTAAAAAAGAGGCCACTTTCGAATTTTAGATTTTATCCGCAGTAAAATTAAGCTTACACATGTCAATAAGCTTACTGAGTTTAAAGAAGTGGGAAGCTGCGATAACGATTATCGACGGTGTGCGTTTCTTTATGTGCGATTCGTTAATTTCCCCACGTAATTATTTTAAGATGGTTTGTTAAAAGATATCTTCTTACCTTAAGCTTTAAGCTTCTCTTCTGTTGTAGACACAATATGTCACACAACGCTCGAAATCGATTCCACCAACAGCTGCTGAAAAAAACTTGTATAAATTCAACTCAATCAAATAAAAGTGCTCGGTTTCAATTCTCGATTAAATAACTCAAGTTGAAGGATGTTTTTCACATCGTCTGTCTTGTACCCGTGCTTCTGACCCAAAAACTAACTTTCTGCATGTCATCAAGTGAGTTGCTCTTTATGAATATGAAAGACACTGCATTTAGTTTACGTCTGTCGATCCAGTGTTGAATTGCAATGATACATTGTTTCGAGAATTAGGGCGTCGTCTGTCGGATCACGCGATCACAGACAATTATGTGTCAATCACCTCATACCAATGAATCAAAAGCACTCATCCGGATGACTGAGTGCAACAGAAAAATCAAATGTCTACTGTAAAATGCAACTGTTACGACAAGGTTCCAAAATACTACAGTCCCTTGGCCTCTCACTGCCCAAATCGCATTGTTAGTATTCCTTACGGTCTGTTTTGAGCGATAAATGTGAATTAATGTAGAGCGCGTATGGGTCTCTCCATTCTCGGAAAAAGTCAGGCGTGCATTGGTCAGCCTCAGAACAGGGAGATAGAACGAAAGAATTGAAAGAAATAACTGCAATGCCTGTTGAATGACTCAATTTGTTCTTTTATGTGATATACTAATTTTACGTGATCAACTGCATGTATGCGTGAATGTTCCCTTATTTATAAACTCAGTGGATTAAACTTACCTTCGCAATGACTTTTTCTTCGTGACTCAGTGTTTACTGTTGTATCTTCTAACAAGGAATGGATTTCTTAATTAAAAAAATAATAACAAGTTAACATGTACATAGAACCTCATGATCAAACTGTCAATCGCCGTCTTCTTGTTGGTTGAAGTGGAGCCGTTCGTCTGTTCACACGAACTTAATCTCAGTGAAATATTCCTCGTTCTACTTGTTCCATATTTTGATCTATACTTGAGTGCAATGCCTGAGTTCTGTCGGATATGTACGCGTTTGAAGATCAAAAAGGACCAAAAAAAAAAACATGTTTCAAGCTCATCGACAAAGGACGCCGATGGAAATATATCAATTTAAGGGTGCAAGGTCTACCATTCACAAGTAATGGAGCTTACGACTAACACGTGCCATTTTTCACTTAAACTTTCAGCTGAAGCGTCCTTAAGCTACCCTTTGCTTGCAATGCAGCAAACATGGAGTTAACTGAGAACTGACTTAACTTCATTTTGCGATTAAAGAGTCATACGTTTAGTTACGTGATGGAAAATTCTCACCGAAAAATCTCTTTGTTACCTTTTATTGCGTCGCGGAATTACATTCCTCGAGTAATTTGCGCAAAAGATGCGAGTAATCAATCTTCTACAATCTATTCGAGGGAGATTTGTAGATTGCGAGAGACATTTAATATCAGACAATGAGATCAAGAGTTGATCAGGCGGAATGAAAAGACGAAAACTGATATCGCCAATTCCTTTGTTGTCATTTATAGCTATGCCACGAAGGTTACATCAAATGCAAGAACACGTAAAGAACACTTATTTGCCGACGAAACTATTGTCGCGCGTGACAGGTAACTGTATGAACACTAGCCCCCGTTCAGTGCGAAAGTATGCACGGATATTTTCCCGCAGACATCACGCAGACAATCCGCTTGTATCCCGATACTTATTGCATCTGTACATGTAAGATAATCACGTCCATTTTTAACAATGCAGCAAAGAAGACAAATTAATTTCTACACTAACATCAGCGAGAAATATTTCCCAAGTCTTTCCATTTCAAACCATTTCACTTTCGATTTCTGCCTTCATCAATTCTCGAATACAAATTTGACTCTAGCATGTTTGCGTTATACGTCAGTCGAAAAAAACGCTGCTTTCGAAATTCAGATATTACTCTCGGTAAAATTTAGCTTACAAATACTAATAAGCTTGCTGAATGTAGAGAACTGGGAAGCTGTGACAAGGATTATTGACGGTGTGTATTTCTCTATGTGCGATTCGTAAATGTCCCCACATAAGTATTTTACGATGGTTTGTTAAAAGCGTTCTTCTTACCTTTGGCTTTGAGCTTCTCTCCTGATGTAGACACAGTCTGTGACACAACGCTTGAAATCGATTCCACCAACAGCTGTTGGGAAAAAACTGATATGAATTCAATTCAATCATGATAAAATAAAACCGCTCGGTTTCGATTCTCGATCAAATACCTCAAGTTGGAGGTTGTTCTTCAAATCGTCTGTCTGGTACCCGCACTTCTGGCCCCAAAACTCATTTTCTACATATCAACATTTGAATTGCTCTTTACGAATTTTAAAGACGCTGCAGTTAGTTCGAATCCGCTAATCCGGTGTTGCTTTGCAATGATACTGTGCTTCGAGAATTGGGGCGTCGTCTGTCAGATCACGCGATCACAGACAATTATGCGTCAATCACCTTATACCAAAGTATCAAAAGTACTCAACCGGATGACTGAGTGCAACAACAATAAAATGTCTGTTAAAAAATGCAATTGTTAAGACAAAGTTCCAAAATACTGCAATCCCTGGGCCTTTCACTGCCAAGATCTCTTTGGTAATATTCTTTGCTGTCTGTTTAGAGCGATAAATGTGATGTGAATCAATGGAGAGTGCGTATGGGTCTGTCAATTCTCGGAGAGGGTCAGGCGTGCATTGATCAGCCCCAAAACAGGGAGATAGAACAGAACAATCGAAAGAAATAACTGCAATGCTTGTTGAGTGACTCAATGTGTTCTATCAGTGTGATGTACTAATATTGCGTGTCAACTGCATCTATGAGTGAATGTCTCCTTATTAATAAACTCAGTGGATTAAACTTACCTTCGCAATGACCTTTTCTTCGTTACTCAGTGTTAACTGTGGTATCTTCGAAGAAAGAATGGATTTCTAAATAAAAAATTAACAAGTTAACATGTACAGAGAACCTCATGATCAAACTGTCAACCGCTATCTTGTTGTTGGTTGAGGTTAAGCCGTTAGTCTGTTCACGCGAACTTAATTTCAGTGAAATATTTGTAGTTCTACCTGTTCCATATTTTGATCTATACTTGAGTGCAATGCTTGAATTCTGTAGGATACGTGCGCATTTAAAGATCAAAAAGGAACCCTCGACAAAGGACACCGATAGAAACATTTCAATTTAAGGGTGCAAGGTCTACCACTCGCAAGTGATGGAGCTTATGACAAACATGGTGCGTAGTTCGTGTCATAGTTTACTTACACTTTAAGCTGAAGCGTCCTTAAGCTACTCTTTGCTTGGAGTGGTTTCGGTGTAAAGCCATAAGCACCGAAATTGCTTTGTAAAATTATGCAGCAAACATCGAATTAACTGAGAACTGACATCGACTTCATTTTGCGATTAAGGTATGCTACGTTTAGCTACGTGATGGAAAATTCTCACTTAAAAAGTCTGTTTGGTACCTTTGATCACGTCGTGGAATTACATTCCTCGTGTTATTTTCGCAAATGATGCGATTAATCAATCGTGCACAATCTATTCGAGGGAGATTTGTGAACCCCATCCGAAAGTAATAACTTGAATGCTTGTTAAGTGACTCAATTTTTTCTCTAATGCGATATACTAATTTTACGTGATCAACTGCACATATGCGTGAATGTTCCCTTATTAATAAACTCACTGGATTAAACTTACCTTCGCAATGACCTTTTCTTCGTTCCTCAGTGTTTACTGTTGTATTTTCGAAAAAGGAATGGATTTCTAAATAGGAAAAATAACAAGTTAACATGTACAGAGAACCTCATGATCAAACTGTCAACCGCCATCTTGTTGTTACTTGAGGTTGAGCCGTTAGTCTGTTCACTCGAACTTAATCTCAGTGAGATATCCCTCGTTCTACTTGTTCCATATTTTGATCTATACTTGAGTGCAATGCTTGAATTCTGTGGGATATGTACGCGTTTCCAGATAAAAAAAGGAAAAAAATAAAACGTGTTTCAAGCTCGACAAAGGAATTCGATTGAAACATTTCACTTTGAGGATGCAAGGTCTACCACTTGCAAGTGATGGAGCTTATGACAAACACGATGCCTAATTCGTGACATATTTTACTTACACTTTAAGTTGAAGCGTCCTTAAGCTACTGTTTGCTTGCAATGGTTTCAGTGTAGGGCCTGAAGCACCGAAACTATACAGCAAACATCGAACTAACTGAGAACTGACATCGACTTCATTTTGCGATTAAGAAATGCTACGTTTAGTTACGTGATGGAAAAACTCTTACCGAAAAGTCTGTTTGTTACCTTTGATCGCGTCGTCTAATAACAATCCTCGCGTAATTTGCGCGAATAATGCAAGTAATCAATCGTGCAGAATCTATTCGAGGGAGATTTGTAGAATACGAGAGACAGTGAACCTCATCGAAGGGGTTTACATTAAAAATTGTGGGCGTTTAACACCAGACAATGACATTATGAGTTATGATATGGGATGCAGCTCATGAAAGGACGAAAACTGATATCGGAAAATTCCCTTGTTGTCATTCATAGCTCCGCTACTAAGATTACATCAAACAGTACGAGAACACTTAAAGAACGCTTATTTGCTGACAAAACTATTGTCACGCGTGACAGATAACTGTAGGAAGACTACCTCCAGTTTAGTGCGAAAATATACATGGATACAAGTCTGCAGACATTATCTGTTCCAAGATGCGAAGTTTTCTGAAAGTGAAACTCGAAGAAAACTGTGAGCTTCGAGGAACAAATGATGTCCATGGATAAATTTACGAGCATATTTTTCCGTCGAGTAGAGGTTATCGGTGTATATTACCCTTAAATATTTGCAAAACGCGGGAACTGAATTGTTTACGAACAGCTTACCTTTTTGCTGCATGGGATGTCCAGTGTTCTCCGGTACAACTTTTCTAACAAACAAACATCTCCCTTCTTCTGTAACAACCACATAAGGAGTATATAAAAAAGAAGGGTTCTGGCCTTTTTCGAAAAAAAAATTATCAAGTCTCTTGAATTTTTTTTGTATTTATCACCTTCTCCTTTATCAGTGACCACTTTCATATTTGTAATTGTTTTAATTTTGGTATTCCAACTCCCTGTAAAATATCATTACATTAATTAATTTTTCTTTGTAATCAGTTGTGCAATCAGGTTAGTTTACCCTTTCCTCAGGGTATTGTGCTGAGCACCAGATGAGGAATACATTTCTACACATTTTTTGGCCTCATCTACAGAGTGGTTTTTTAGAGGTTCTTCGTTTCCGGCGTAGCACAGATTTTTTTTGTAGTACCCCTGGTTTTAGGGTGCACAAATTAAGATTGTATCAGAATGCGTATACTAAAAGACTGACTGACTCATCCTAAATAAACTTTTCACAATAAATGTCTCGTGTGAGTGTAGTCAGAATTCTAAGTATTCCAAAACCCAATTTTCAACCAATTAACGCTCTTTATAATCGACGATAACTCCTAGTTAGATAATTAAAGGTCGCCTGACGGAGACTATCAGTACACAGTCCAACCTGTATTAAGCGGTCACGAAGAATGGCGGGATAACGGCTTTATACAGGTTGACCGTTACAATCCGGTTTCAAAGAAAAGGAGTCAACTACGAAACGATAAAGAACGCCATTGTATGGCATAATTGACCTTCAAATGCACAAAGACTTGCTCAAAAATACTACTAACTTTGAGCATCAATATCAGTAGCTGGGAACAGACCCTTATATAAAAACTTTGATTTCGGAAGATGAGCATGGATTTAATTTTACTTCAAAGATTTTATTTAGTTTTATTTAAGTATTTCCGATTTAATTGACTGCTCAACACAGGTGAAAAACAATACAAATAGGCCCATGGGACTCACTCAAAGGTGACCATGACCGTTAAATGTGGGTGACCGCTTCATGGAGGTGAAGATTACAGTGATTTGGAGACATCAAATTAGAGTCTTTGACAACCGACTGGTTAATACAGGGTGACCGCTTAATACGGTGCTTCCTAATACAGGTTCGACTGCACAAGTCGGAACTTCACCATCAACACAATTCATAGCTTACCTCTAAATCTTGAGACAAACGATTAAACGATCAATTATCTACAAAACCACGATGAACAACAGCATTTTTTATGACAACATCGACCGATTGTCCAAACCCTTCCCGGCCCCGCCTCCGGAAGTAAATTACGACCGGTCCCTAACTTCAAAAAGCCCCCCCGGTTAAACTACGATTCCAAGGTTTGTTAACACGACGACAATATGTTAGAAGTGGTATTCGCATCCTAGTTTCTACAGTCTCAGAAAAAGGAAACCTCAGCTGGCTGAGATGGTGAACATATTATAAAATTAACTGAATGCTGATAAATTTGTTGTTTCCTCGCGCTCTTGCGCATGTGAGATGTCGGCTCTGCCACTTTCGTGTTTGAAACTCTCCCTTTGGAACCTTACGCTGTTCGTTTTAATGCTTTAAATGCGTTGTGGTCCACTGTTTTCCTCGTTCAGTTGCATTGGATTCTACCGCGCTGCACACGTAGTAATCTCTCTGCCAGTATGCCACGCACAACCGGAAAGACGCACCAAACAACGCCCTGACTATGGTGGGAAAGATGTGGCCGCAAATGAAGCCAAAATTACAATAATCCCACACTCGACAGCTATCGCAAAGTTGCCAGATATCTCCAATAAGTAACAAGTTGACGATCACAGGGAAATGAGTGTGTCTCATGATAAAAGTGATAACAAGCAATTTCAGAATTAATTTCAAGAAGAAAATATTGTGAAAGGAACATCTCGGCAGTTTTTTCTAATTTTCGGGTAATGCGACCACCAAAATGGGCTTCTAACAAGATGATTTTAATTCTGAAACAAAATACTGAGCGATGTATACAAAAAGTGAATTTTGGACTTAGCTTAATATCGTGGCAGAGTTTGAAGGAAACCTATCTTTCAAGCCGAAATTCAGTGGACGTCCATTTTTAAAGGGACTGTGAACTAATATAAGCAACAGCTCCTTGCAATAGAGAAGATGAACGTTATGGACTAAAGCTCTCTCTTCAATTGATGTAGAATTTTAAACCAACACTCTACAATGGAAATAACACTTTATTTACATTTCTTACAGTCATGTACAGAGGCAAGATTTCTTCCTTTTACAAGAAATAAGCATAACTTTTAGAAAGTTAATTTCTACTCTGGTTTTATAATTTCCTTCTGTTTAAGACTATCCTCAAACTTATCAATTTCTGCCATGGCTTCCACGCCTTCGTCATCTTCTTCACTGGACTCTCTATAAATACATACCAAAATTTGGAAGAAATGGCATCAAGACTACACAGTAAAAAAGAAAAAAAAAAGGAAAAAACGAAGAGAGTTTCCCACTTACGAGATGTTGAAGACATGTTCTTTGGGCTGATGATGTGAGATTGCTTCTTTCTGCTCAGGGGGAAATTAAAAATAAAGCATCTATCATTATTTATCACGGGGGGGGGGGGGGAAAGAAAGAATGAAGGGAGGATTACATGGTTTTCAGGGTAACAGGGGGGAGAAACAGTCATTACTAACAAGGTACAAAGGGCAAAGGGGGGGGCGCTACAGGACATTGCCTGTCAATGGAGGGGATCATTAAAATACTACAAAGCTTTGGAGGGGGAGACACAAGGTTAATTTCAGGGTGATACAACAAAAATCCTCCCACCCCCTCCCTAGACAATATATATAGTGACTAGTCCCAAACATGACAAAGCCTGCATGGATGGCAGTACACAAACACACACTCAAAAAAAAAATAACCGGATATTAGCAGTGGACAATCCGTGGGGTGGCTCTTCCTGTCCACTTTTGCCAGGTTGAGTTGGAATTTAGAATGTTGGTTTTTTGCTGAGGGAGGAAAACAGGAGGACCCACAGAAAACCCCTTGGAACAAGGATGAGAGCTAATAACAAACTCAATCCACATGTAACACCAGGTCCAGGATCTGAACCCAGTTCACAGTGATGGGAGAGGTGGGAGGGCAGCACTCTCACCACCACACCATCCCTGCTTCCACAATTAAAGCCTAAAAGTTTTAATTAAGGTTCAAAAATTGCTTTTCATTTCCATGAAAAAACCAAAAGTCTGTGTTTCAGGTAATATAGCATTGAATTGCAACCAGCTCCCTTCTTTATTTTCTTGAATCATGATTGATGCTCAAAATCACAATATTTCAGAATTTCAGCCTGGTTCCAGCTATGAATGGGTCTCTATTCTTTCCTTGCACCCACCCCACCCCCTTCATTTGCCTTCTCACTAAAGGGAGCTCAGGTGAGAAGGAAGAGATCATGACATTGAAGTAAGTGATTGCTGATTTAAACTTCTTTATGACCATGATTGCCTCAATTTTTCCAAAAAGTTTTGGGTATCATCCACAATGTGTCAGGATGCTATATTACATGAACAATACTTTGACGAAGAAATAAAAGGGAAACTCATCTTAAGCAAGAACAGTTGTACCTCAAATCAAAGTAAACCTGAAGTGAATTCATGGGTAGTACTATGCAGAATATTATCTTTTTATGGTCAGGTCAACCTCTCAAGGTTGCAATTCTGATTACTGAGCTATTCTGCAATACATCTGGTACAAACTTAGCTGGCATCCCCACAAAAGTCCTCCCCAAGTAATCTGCTCCCATGAGTGACCAAGACAGAATTCCTCTTTCAAATATCAATATCAAGCAGACAAGTGATGAGAATAAAGAAAAATACCAATTAGGGGATAATAGATTGATCCAATACCAAATTCTCCAAACTAACATCACAAGAACTGTATGGCAGACAGTAAGGAGAATTACTAACAAGATCTTGGGAGTTCACAGGTTCTCAATCAGTCCTCCATCTTAAACCCATTACACCCTAACATCAGTATCAATATTCTCCACACTCTTCTCTAAAAATTTCTTCAGTTGCTGACAAGGAGAATTTGCTTAACAATCAAGAGCTTCTTTTCCTCTTTTCTCTTGGCCTTGATTTCAGGGTGATATTGTAAGAAGAAATTAGATGCTATTTGCTTTGCACATCCAATGGCAAAAAGGGTCACCTCACCTTTAATCTCTCAACCTTTCTTTTGGCCAGTGTTTGTTGAGCTTCTTCTCTAAATGAAGTCTGCAAGATGCAAAGACACTTCAAAATTAAAATCAGTTTAGACATGACCTGCTAAATCTACTAGCTAACTTTCATGCTGTTACCATGGGATGTTTGTCTACAATACAACATAAACGTATTAGGCAATTACATGACTGAAATACAACCTGGTTAGCCTGTGGTTAGCTATAATCCTGATATTGCCACACCTAAGGATCTTATCTGACCATACTGGCCTGTTTGTATCGGTAAAATCATGATTTTGAATGCAATTTGGTGTTACTAAGCATGAGTAAAATTTTCAAAGACAATAGAATTGCACATATCCATAAGGCAAGTACAATTCATAGTCTTTGAAATATTTACTAGAAAAGTGCTTACTAGTGCTTATTATACCATATCATTGTTACTTGTTAATAATTTACATGAAAAATGCATCATAGAAAACGATGGATGAAATTTTGATGGCACCCATGTGCTATTTGTACTTTGCACTTGTGTTACAACTTTGCATTCGTGTTACAACTTTGCACTTGTGTTACATGAAAAATGCGTGTAATTTTTTCATGTTCATTATTAGTGAATTAATTATCTATATCTAGATCAAGACAGAGCAAAACTCAAGTCTGGGACTTTATAACATGACATGGGCTACCCAAGCAAGGTGCCAAGGTGTGTAAAGGTCAGCATATGGGGGCGAGGGGAGTAGACAGAGAGCATTAGGCAATCGGCAAGAGTAATGAGGAGTACCAGCAAGGGGAAACTATTCCTCATAGATGCACCCAGAGTGAAGATGAACCAGACAAAAACTTAAGTCACTTCTGCTTTATATTTGAGTGTCATCAACATGCATCTTTGATTCACAAACTACATCTGACATGTGTATTCCACCATCTGCACTGCCACTTACAAAAAAATACAATTTTTGAGGTAATAATGTACATGAAAAAAATTATGCGCTTCTGATTGGCTTAAAACTAGTGCATTCTGATGTAACACAAGTACAAAGTTGTAACATGAGTGCAAATTATATCATTAATAAGTAATAATGTAATTTCCTTACATTTTGGTGTAGTATGCACTTAAGTCTTGTAAATATTTCAAAGACTGCAAATTGCACTCGCTCTAAGGGTTGTGCAATTTTGTTGTCTTTGAAAAATTTACTTGTGCTTATTAATACCAAATTGCACTTGGAATCATGTCATTACCAATACAAAACAGCTGTAAACCAAGCAGCCAGGGCCCAAAACAATGAAGATAAATCATCAAGATTTCAACTTTCCAAAAAAACACAGGAAACAACACAACAAGTAGCAGGCCACACAGATCTAACACACCCAACAGTTCAAGGTAAATTGTGGAAGTTATAGTACTTTTCAACAAATTATCTATCTAAGCTGTAAAATACCACCAGAATTGCAAAAATCATCTTACTATTTTTTGCACATAATCGGCTTGTTCCTGTTCTTTCCTTTTCTGGGCATCCTCCAAATATGTTGCGAGTCCTAAAGACATGATGATTAGCTTATTCAACTTAGAAAGTTCAAGAGAAGGTTTTTTTTTAAATTAAAGCCTGAGAATTTAGATCCTCAACTGACAAAAGAAGTTATGAGTTAAGCTGAAATTCACTTACTTGGATCATTTTCCATTTCAAGGGAAGTTGTGTGTGTCTGATGGATACCAACTAATCTCTTGCCTGCAAAGGGATCAATTCAAATTTCCATAACCCAACATTAGGTTGAAGTTGAACCCACTTCCAAGAAGTGATCAGCACGTAACTTCCCCCTATAATTTCCATACATCATCCAGCAAACAGGTAATGAGAATACTCAAACAGGTAGCAGTTATTTTGATCAAACACCAAATTCTCATGACTATAATTTACAGGGAACAGGAGAGAACTAACAACCAGATCTTAGGAGTTAAAGGGTTAAGTTAATAAAGTGTAATAGAACAAAACATCAACGAAAAACCAACAGAAGCATCCCAAAAAGCATTCAAAGTAACCCAGTGAATGTGCGTAAAAAGCTGCCGTAACGATACATTTTCAGTAGTTGATTGAGAAAAGCACGAATACAATACAAACTAACAACTGTAAAAAATCGTTGCACAGGTGAGACCGTTCTAAAAAGATGAGAAAAGATCAGAAATGCAGGATATTTGTATAGTACCAACAGTTGTTTACAGTAAATGGTTTGAACTCGCGGGTAACATGTAATAGTGTAGTTTGATCGTCCGGGTGAGTGTAGTTATACAGTTTCGGATGAAGATCATTCGACTGACAGCAACCTTTCACTTGGCTCTGATTATGACTTCCGCTCAGGTTGTCGAAACGTCAGTGACCATTACTGACAACAGTCCTTCTCAGACTCAGGACTACACTCACCCAGACGATCAAAATACACTATTAACAGTTGTTTAATTAATTAGGCCTTATCCTTCAGCACTTTAGTCAAATACTCGCTTGGCAGATGAATGCCATCGTCTCGATTGCAAGCGTTTATTTCCCGTGCTTCTAGAAAGCGGCAGGGCCGCCAATTTGTAGTTGAGCGTAATACAAGATCTTTTACGAGAGGTAAGCTGTTTAATTCCAGACTGATGTTTTAAAACAGTGTTTTAACGAACCGTCTCCAACTTGAGGGGCTGTTTTTAGGCGGTGGTTTATTCCACTGACGGCTAATGTAGACTTCTGTTCCGGAGGAGGGTCTATACACTTCCAGAAAGCCTTTGCCTTCTCGATAGTTTCTGCAGAACTTCCTGAAAAAGACACTGTTGACACGTCCGCCATGTTTTTGTTTTCGTTTCCAGGGGTGCACGGTAACAAGGTTTTCTTTGCACAGGCTACCCACACTGCTTATGCACAGCTTCCCTTACATCTACGATTTCCTGTTATGTGCAGTGTTTAGGATCACTTCACTTACTCAGCGTATTGAAAAAAAAAAAGACTACGTAATTACAAATTCGATCTTAGATGTTTTCCTAGTTTTGTCTAAAATTACCTAGTTTGTCAATCTATCATACAGTTTACAACTTTCCAAACCCATGCAAGATTAACAGATAGCATGACGAACTTGTTTTGATGAACAACTATAGGGTAAAAGTAGGTTTCGTCACATCTTTTCCTTGAGATTTGTCAATTGCTTAGAAAGGAAAAAGCAACAATCACCGGAAGTTGATTTCTTTAACACTTAATCAAACATTAAGGCTGCAAAAATGGAGGAAATGATCACCAACTTAAGAAGTTTTTGATTATTAAACAAATTCTCCTTCTCAGCACCTTAGAAAATGTATAGAGAACATTATGGAGAAAACACATACTGATGTTAGAGTGTAGAAGGTAAATTTTTGCCAACTTTTGTCAGCTAGAATCTACAAGAGATTGTTACATAAGGGGAAGACTAACAGCTGCATTAGTGATCAGGTACTGGATCCTGGAATGGTAACATATAATTAATCTACCTCATATGATATTCAATTCTCCGTTGATGGGAATCCTGCCAAGATCCCGGTAAGGTCCCATAAGGGGTCCTTTCGGCAGTTTTGATGGGATTCCCATACAATGAGAGATGGAATTTCATGTGAAGTACTTTATTAAAGAAAGTCTGGAAAAATGCAAAAGGGAACCAAATGGAAGAAAAAGAGAGTGGAAACATAAGAAGAAGGAAACACTGATGTAAGATACCGAAATAAAAAAAAAGGAGGAATTTAAGACTGATGCAAGTCACTGCAAAAAAAAAAAAAAAAATGCTCATCTCTCTTGTGAGGTGCAAGAGTAATATGTGATCATTTGTGGAATTTGTCTACACTTGAGGCTGTGGAATCTTAATGGAAACTTGTTTTGTTAGTTGTCACACAAGAGAGATAAAAGAGGGGGTTTCCACATACCCTCCTACTGTGGATCAATATTTGCGGGGTAAAAAGATTGAATAAATGCCCAACCTTCAAACCAGTGAACACTGATTACTCATAATAAGCAGAGACAAGAGGATTTTGAAGCCCCCTATATTTGTTCCTGTACAGTTTTCTTTTCCTAAGCATATTTACAAACAAAGTGGATTGCTTATACAAACAGGCCAACGTAAAGAGTTTAAAAGCTGACATTTTGAGTGGTAGCCCTTCGTTAAAGCATAACCCTATGCCAATCACTCAGACAAAGGGCTAATGCTGGAAACATCAGCTTTGAAACTCTTTATAATACTAAATTACCCTGTTATACTCTTCCACAGATATAGCACCACAGTTTCTTTAGAAACTTACCCCCTTTATCTACTTATAAAAACAGATGATAGAAATGCATTTCTCTTGATGATAATAATGGTATAAATACAGACAATCTTAGAAATATTTACTATCTTATTAAATAATTTCTGTAACAGGCCCTTTGGTAGTGAAGGTGAGTAAGAAAGCTGGTAAGCTACAAACAGCTGTTGGGGTTGTCAGGGAAACTGCCACAGCCCATGCTGTTCTTCGCACACAGTCTCCTTCTCTCATTTTCACTGACCATGAGAATGACACAAACTAAAATTATTTCTCCTATTTTCTGTCTAAGAATTCTTCTTAAGAGATTCTATCCTGATTGATATTCCATCACTCTTGTCCAATAAGACCTGAAAGAGAACATTATAAAGGTAAAGGAATCCACCCTTAATTGGAAACTGGGCAGAGTTTGAACTTGCCATAATAAATGCAATACCTGTCTGCTTCACATACTACTGAATATTAATTGAATGATCCTGACCAATCAAATTGTTCATAGTAAATTCAGTGTATGATAAATTGCATTATACAATATTACATATTGCATTGTAAGCAATAACTCAAATTTGTGACCTCAAAAGTGGAAAAAATTGTATCAAATGTTATGTTATACTGAAGTTGTTTTCAGACTTACCTGAATTCGTTGAACAAGAGATTTCTTTTTTGCCTTGGCTTGTTGCAGGCTGGAATCTATGAGCTGATTTAAACAGCAAAAGTAAAATTCAAATCTCAGAAAGCTTCAAAAGCTACACACAGATGAGTTCATTGATAGTGGAACACTTCAAATGGGTTGATAATTTATCCCAATTCATCATTTCAAGAGGTTAAAAATGATTTGTCATTTCTGTCCATGGCATAACTGCTCTATCATTCTACCTGATGTTACATGAAAAAAGTTTATCAGTGAACAATACTTTAATCCCTGAATAGTCTTCCCTTCACAGTGCCTCTGGTGTCACATGGGTAGAGTAAAAAACAAAATTAACCCTTTAAGCTCTAAGGGTGATTAACATTTCACTTCTCCTTACAATATCACCCCTGAATCAAACAGTAAGGTTGAGAGAATTAAAAAAAGTACCACCAACTAAATCAAGAGCTTCTTTAGTCAGGGTGATCATTTCTATTATTCTCATGGCCTCAATGTGTCATACAGGGTGATGTTTAAGAAGAAATTAGATACTAATCATTCTAGTCAATGGTAGAGGTAAACCATGCACAGGGCCAGAGCAAGCAAGTATGAGACATAAGTTAAGTGAAATTTATTATTCCTTTCCTGAAATGGGCTATGTCAGTTTTATGAAAGTGACCTTTAATTAGTAAAACTGGCTGTATTGTACCACTGTCACCTGGGTTCCACCTAAGGGGCAACTAAGTTTTGGTGCACGACTGGTGATGGCATCAAGTGGAATGGTGCTACCAGGCCACAGAGTTAAAAGTTCCATATACATGTATTGGTCATTTTTTCTCAATTTTAAACATAATGTTGCATTAGGTTAGGTAATAAAATGATTTTGGGTGCAATTTGGTGTTAATAAGCACTAGTAAATTTTTCAAAGACAAAAAAACTGCACTGGTCTGAAGGGCAAGTACAATTTGTACTCTTTGAAAAATTTACAAGACAGTGCTTATTACACAAAATTGCAAGAGACATCATGGTATTTCTTGTCAATAATGAACATGGAAAAACATCACTGAAAGTCTAGACAAATGGAATTTTGAAAGCCTACATGGTGCTATTTGTAATTTGCACCTGTGTTACAACTTTGCACCCATGTTACATGAGAATACACTTGTTTTCAGCCAATCAGAAGCTTGTAATTTTTACATGCACATATTTAAACACTGTAATAATTTAGTGCAAGTTTTCTACATGCCTTCATGAAGGATTTTGGATTAAAAGTTTTGATTTTACATCGTTAGTTACTGATTGCCACAACAACCGTGCTCTTCACTTCTGAGGGTTAAAATGATAGAGTTGCTTGGGATTTATATTGTTGGCTACTAACCAAGGAGTCCAAACTCTCAAGAGTTTTCATGAAGTCCTCAGTTATTCCCTGTATTTTCCTTGTTAGCTTATCCAGGGTCTGGTTGACTAGTTCAGTTTGAAGAAATCCCTGTTGAGAAAAAAGCATGATGTGTAAGATATTTGAACGATAATACATCTATTTATTACTTTGATTCAAATATTCCCTGACTAATCTGGTGGACCTGAAGATGTGGAAGCTTAACATGCTTTAGACTCCAGAGACTAAGGCTCAGGTAAAATTTGCAAATGGTGTCACTGGTATTTCTCCTTAGATCTACTATTAAATTCTCCACATTGTTTGCCATAAATATTTTCATAATTTCAGCTTGGAGAATTTAGTAAATATAGCTGTATATATTCTCTGGCTGGTAATTATTTTTCCTTCTTCCACCTTTATTACAGAGAATTTGTTGCTTAGGGGAGTAGCAACACCCATGATCACTCTTTGTTGTGGAAACCAGATGCTATCAATGATGGTAATAGGACTAAGTGGAGTCCATTTAGGTCTGTAACCATACGAGTGATTAACAAAATCAGACAACCATGAAGCCGGAGTCTGATGTATTAATTGCATGTACGATTACAGAAAGAATTGGATGACACAAAGTCCTGTTACCACTTAATCAAAACTATGACAAAATTTGAGAGAGAAATAAGAAATCAGTTGTATATTTTCATAAAAAAAAAAAAAACAAAACAACAATTAACTTGGCGAAATGTGAGACAACATTCTGCACACATGATGTGTTCTGTCAACTTACACAGGTATGACATGTTCACTGTCATTTTAACTGTCACATTACACTATCCAATTACAAGCATGACACATACACCGTTCTATTAGTGCTCAAATCGAGCTGGTGATAACCAATCACTTTTGAGAATTTTGTAATAGTTTTGATTACTAGTGGTATGGACCAATCAACTTGTGCGAAGGACAATCTTGTTGGCTAGCAAACTAACCAATTATTATTCAAATTCCACATTGAAGTCATCTTTTAAAAAAGTAAACCAATTATATAACCTTTTCTACTCCTTGGAGTTCTTCCACATTCTCAGTAAGTCTTTTCTCTATATCATCAGTCTTCTTTTCAGCAGCTAATACAGCTTTCATATTCTCTTCTTCTAAAGGATTAAACTTCACAGAGGAAAAAAAAAATTAATCATTTTCAGTGCATGCTGAAGGCAATCAACTTCTCCTTGAGTGTCCTACTAATACAGGGTTCCTACCCTTTTCCAGAAACAAATTTCAAGGACGTTTCTAGGACTCAGATTGATTCTTCCAGGGCTTCAATTTCACCATATACCCTTTCATTCCCAACATTCGTAAATCAATTCTCCTTGCCATCTGAAAAATTTTTTTTGTAAATCCTTAAAATTTTATAGCTTGATTTGAGCAAATTTCCAGGACTTTCCATTCCTGTAGTCTTTTTCCAGGACTTTCCAGTCCTGGAAAGTGACAAAATAAAATTCCACAATTTTCCAGGTCTATAGGATGCATATGAACCCTGCTAGTAGAGTGCATTTAAATTGGGTGTCAGTTGTAAAACCAAACCCTAAGTATTTAAAATGGCAAATCAGAGTTCAGGATAATATCTTAAGAAGGTAGTAAGGATTCAGAGTAAAACATGTAAACTATCTGCGACACAGGAAAATTGCTTCATTTGCGAGAACAAAATTGCTTCCTTGAAATCAACACTCCTCAAGTATCTCAGGCCTAGATCCTCTGGTCTGAATTCTCTATTCTTAAATTCTCAAAAGTTTTGAGGATTGATAATCTAGTTTGGAGTTGGAACTGTCAGCTTACATATAAGCAGTACAGTAACTAAGTCACAATGACTTTTCATTTTGTATTGAATTTGGCACAAGTGTTTAACAAAAAACTCGCAACGAAATGCAGCAATATCAAAGCAATCACAGATTATTAATTTTTTGACACCCAAATGAAAATTACTTCAGTATCCAAACTAGACTGACCTTTTTGCCGATTAACATAACTTTACTTCCATTCTTCACTTTCAGAGATTTTAGTGATTGACTGAGATCTGTCAATGACTGCCCTAAAACAAAGAAACCTAACTCAAACATTTTTCATAGTATAAAGTTTTAACCCTTGACACCATAATATCAGTAAGCATATTCTCTATACTGTTCTCTATACATTTCCGAAGGTGCTGACAAGGAGAATTTGTTTAAAAATCCAGAGTTCCTTATGTTGGTGATTATTTGTTTTATTCTTGTGACCTGGATGTTTGATTCAGGGGTGATGTTGTGAGGAGAAATTAGATGTTAGTCACTCAAAAGGGTTAAAGGGTTAAGAAATGAGCTAAGTAGTCAGTTACTTTCAGCTCTCATTGTGCAGGGCTGTATAGCTTTCAACTACCTGATTCACACTATGTTATTCGAAACAGTGTCCTCTATTTGGCACGAACATAAGCATATAGTGGACATGAGATTTGAAAATTGAGTGATATCCTCGGATATCCTCCGGTCTTAGTGTAGGGAATATTCGGTCACGTAATGTGTTTAGACCAATCGTGCGTGAGCAAAAATATTTGTTGGGATGGATCATAAGCAAGAATAATCCACCGTATAGTGACTGGGCGCAATGCAGCTTCTCTTCAATGCCACTCACCTTTAAAAATGAGCCTCTGTGATCCTCTAGGTACATCAGTGAGTCGAGCTGCAAGGTTTGCTAAATCTTCAACTGTGGGTCCGTCATTGCTGCTATCCGTCTGTAATTCAACCGGGTATTTATTTGACCCTGAAAAAAAACCAATAACGCTTAGAGCTGATTCATTACCGAATTTTCCACTGGAATAACTGCATTAGGTGTTTGTTTTCATTACCATGGACCAGTGTGAACTTCAAGAAATCTTCATGCACTGCTCCGTCTGCCATGTTGAAATTCTTTGCGAACTACGCAGAATCACCACGTTTTCCGCTGGTTTGTGACGTGTCACCGCGGGCTACTAGTTTTCTTTTTTCTTTTTTTTTTATACGGCCCTGGAAAGACAAGTGATAGAAAAAGAGAAACAAAGTCTTTTCCCAGCGTAACCTAGAGCGAGATTAAAAGGGATTCAAGTCCGATTCAAAGGGGACGGGGGGGGGGGGGAAGAGGGGCGGTGGGGAATCCCACAGCGATACCTGTGGGAACCCGGAAGGAACTATTCCCAATATGGATTTTCGTGGAAGTTAAGATTCTATTTTTACTGTCGTAGCATTTCTCGTGGCAAACGAAAATGCAATGGGAAGCTAATTCAAGCGGTTTGAAAACGCGATGATAGGTTAGAGGCTCAGTGTAAAATCCGTTTAGAGTTCAATTACATAAGCCTCGATTTCATATTCCAAGCCCAGGTTCCGGTCTGGCTCCGTCTTAGCATTTCCATTCCATTATGAGCCTATAAACATTTACTTTCAGTTTGACACTAGAACAATTTTAGAGCCATTCCAATGCATCGATTAGTAATCCCTGCCCTTTCTGTTGTATCCTTTGGAATTGGAGGAACCCTCGGAACTTTCTACGAAAGGTATTCCTTTTCATTGTCGTATTTGCATCTTTTTCCGTGGTCCGTAACCCTCAAGCTTAGCCAAACAAAGGTTCATGAGTATCAAAGATTGAAGTTTTGCAAGTACTTGGTTGAGATGATTCAATAGATGATTATTCTAACCACAGAACGCAATCAAGCATAACAACCTTTGATTCTTTCACTGCAAATTAAAATTTGCATCGAAAGAACGTGCAACCAGGAAATTGGTTACAAATTTTGCTGTATATATTTAGCAAAATTCACCTTTACGTACTCTGTATCACGAGGAATTTGTGTCCTTAAGATGCTGTTCTGCTGTATCAGTGGATACGTGAAGCTGATTAACATTGAGTTAAATTTAATGATTTTTCAAATAATATAGGTTAGCTGATACTGGATAGCAATCGGTTTTTCCTTCATTTGGTTTCCACAACAATTTGACAGAATAAATATATGTAGCTCCATGCAGCTAAACATTCTTATCCACAAAATTGTTGTTCATATTTTAAAATCCCTTTTATTTATGTATATATATATATATATATATATATATATATATATATATATATATATATGTATATATCTATATATATATATATATATATATTTTTTTTTTTTTTTTTTTTTGCAGGAAAAAGCTTCATTATGGTGTTTTTTCTATGGTCCAGGCCAAAACCAACCAGCATGATACAGTTGATGGTCCAGGCTCTAGAATGTCAGAAATAATGAGATTTGGATATCCTGGTGTGTAATTTAGCCTCTAATACTCTAACCTTTAAGAGTGAATCAAGCATTATGTTCTGGAGAATAAAGGAAGTGATCACTAAGTCAAGAATCTCTTGATTGTTAAACAAATTCTCCTTGTCAGTACCTTGGGAAATGTATAGAGAACAGTTTGGAGAATATAGGTATTGATGTTAGGGTAAAAAGGGTCAAATACCTGACATAGGACCTTATCCACTTGTTGATTTACGACTCTGAGCCGATTGGCTAATATAACTAATTGCCTGTGTCTATCCCTGTACCCTGCAAGCGGAGCCTTAACCCTTAAATCCTTGAGAGTGACTAGTATGTAGTTTCTCCCAACAGTATAAACCTTGCATTACATAGTAAGGTTATGAGAATAAAAAGAAATGATCACAAACCAAATATTCTCTTGACTGATAAACAAATTCTCCTTGTCAGCACCTTAGGAAATGTATAGAGACCAGTATGGAGAATATGCATACTGATGTTAGGGTGTAAAGGGTTAATTCTTTCACCTTCTCTGAAGGCATAGAAGCAAATTATTTTCTAACCAACCATTGTGCATGTTCAAATAAGAAACTACAAGGTTTTGGCAGAGTCTTCTTTTGCTCTCTTTCCTTGAAGGAGGCAAAAGAATTAGGCTCTGCTCACAGGGTACTATTCCTGTAGTGATAAGTTAAGTTCACTCTCAAGATCTAAATGTAAATTCTCAACAGTATTTGCTTCAAATTTCTTATAATTTAAGTTCTGAGAGTTCAGTCATGAGTCAAATAGGAGATTCTGGTTGATATTCGTCTAACTTGGTATAACAGTTCTGTTTAAAAATGGATTAATTTCATAAGACTTATTTGAGTCTCGCTCTAGAGGCTGATGAGATTTCACATCAGATAAAAAGTGTATATCAGACCTACAATTTTTTTTAAAAGTTTAAACCATTTGCCACCATCCTGTTCATCAGAACTGCAGAGCCAGATCAGCAGTCAGTTCTTTGGTCCTGAGCAGTTTCTGTTGTTCATAAATAATTCAATAACTTATTTTTGTATTGACAGGTTTTGAAAATATTAAAGCTAAGGATGATTATGTTTTGTCCTATAACCGACGTCTAAGAATTGCGAACTGGGTCTGTGAGGTATGTGGAAAATTATGTTTTTCTTAGACAGGTCATGTAATCTGTAATAATCAGAACTTCTTTAAAACTTCACAAACAGTATTTTATTTTTTAACAAGTGTAGTTCCTGCAGATTGCGAATGACATCAATGATAAGAACTCTGTTTTTCATGTTTATGAAATATCTTTGTTTCAGCATTTAACAGCAAGTACTGGTACTGTCTACAATGAAGATGTTGACAGGAGAAGATGTGATTTTGTGGTTGATCCTTCAGTACATCCTCTGTTCTCGACAACAAATGAGGACTACTGGTTAGTGCCCTGTGAATATTAGCTTTCATTCATCAGGCTTCCATTTCCATCTATGACACTTGAATAAATAATAAAGAAATCTTAACCCTTTAACCCTGGAACTCTTTAACCCCAAAGAGCGACAAGTGTAAAACTTCTCCTTACAATAACACCCCTCGATCACACATTAAGGTCATGAGAATAAAGGAAATGATCATTAAACAAATTCTCTTTTCAGCACCCTAGGAAATGTATAGGGAGCAGTAAAGAGAATATGCATATTGATGTTAGAGTGTAAAGGGTTAAACCCTTAGAGTGACAAGTATCTAATCACACATGAAGGGTCACAAGAATGAAGGAGATAAATGATCACCAACTAAATAAGCTCTTGATTGTTAAACAAATTCTCCTTGTCAGAAACTTAAGAAATGTTTGGAGAATAGTATGGAGAATATGCATACTGATGTCAGGGTGTAAAGGGTTTATAGACAGGAGGTTGACGGCAGTGTGGTGAGAACACTTTCCTCCCATCCTTGTGGCCTGCTTTTGAATCACAGACCTGGAGTCAGATCCAGTTCAAGTTTATTGTTGTCCTCATCCTGGCTGCAATATCTTTTTCTCGAAATTTTCCTGCTTAAATGCCTCCTCCACAAAAGCAAACTTTCCAAATTACAATTTTGGCTCTGTAAGAAAGAACCACCCTCAATCTTAAAGTGCAACTTCTAATTTCCAATTACTCAATTTTTATTTATATATTTCATATACTTAAATTTTCATTGTATAAGAAATCTTCCCCCAAGAAAACTGATCAATCTATCAACAGCAGGTCAAAAGAAGGAGGGAGGGATGGGTCAGGTGGCAAACTAACCCAATTTCCCCCCTTTTTTTCAACCTAATCCCAAGCTTTCCTATGTCTACTATTGTGTTGGGCATTACTAAACGCAAACACTTTGTACAAGCTGTTTTCTAATTAATTTGTTATTCTTTTGGTAGGGGGAGTGGATATGACAGGGGACACCTGGCTGCAGCTGCCAATCACAGGTCATCACAGAACTCTATGTGTGCTACATTCTTTCTTAGTAACATGAGTCCTCAAATCGGTGAGTAATATGTGCTTATTGACTGAAAGGGAGGACTGGATAGGAAGGTATTTGGCTCAAGGTCCAGGTTGAGAGCCAAATACTTTACCTTCCTGTCTGAATGAATTCAGTCAACTGATAAGTGGTGGGCATTTAGGAAGTGTGACAAATTCACAGAGTTAAATTTTGAAAATTGGCCACTGCATTTCACTTACTTTTAGTGACCAAAAGTTTATTGCTGTCTAACTGTTGTTCAGCAGTTTTCTCCAGAGATTTTTTTACTACCTGACCATAAGAAAAGAAGGAAAAAAAGAATCTGATGAAGGTTAAAATGCTACAGAATCAAATATCTGGTGAAAACACCAGCCTCTGGGGCTCTTGGAGAGCAATGATTTTTGAAATATTAGGATAATGCTAATATGGGTTTTGTAGGGGTCTTTTTTTCGGAATGAAGCTTCTGGTTGAAATTTCCAAAAGTGTTGAAATTATATTTGGGAGTAGAACTTATCTGGCATCACTGTAGATGAGGAAAGTGTTGCAAATATGGTAGTGCTACCTTAATTTATAAATGTAATTTATAATTTTTTGGTTTTTACCAAGGCAGGCTCAGGATTTAATCATGATGCTTGGGAACATCTTGAAAAATATTGCCGCCACTTGGTTAGGTCATACAAGAACGTGTATGTTGTTACTGGACCTCTGTTTCTACCAAAGTGAGTTTTGATAGAAAAGATTTTGTTAAGGTGACTCCTCAGTGTTGCAATGGCCATAACATCACGTTTTTAGGGGAATAAGTGCGCGCATTCTGAAAACATAGTATCAATCTTTTTTCAAAGCAACGGACGAGGAAAACAGGTTCCAAGGTCTTTTGTTCCTGAACGAGCACAGTGATCTATCTTCTTTATTGCACAAATTATCCTCTTTACATTGGAAAAAATTGGAAAAAATTTATCGGAAGGAAAGAAAGATATTGAATGCAAGCTACGACCTTGAAAGTAACGACTCGAGAAACGTTTTGGGCCGATTTTCATTAAAAACTGCCTGATTTTTTCATAAATCATATACCAATTTGTTCCACATGCTCGAGGCTTTATACCTATCAAGTATTTTTCAAGTTTTACTCAAAAACACCCTTGCTTCCAGCTACTGCAAAATGTACCGCGAAGTAACGCGCGGATTCTTGTCAGGACAGGCATAACTGGGTATGATTTTGTGTGTGTTTGCGTGAAGGAATGAAATGCTTGTCATACAAGTGACGGAATTTTCTTAGATCATAGGAAATTAAGACGCGAATTCTTTCATGGGCGTATCCAAGTAGTGCTAATTTCAAGTAAACAAGAAGATTCTTTGGAAGCTTTTTGTGGCGTGATAAATCGGTTAAAACGTTCTCCATTTCGGTGAATGCCCGGCTGGCCCGCAAAAGACGATAGCATAATCGTCCCCCTACCCTCTCCCCTTCCGCCTCCGCTTATTTTTAAAAATATTACTAATGCATGTTCCTGTGTTTTAACAATAACTTTGGACAGCTTGATCAAAGTTGGCTTCACTTCGCGAAACACTGAGATTCTCGGGAGATAAAGTGAACTGTTTTCCTCGGGACCATTCATTAACTGTTTAATGTTTTATGTTTTCAATTTCGTGTTAGGATAGAGGCAGACAATCAGCTTTATGTGAAGTACAAGGTAAGTTGTTTACTAAGTCTGTAAGTATAATACAACATAGTTTTTATTTACATGTATCTTGTATCTTGTATTTTTGCCACTTATTTTCTCTTCTTTCAACTTAGTTGATTGGGAAAAACCGCATCGCAGTTCCTACGCATTATTTTAAAGTAATTTTGGGAGAGACCACGGATAACCAGTTAGAAATGCAGGTATGTATTTTTGCTTTGTCTTTGCTTTTCACGACACTTTTCAAGTATTGAGCGCATTTCTACTGAGTGTCTAAACAACTCAGAGCTAAGGTAAAATGTTACAAGGAGCTAATGACAAACAAACTGCTCCAAGCGCGGGCAAATGCGGGTGCCCAAGTCGCGATTTGGTTTTGTTTTGCATTTGATTGGTCGAGAGAGAAGCGCGAGTTTTTTTTTAACTAGTCACAGGGCGTAATAAAGCAAAGCAACTGCAATCCCGGATTAATTTTGACTGTCAGTTGAATGGTGCTCAGTTTTACGGCCAAGCAAAGCTCAACTCCGATATTGAGTTCAAATGAGATCTGCGTGAGCTTCTCTGCCTTACAATTTAATTATTTGCTACCATGGCGTAGGAGATTTTAAATTTAATTCTTTTGGATCGGGCCCAGCTATGTAAAAGTTCTGCTGAATGCATTTTACAGTTGCCTGATTAAAAAATGAACCATAAATCACTGAAATAATTAGGGATTGGAAAACGTTAGCTTGAATTAAAAAAAGACAAACTTTGCTTTTGGAAGTCCAAACTTGACTTTCTATGACACGTATAATGTAACCTCTTTTCAACGTAATGTACGTGCTGTTCATATGACAGACACATCCTAATCACGTGCTTTTTTGTGTCTCGCTCTAGTCGTACATATTGCCCAATCAGCCAATCAACGACAAGACACCTATGCACATGTTCCAGGTCCCAGTTGACACGATCGAGAAAGCTTCTGGACTAATTTTATTTGACAAAGTTCCTCGAAACGCCATAAAACAGATTCGACCGGTGCTCACCCCAAACAGCTGACAAGAAAGGCAATGAAATGAAATGTGTGGCAATGATCAATAGTTTCCAAGATCTAACTTTTATGGCTTGATCCAGGCTCTTGGTCTATTGAGGCGAGGAAAAGAGGACGGGGATCTGGAATGGAGCGACGAGTAAGATCCCCATTTTCCTTTTCCCTTTAAACTTAGTGCCTGGTACAAGCAAGGATTGTTAACCTGCAGACTCCTACAAGTCATGGACATCTTTTCTTTGCGATAATAATTACAAGATTTTCTTCGCAGGACAGGTCATGAGAACAGACTTAACTTGTCGGCTGAACAAATGAGTTCTGTCTGTCATATTGTAGAAATCAAGATATAATGAAAAGAGAATACTTAGAAGTTCAAGTCTTGCAAATATTTCTTGTTGAAGTTAAACTTAACTTTAATAACGTGGCACCTTAATTGTTTCTAGCCATTTGCTTTCACAATATTGTCCTATGAATATGAAATTGCGAGGAAAAAATTTTGAAATTGACTTTACTACGCTATTGGTAGATACATAGTAGCGTTTTGCCTAAAGAGCGTAGATGCGTGACACCGTAACAGGAATCACAATGATACAAAATAAAGTCACGCAAGCGTTCATGCGTGAACACTGTTACACTCGCAAGTAGTTGAATTGATAAGCTGGTTTTGAGCTGCGCAGTGATCTTGAAGAATGGCTTTGCAGTGACATCCACAGTTCGTGGTGTCCCACACTTTGTGTACGTGGTCACAGTGTTTTTCTGCTTCGTTGCATTTACACACGCATTTTTTGTCGTCAAGTTTCTGGTTGGCTGCGCAATTGTTTGCGTTGGCGATGCAATCACAACCACAGGTGTTTTCGTTCCAGGTTTGTTTCTGTGGATCGCAATCGCTCTCCTTAGTGATACAATCGCAGCCACACGCAGTGTGATTGTAGATGACAGTACTGGTAATATAAGGTTGGTCGCCTACTATTTCAAATATGTTAACATTAATGGCGTCTTGTGCTGTTACAGCGCAGTGTTGGGTCTCCTGATTGGCCGTGCAACCTCCAGTGCAGCGGTTGAGGATGACATAATCAGGGTAGGTGCGAACGTGAACACTCTTTGGTATTCTGAAGGCGACTGGTCTCGGCTTACAATGGCTTTCGCTTGGAATGTATGGCAGGTTGTTTACTGTCAAAATACAATAATTACCTTAGTGCCTTCTTTGCTTTCGGTGCAAATTCCAGTTTCTTAACTTCGTTTGACGATCAGCTAAACCAATCCTGCGCAAGCGAATATACCTGATAAATTATAAAAAGTCTTAGTGTAGATACTTACATTGCGTAGTTATGACGCCATTGGAATGCTCTGGAGTATCACTCATGGCCTGGGATCTAGAAGTTGCGTCATACCGCGGAGCAGATATGGCGGACACACCAGGTAGGTGGAACGGACGGTTGCGGCGTAACACACTGCCTAATGGTATTCCAGCTTTATGAAGGAACTTTACAAATTCTCGAGGGAATTTTACCTGCTGTGAAACTTGTAAGATGAGTGTGGTGTAATGACAAAACGGTTTAAATTTACTTCCTCGTTGCTTTCATAGAAATGATGCAATTGGCCACAAACTTGGTTTGCATCCACAAACTACGAAAATATGGAACGGCGGATGTACAGTAGGATAAGGAACCGGTCGGGTTGGGGGGGGGTGTTTGGGGGTGGGTCAGGGAGAGTTTTGAGGGATCACATGGCTTACAGAGAAACAAGGGGGGGAATCGGTCACCGCTCACTGAGTATAAAGTGAGGGACTAGAGAAAACTGACTAACAGTATGAGGGGGATCATAAAAATACCACCAAACCTTAGGGGGAGATCAGGTAAATTCTATTGTGACACAACAATTCCGCCCCCTCCGGCGATAGTAGCTTTTGGGTTAGAACCACCTCGAACAACATTAACAGAATCAGGTGCAGCAACTGCCAATTAGCCGTCATTTGAATGTTTACATCAAGGTTTAATAAACGAGATATAACAGTTAGAACCACGTATAGCAGCAAAATTAATCAGTTTCACGAGAAATTAACGCTTAGTAACTTTCGTTAAAATGATCGCACACTATGTTGGATACTTTCGTGTATAAACGGACTAGTGACGTAACTCTAATTGTTCCGAGTGAATCCGTCATCACCTTCGAGGAGGTCCCGCAGACTGATTTTTAAAATTCGCAAAATTCAGTGATTTTTCTCTAAAAGAGTTTAAATTTTATTGAGTTATTTTAGTTTTACTTGGCCATCGACTCAGCCAATAGATATCCGTAGAAACTTTTCAAGGGTGCTACACATCAAGACATAGAATTTTATCCTTTGATTTTTTTTCCGGTAGATAACTATGTAACTTACAACAGCTTCATGTCTGTCGACAGCCTTACCAGTCGTTTAACTCCCATGAGTGACCAAAACAGAATTTCTCCTTCAAATATCAATACAATATTAGGCAGACAAATGATGAGAATAAAGAAAAAGTATCAGTTAGGGAATTTTTAGTTGATCCAATACCAAATTCTCCGAAATAACTTCATAAGAATTGCATGACAGACAGTAAGGAGAATTACTCATGAGATCGTGGGAGTGAAAGGATTAAGGAATTGGTTTTGTTAAAATAAAAATTGCAGTCACCGAGAAGACAAAATCAAAATCGTTTGGGATAATTTCTACACCAGTTTCCTGTCGTTTTCTTCCAACTCATTTATAAATTTCAAGTACGTGCAGAAAAAGTTTTCTTAAATTCACGCTCTCAATTCGTAACTACAAAAGCTAATACTGAATCAAATTTGAACAACTTTAGAAATGTCAGCTGAAAAACAAATAGATTTTATTAATTAAAACTTTTTTATTTATTGTATGCTATTAACCGATGTGCTTGTACCGTTTTCTACATTGAGCCAAACTTTTCACTTCTTCTGGCCTAAGAAAAAGGATATAATTCTTCTTCTATTCTCTGATATTGGTGTAGTGAAAAAGTTTCTACGAAAGGGGAATACCTTCAACACGTATACGTTCAACAGAAGCTTTTAAACTTGAGCGCGCCGTTCCGTGAAGATTCCAAGCTTTCCGGCATCAGGGTGCTTCGAACGCTCTCGAACAGATTAGGGGATTTTTTTCAGCGTGTCAGTATTAGTTTAAGCTTCAGTTGATATTATTTCGGAAACCTTGCGATGAAACCTCAACGCATGCATCTTAACCTGGATAATGACGGCTCTCTCAGCCTTTAGTTGTGAAAATAAAAGGACATATAAGCCATGCTTCACATTTAGAGGAGCGAATATCACATCGGCAGAACGAAGAATAAAAAAAAAAAAACGCTGCGATGGATCACAACTCGTTGAGATGCCAGTAAATGCTGTGGTAAATTTTTCAGTTATGAAATCATAAATTCTTGATGAAACTGAAATTTTTCTTGGGATTTTTGGGTATTGCCGTTGCGGTTGAAAGGGAGCATATTGGCTTAGAAGGTGTGTGAAAATATGCTTATCGTTCCCACTAAATACGCTGATATAACCTAAAAGATATGCTTTCAAGATTTCACCTCTGTGATTTGAATCGTACAAAGAAAAACTGAAAAGATTCTAGATTCTGTTCTTTAGCGTGAAAGCAAGCTTTTTTTAAATCCCTCGTGTTATTTTTTTGTGTTTACTCAGCTTTTTTGATAAATTTGAAAGCCAAAGTCTCTTTAAACGAAAAGGAGAAGTTGACCCACGAGTTTCGAAATCTATTGTCTGAAATAAATGTCTGAATCGAGATACTAATTCAGTTAAAACAACTCACCTTTGGTTCTGTATAGGAACATGGTACAAGAACGGAAATTAGAAATATCGGTAGAAAATACATGATTGTTATGGACACGAGACTCAACGCAAAAAACGCCGTTAGTGGCGTCAAAGGCACATTTAACTGCTGTTTAACCAGAAAATTAAGGAAAAAAGATTATGGTTTCTCATTGGTTGATTCGATCGTGACGTTTGTTTATCCGGGTCAAATAACAAATACTCCTCATCGCTCCTCAAGAGTGTCTTCATGACACCTCAAAACGAACACAATATCGCAATGTTTTGATTTCATGTTTAACGTGACAAAAATAGGTACCAGTGTTCGGTCTGGAGTTAGGCTGTAATAACAGAAAAAGATTTCGGCTACTTTTCGTCAGTTGTAGCTGTTTTTTTCGTTTTTTAACTAAATCGTGACTGGAAATAAGCTATTGGCACTAGGAAGGTTGACAAAATTTACATTTTTAAGAAGGTTCAAGACACGTTAACTTTTCATCAGACTTTTATGGCCAAACAGATCAAGACGATTAGAATTTCGCGATTTAGTTCTAAGCATCGTAATTTTCCTTGACCACGAGTCGCTGTGATTCAGAATTGCAAAAATTTAAACCAGTACTAATGCACTGGTGCTTGTTTTTGGATTAAAGATTATTCCATAGAAACGTACGGAGAGTTTACAAAAATTCTTCAAAACACACGAAGTAAATTTTCGTTGTGATTTGCACTCAGAGAGCGTTTTCTGGACTCTACGAGAAACTTTAAAAACGGATCTTTTCAGAATTTCATTTCATCTGACTAAAACATCACATGTCGCGTTCTCTTTAAAGCAAAACGACTTTCAATTGTTTCATTACGCCGTGAAAAGTATCAACACTACTAACGCACGCAATTCCAACTGGAACAGGAAATAAAACCATTTTTGTTGTTTCTGGTTTCGTTTGAGTAAGTCCTCTGTAATCATCATTTTATTTCTTTTCATTTTTTATTGATGACTGATTTCTTGTAGTTTACCGTGACTACTTTTACAAGACGCCATTTTCTTTTCTTGGCAGTGTGAGTTCGCGACACTTGAAAATTTCGCGATTTTTGAAACTTGCTGAGTATTGCAAAATAAAATTGTTGTGAATATCATCTGCTTGGTATGAAATTTGGTTTTAAGGGTGTGTTTCACATACGCCAAATAAACTGAATATCAATATCGACCACAAGTCACATATCGCGGTATTGCATCCCAAGAATTCACTACAAGTTCAAAGATTCGACCCCAATGTGTATTTTTTTGGAGTTAATTCCAAGAACCACTTAAATGAATCATCTTTTAAGTCTATAGACTTGATGACCTTTTTTAGGAATGCCGAATTTCAGGTACAATATTCTATGCCATTCCTAATCTCAGTTACTATAAATAGAAATCTTTAAACTTATGGCTGTTTACAGCTTTCGAAGCATCGTTTGACTTTATCTATTTCCCGACACTTTACTCGTAGAATGCATGAGTCAATCAATCGATTCGAATCCATTTAAGTTGCCAGAAATTACTTTTTTGCCTTGCGTAAATTCTTTTTACCATGCTAAGGCATTTTAATCGAGTGGGTTTGCGTTGACTGCACAAAACTGCGAGGATTTCGATAACCTTGGCGTCACTGAAACGGTGTTATGAAACTAGTGATGTCACGGAACTAGTTGTGTGTTGCTCCGCCATGTGAGGTCACGTCGAAAAGCACGACTGTTTCAAGAAACATAATCACGTTTTGTCTACAAAAGAACCAAAAAACAAAGAGTAATTTACATTTTGATTAAGGCTGAGAAAGATATTAGATATTTGTTTATTTAGCTGAGCTGTCCATTCATCAAACTCCGTCTGTGTTATTGATTCAGTTTACTATTTCAAAAAGAACAAAGGGTTTTTTTTTACAGCAATTAAGAGTAAATTTTAGCTTTTATAACAGCTAAACTGTTCGTTATAAACGGGCTTTCTTTAATTAAGAGGTTTTGTTTTCGCACTTCTTGTTTGGGAAACGAGTTGAAAAAGACTGAACCTAGTTAAGAAGTAGTGCATTCCGAACAACCTTTGAATTTTGAACTTGCTTTGTAATGATCATTTCTACTCTCAAGTTACTTGATTTTACGTCTCGATATGAATTTTTTCCTACACCTCTCGAGAAAGATCTTTCTGATACAAATTTTTGCGTAATCCATTGAGCTTTTAATGTTAACTAAACGAAATCTTGACACCGTCAAAAGCGAAACACCTCAAGCGGTGGAAATTTGAAAGAGGCTTGAAAGCTTTGATGGAGGTCTCAATGGGGTTAACCGTCAAATGGCCAAAATATTAACCGCCAACCGCCAATAACGCAATGTTTTTGCCGTCAACCGTCAAATAAGCACGCCTAATGTCTCAGATATCCTTAATTACGAACCAAACGATAGTCTTCAATGGGGTCAAGTTCTGCTGTTTTTGAATAAAAGTTTTAATATACCACAAAAATACATTTATGGGCAAGTCCTTCAAACGGAAGTCCGTTTTGGCAGAACGGACTTCCGTTTGAAGGATAATTCATCTCGATCGTGTTCATATTGAGCCGCTTTTACCCAACCCCGCCGCCCTTTGCGTTTCTAGTGACGTAGTATATGTAGATGATGAGCAAAGAGCGATTTTTCAAGTGACTTTGGAAAAGGACGGAGTTGCTATCCGGAGAAAGTCCCTTAAATTGGTTGACTATCCAGCAGATGTAGCCGCGATAGAATCGCTGGCTGTTGGTGGCCGGTTGGTTTATTTCGTTTCCGTAAAGTGTCCAAGTAATGTTAGTCATTGGTTTATATTAGTTTAATTTAGAGGGTGGATCATTTGATACGGTGTTAAAGAACGAGACAAATTCTTGCTCAGAAATCAAGCGAGTTGCGCCCTTTAAATACTCTTTGGCCTTTACAGAATCTAGAGCTCATCTTGTCAAAGTATATAACCCAATCGACAAGGTAGTAACGATTCAAGAGGGGAGTGGTCACAGAGGAAATGAAGATTGGACTGTAAAAAGTTGCACCTTTGTTCAACCACACGGAATTTGCACTGTTGGGGAAACAATATTCGTGACGGATGCGGCAACAGGGGTCGTGAAGCTCATCACTGAGCAGTCGGGTACAACACAATTCTTGAAGCGCCTAGGTCTATTGTATGATAGCTTCGGAATAACCTGCAAGGGAACAGCTTCTTGATTGAGTAGGTTATTAATACGTCCAGCAGTAGCAAAAGTGATTAAAGTTGATTTGCTGATTAGACACATAGTTGAAGACCAAAAGCCTAATTTTTAACGCACCAATTATAGAATTAATTTGATTATTAAAATATGGGGAAAATTGAAACCTTTTACGAATAATTACGGCTAAATTCGCGCGTATATTTCGTTTTATAGACGATATTCCAAAAAATTTAACCGTCTATCGTCAAACGACCTAAAATTTAACCGTCAACCGTCAAAACGGTTTATTTTTAACCGTCAACCGTCAACCGTAAACGTGACGTGACCGCTTCCTTTGCGACCCTCTTTGATCCTTATCGGCAAGTGTAATTTTTTGATTTATCCAAAAGGCCGTGAATTTTGAACTTGCTATGTAATGATCATTTCTACTCTCAAGTTACTTGATTTTACGTCTCGATATGAATTTTTTCCTACACCTCTCGAGAAAGATCTTTCTGATACAAATTTTTGCGTAATCCATTGAGCTTTTAATGTTAACTAAACGAAATCTTGACACCGTCAAAAGCGAAACACCTGAAGCGGTGGAAATTTCAAAGAGGCTTGAAAGCTTTGATGGAGGTCTCAATGGGGTTAACCGTCAAATGGCCAAAATATTAACCGCCAACCGCCAATAACGCAATATTTTTGCCGTCAACCGTCAAATAAGCACGCCTAATGTCTCAGATATCCTTAATTACGAACCAAACGATAGTCTTCAATGGGGTCAAGTTCTGCTGTTTGTGAATAAAAGTTTTAATATACCACAAAAATACATTTATGGGCAAGTCCTTCAAACGGAAGTCCGTTTTGGCAGAACGGACTTCCGTTTGAAGGATAATTCATCTCGATCGTGTTCATATTGAGCCACTTTTACCCAACCCCGCCGCCCTTTGCGTTTCTAGTGACGTAGTATATGTAGATGATGAGCAAAGAGCGATTTTTCAAGTGACTTTGGAAAAGGACGGAGTTGCTATCCGGAGAAAGTCCCTTAAATTGGTTGACTATCCAGCAGATGTAGCCGCGATAGAATCGCTGGCTGTTGGTGGCCGGTTGGTTTATTTCGTTTCCGTAAAGTGTCCAAGTAATGTTAGTCATTGGTTTATATTGATTTAATTTAGAGGGTGGATCATTTGATACGGTGTTAAAGAACGAGACAAATTCTTGCTCAGAAATCAAGCGAGTTGAGCCCTTTAAAAACTCTTTGGCCTTTACAGAATTTAGAGCTCATCAGGTCAAAGTATATAACCCAGTCGACAAGGTAGTAACGATTCAAGAGGGGAGTGGTCACAAAGGAAATGAAGATTGGACTGTAAAAAGTTGCACCTTTGTTCAACCACACGGAATTTGTACTGTTGGGGAAACAATATTCGTGACGGATGCGGCAACAGGGATCGTGAAGCTCATCACCGAGCAGTCGGGTACAACAAAATTGTTGAAGCGCCTAGGTCTATTGAATGATAGCTTCGGAATAACCTGCAAGGGGACAGCTTCTTGATTGAGCAGGTTATTAATACGTCCAGCGGTAGCAAAAGTGATTTAAGTTGATTTGCTGATTAGACACATAGTTGAAGACCAAAAACCTAATTTTTAACGCACCAATTATAGGATTAATTTGATTATTAAAATATGGGGAAAATTGAAACCTTTTACGAAAAATTACGGCCAAATTCGCGCGTATATTTCGTTTTATAAACGATATTCCAAAAAAAAAAAAAAAAACCGTCCATCGTCAAACGACCTAAAATTTAACCGTCAACCGTCAAAACGGTTTATTTTCAACCGTCAACCGTCAACCGTCAACCGTAAACGTGACGTGACCGCTTCCTTTGCGACCCTCTTTGATCCTTATCGGCAAGTGTAATTTTTTGATTTATCCAAAAGGCCGTGAATGAGTGTTGATTTAAATTTTTTCGGTAACATTTACGCAATATTTTAAGTCTTCTTCTTTAACCAAAACAACAAACCGTTTTGGAAATATTTGATCACGTAGACATAATGGGTTGACAGGTTCCACTTCTATCTCCCTTCCCTTATAAAAACAACGTTGATATTACAACACATCGGTTCCTTTTATCGCATGCATGTAACTACATCTGACTTTTTCCGCATTTTCTTCGAGTGGGTACAAGTTTAGATAAAACTTAGTTATCTAGGTATTATAGGTAAGACCAAGTTTTATCAAGTAAGCTTTTACTGTTTTCAAAACTCTTGAAAAGACAATCCGGGTTCCTCGGACATACAACTCTAACACTAGCACCATTATGAAGTTATTAATGCAAATACTCCAGCAATTTTTTAAATCTTCTGACCTTTTTTTCTGGTTGAATGAATGTAATGTAATAAAGACAAATTAATTTAAAGTCCTTTTTTACTTTAATCCCAGTGGATTATTTTATGTATTGTGAAAGTATGCGAGAAAAAACACGAAGTAATTCATTGAATCAAAGATTTGTTAAAAAATACATTTTTCAACTGTAAACACGCCACGGCAGAGATTTATCCAGATTTATCAGTGATTGCGCGCGCGAGTGGAATGACGCTTAAGGCTGGTAAATTTTTCGGTTTGCGAAAGGTATTCTGAACGCAAAACGTTTTCACCTTTACAAAAGCGTGATAAATTTGAACCGTTTCTACCCAGAACAAATCGATCCTTAATTTAGATTTGATTGAGTTACTAAACAAGATTTAGACCCTCTGAGAGTTTTAGAATGCGGTAGAATTTCAAAAGTTGCTGGTATATGTTGTTCACATCTTTACTAAATCAAAATTCTACATTTTTGTTTCATTTTGCTTTATCAGCTTCTACTTAAAGTTTTCGTTTGGTTTTGTTGACCGAACACTTCGTTCAAATTGCCCGCTCAGACACTTCTACTCTTATTTCAAACGTTGTGGTAATTTGTTTAATAACACGACAGTGCTTCAGTTGCGCTTTTTTCAATATTTTTAGGTGGGCTATCTCTTGTATAAAAGTAAAACTATTTCGCAGTCGTAACTTACCTTTGATTTGACAGGAGGATCTTGAAGAAATAGCAGGGAACAGAACAGAATCAAACCGAATGAAGACATGTCTGCCGTGCCGGTACGTTAACTGCAATGATTTGTTGAACTGATATGCAAATCGCGTTTGAAGTCGGTGATCCGTGACTTTGGAACGCAATACAGTCTACAGTTGACGTCGCCATCTGACAACGAAACACGTTCGAGCAGACTACGGAATATTTTCTAAACAAAAATATTCCAAAACAGTACCAATCAAGTTTAATCGCTCTTTTTCATAAATAATACCAATTTTATTTATCTGAGGACATCGCTGGCTGATAAACGTGATAGGAAAGTTTGAGATACTGGTAATACCAGTAATAAACGGAAAAGAAGAACGCATGAAAATCATCTGTTTACGCAAAGAATATTTTATGTCAGCTCCCTAGATCGAATACAACTTCCGATTTATATTAGAAGAAGATAGTGAGACTTAAATCATTTTTAGCGCGTTCTTATCATCCGTTCCAAATTCTTAAGTGACTGTATACGGTGTCAACAAGAGAAAAACAGTTGATATTCTCTTGGTGTTAAAAAAGAAACGTTCGTTGATTCACCGTTTTGTTTTTTATTTAATTTGTATGCTTTTCAAACTGTTTTTGTGTGCTTTTCTCGATGGGTTGAAAGCGCGGGCTTTAACGACCATACGTGTCTAGATCTTACCTATATTCATCGCAGATTAACAGTTTTAAAAACTTTTATCTGCTTGACCTTGCTACTGACGTCATACCTTTAAGAGCTAGTGAAATCTTTCGGGTCAGAGAAGTTAATCCCAGATAAACTGTCAAGACAGAGTTATCTCGATGGACTTGAGAAGTTATTGGTCTTGAAAGATTAGAATAAATCGAGATAACACGAAGACTTAGCAGCAAAAACTGGAAAACAATGCGCTGAATAATTTTTCATTATTTAATTAGCGCAAATGCAATACCTAAATTTTTTACCGAAGCAATGCTGGGTGGATTTTAGCAAGTAGCGTACTGGCTGGATAAGATACTCAAATATTTACCTGTCCAAAATAATGAGGTTTTCCTTTGGTTCGTATCAACTCGATTTGAAATTTGGCAAGTTAGATCCGTTTACATCATTAAAAAAATGAAGAGAAAAGAAAGTAGCCCAGCGCATTGTTCTGAAATCAATCAATTGTTGCAATTGATTTATTTCAACTGTTTCCAGTTGCTTTCGGGGTCATTATGTATCACTGGGGACGTTATTAATGGGCCATTCGGAAGTTATTAACCGCCATGGGAACATGAACGTGGGATCATTTAAATACAGAGGAGCACGCGCCTGGAACTCGACACCAGTTACCTAACAAATTTAAAAAGTATTTTTAAGTTCTGAGCGTGTTGCTCTCTCTCTTTTTTTAATTTGGTTAGATTTAGTATTATTATTATTGTTATTATTATTATCCTTTATATTATCATTATTAGTAGTATTATCATTATAATTATTATTTTATCTTTACTCGTTCAACCAAGACATTGTGAGTGTAGTTATGTGTCTAGATTTTGGAGACGACGCCAGTAGAGTCAGGAGTAAAGAGACTTGTTACCTACAAATGTAACATCGGAGGAAAATCTCGAGATCAATAAAGCGCTTTCTATAAACTTGTTTTTCAAAATAGAATACGATTTTCGTTTGGAGTGGAGATGACAGTTTTATTGATCATTTGATTCAAATTTCCCTTAAATAAGCCGTTGACTGACGTGAATGTCATAAAATAACGGAAATTAACACCACTTTGATACTCTTCATCTTTGGATGTTTTGTAAGTGCAACTCGATCGAAAAGTCACGTCCCTGATAAACGACTGATTCTTACAGAGCACCCTATGCAACGTATTTCATACATTGTTTACGAAACTAAAAAGACAAAAAGAAGTATTTGACGTATTCCATTTATTACGATTTACAAGAGTCCCTTCACCTAAAAAATTCCATTTTTTGTTTAAACCAAGTTCAGTTGAAGATCTTTATTTGGTAACGACCGAGTTTGGTACGCAGGTGCAGTTATACTTCAGGAACGATTCGCCCGGAGGACAACTTGGCTGCGGTGTCGGACAATCGCATTCGCACGTTTTTTTGTTCAGAGCTTTTCCTTTTCTGGCACATCGAACTTTGACCTTCCGCTTGCAGTCACACTCGCAAATGGCTGCATTCCATTCTTGGTTTGGGGACTTGTCGCAAATTTTGGGTGCGGAGTTGCATTCACATTTGCACGTTTTCTCTTTCCAGGACATTTTGGTTGAGTCGCATGAACTGCTGTTGTCTTGTTTGCACTTGCACTTGCAATGGTCTTGTTCGAAGTCGTGAATTTTAGCATCACACTCCGACTGACGCTTGATACAGTCACAGCCACAAGCTGTATGATTGTAGACAGTGATATTCACAAGTTTAAGGTCGTTGATTTTCAATACCTGTATGACGACCTCTTCCTGGCGTTTAACTGTACAGTTTAAGAGCTGTTGCGACCCTGAAAAAGACAAGCGCATGTTACCTTCATTAAGAGTCGATAGGCATGATGGCCTTAACAATCACGGAGACAATCACAGAGATGATGACACTGATAATGACAATAACAGTGACAATAGCTTGAACATGGACGAGCACGAGAATGACTATGACGTTGATAATATATAATGACGATAAAATAACAACGACAAGGACGACGACAATAACAATAACAATAACGGCGGCAATTGGGACAAGAAGAAGGATAAGGAAAAGGAAACAGGCACGGAAACAGACACGGACACGGACACAGAAAAGTACAAGGATACGACACGGACACGGACACTCACAAGGACAAGGACAAAGACAAGGACAAGGACAAGGACAAGGACAAGGACAAGGACAAGGACAAGGACACACGCACACGCACACGCACACGCACACGGATGAACGGACACGGACGAGGAGAAGGACACGGACAGGGGCACGGACGAACGGACATGGACCCGAACACGCACAATTAATGAATGAACTTACCTGTACATCCACCGAGGCACCGGTGGAGTATGACCACATTCCGAGAGTATTGATCGTGTGTTGGCTTTTGCAATTCAACAAAAGTAGGAAAGGGCCGACAAATATTGGGAGGAATAGGAATTCTAATTGGTGGCTTGTTCGCATTCCCTGGAGAAGACAGAAGGCAGATTTAGCAAAATAACTTCACTTCCATCGTGTGAGTTGAGGCTTGAAGTTCAAGAATTCACGGATATTAAGGAAAACAAAACGGTGACGGCAATGAAAACGCAGCAAAATAATAGATTTGATGAACAGAAGAACATTACATCGCTAAAATGTTGGGTCTGAAAGCTGAAGCCCCGACGAAAGATTACTCTCTTCTCTACTTCGAGCCCAACGCTAGATTTATATGATTTGGAAACGGGGAGATCTGAGGCCAAGTGACGGACCACAAACCGCGCTATTCGCGAATTATGATTCTTAGGAAAAATGAGTCTTGTAAAGTTTACTTTAGCGTCGCCTCTTTCCCCGGTGTTGCTATCGTGAAATTTAATCTTATATTTAATTAATATCTATATAAACAAATTCCACGTTGATCAAGAACACTCAACTGGCGTGGATGTGCTACCGCTACGAATATAAGTCATTCCGATTCAAAGCAATTTTTCCTCGGGTATCGAAAGTAATTCATCCAGAATTATAACGGATTTGTTCTACTTCGCTCTGTGATTGGATCAGGAAACAAGCACCACTTCCTTCAACCAATCATCTCACTCAATTTTTCCCGCACTGCACGCAGTGTGCTTGTTTTTACTTAGAGTTCTCAATACCCCATCGCCTCGTTTTCATCCGGTGTGATTGGCCGTTTACTTAATCGAAGGGCGCTGCATAGGTTGATATCGGGATCGGGTTAACTAATGCCTACTTACATTACTTCCAAAGCCCTCTACCTACATTTTTTTGTAATAATTCCTTGTGAGTGTGCCGTCACCTTGCAAAACATTTTCGTACGTTTTGATGGATTTGTGGTAACATATTCATCAGCAGCCACTCTTTTTGTGATGGCAGAGTCCTGTAAATTATAACAGAAGGAAATAGAAGAAAAGCATACAGTACTTTATTTAACCGTTTAGCTCCAACTCCTCGTCTCCTACAGCTAGTCCTTAGCATTTGATGTTTTATTTAAACAACTACCTGAAGTTACTACTCTTTCTAAAAGGACTCAGAAGGTTTTCATTCATCATCCTAAACAATTATTTGATGTATTATTGTTTGAATCGAAATACACGCTTGCCGTCGGAACGATGTAGCCTCTGAAAACAGCCTCGTGAAATGCCCAGAACGAAAAACCAAGAAAACGGTCATTTCCTAAATTGAATTTGTAGTTGTCGGTGAAGTTTCAAGGTCATTTCATTTAGACTGAACTCTTGGTCTGCGGAATAACTCAAGACATAAAGTGAAGGTAAAAAGCTGCTCAAAACAGCGTACTTACCTTGTCGTAATCAGGCTCGTCGTCGTTATAAATTTGTCCCTCGTCTTCTCTCAAGAAGTTAGGCCCATCGAGATCATCAAACAAATCACTCTGAAACTTTTCAATTTTACAAGTTCAGTTTCTGATTTGAAATCTAAAGCTTGAGAGGTTATGAAAAGCATATGGGTCGCAACATACGGGTTGACTCTTTAACTCCCACATCAAATTTGTAATTCTCCTTACAGTCAACCATACAACTCTTGTAATTTTGGTTCAAAGAATTAAGTATTGGATCAACTAATTATCCCCAAATTGACATTTTTCTTTATTCTCATCACTCATCTGGTTGATATTGTATTGATATTGTAAGGAGAAGTTCAGTCTTGGTCACTCATGGGAGTTAAAGGGTAAGAGTAAATCGCGGAAATAAGTCGCAATGACAAATAGTTTCTTGCGATGAGGAAAAGTTTTGGAGAAATTCTTTGTTCCCGCGATAGAATTCTTTCCCTGCAACGAGTCACACAAGGCAGATTTGGTTTTGAATTTATTCCATGATCTCAGCGAGGAAATTCGTTCGGTGGAACGACATTTTATGAAAGTTATTCACATATTCAGCTGCCTATCGCATTGAATTATTGCCAGATGTGTTTCTTAGCTCTATGGTCGGCGCAAAATAAGGAATACCGTTGAGGCGAAAGCAAGAGATGATTTTTTCGAGCAATATCATTGTTATATTGCCTGATCTGTGATCGAAAGAGGTTGGAAATTCTGCTCATTTAAATTTGTGGGATAAAAAAAGAACTCACTCCTGATGATATATCATGTTGTAGAGATAGGGTTTTATTCCCTGCGCAAGCTGGAGGGAGATATGCAGATTTGGACGTGTGCGACAAAAAACTGACCTCATCCCATTTTGTCTCAGAAATCCTGTAGAAGCGAAAGAGATTTGTGATCGAAAGAGGTTACGTGGAAATCCTCTAGTTTGTGTTTTTGCAGGAAAAAATTGTAATAATTAAATGTGAATACGACTTTATCAAAATGATTTTAAAACTATGACATAATCTCCATTGGGCTTCTCATGAACATAAAAATTCTCTTAAACGGCATGAACCACTTATACAGTTGTCGTACCCATTTTTTGTTTCTACAAATAGCATGTCTCTTGTCAGTGACCAGAATGAGATAAAGCAGTGATGAATTTTGAATGGAGAGTACAAACTGCTTGAATGTAAAGGTGTCGAAATTTTTTGATTTGGTGAAACCTGTTTGCGTTTAAAGATAAAAGCTTGTTTTTGCTGCCAACTAAATGATGAGTCAAAAAGCACGAAATGCAAATTCAGACTATCCAAATTTTATTCATATGTAGAGAAAACCAAGGAAACAAAGAACTTTGTTTATCTAGGAATGTTTTGATCCGGCTGTAGATATATGTCCCAACCTCTGGTGATCGTTCCTTATGAAAAACGGGTGAAATTGACTAATCTTTGTGAAAATTATGAACTTTGAGACACGACCAAAACCAAAAACTTTAAAGTCATGCATTAAAATAAACTATTTCAATTAAAAAATGTAATTCCATTCAAATTGCTCTGATCGTAGATACACTAACGAAGGTACCCTTATGAATATTTTTAAACTAAAATCCATCACACCTTTATACAAAAGGCTGGGATTTGAAGTCTTTTATTTATATAGGTATCTAAAGATGCAGGGGATATTTTTCTAACCTGTGCAAACACGTTTTATTATGGTCAAAAAAAGGTGTGTTTATCAATTTTAAGAAGTTATAGATTAGTATATTATATGTTGTGTAAGTTCTGAAACATGAATCTTCGAAGAAAGCAATGGACCTTCATATGTCGTAATAACTCTGACATCTTTTGAAGTTTTCCCCAACTGGTTATTAGAAACATTGCAGAACAAATTTTAAAAGGGATGGAAAAGTTATATTACAGACTAGGTACAAACTGATTTAGTTGAGTTTTCGATTGCATGACAACAAAAAATCTACTTTTTGGAGAAAAAAAATCAATATATGTTCATTACGTGTAGATAGAAATTTCCAGCTTGAGAGTTTTTGTGCTTTTAAGTGCTCTTGGAAAAATTTCCTCGAAATTTCTTTTCAAAAGTGTCTTTTGTGTGTGGCCACTCTACATTTTCTGTGTTGAAAATTTAGTTATATGTTAAAAATGATCACAATTGGTTTGCCGCTTGTGGCTTTTGATTGGATAGGAAAACTTAGCTGTTTGGAAAATTTTAGATGGGAGTCCCTCTGAACCAAAATGTTAGCAAGTAGAAATCAAAAACCAAGCATGGGATAAGCTATTGCAATCATCAACGGTCGCTGCACATTTCGAGGTGTTAAGATGTATTTTTGGTCTCACATACGAATAATTTCTTCTTTTTTTTTTTTCAAAAGTAAATTGCTGTTATTTGAATGTCACAGAGCTTAAAATTTTACCCGGGCAACATTAAAAGTTAAAAGATCACGGAGTGCCGCAACGATTTCAAGCGTCGCAGAACGTGCCCTAATATTTTTTTTCTTGATAAATTTTCTCTTCCTGGTTAGATATTTCGCTGTTATCACCTTTCACTGAACTGAATTTTAGTGCCTTATCTCTCATATACTTTTACTTGAACCCAATAAAAACTAGCCAAAACAACTTAATCAAAGCAATGGAAATTTGTATATTCAAATCATACAAGGTAAAAACGACAATTTCTGTGAGATCATATCTGTATCTCTAGCTATTCAAAACTGCGTTTCTTATCAAACAGAAATTTAATTTTTAAGACGAAGAAAAAATGAAAGAAATGCTTTGATCAAAACGGCTTTTTCATGCTGTTAAATGTATGATTCCATAATTCTTGTCAGAGAAACAGTCTCGATTCTAGCAAAGGTGAGCAAGCTGAGCTAGGTAAAGGTACAAGTGCATTGTATCTGAATTTTATATTCATGGCCATTCTGGCGATATACCACTTAAAAAAGGCTGAGAAACCTTACCTCGGTTCCTGATATAATCTGCGATGTATGGAACCAGACCAAAGCTACGCAGAACAGAATTTTGAACATATTCTTTGAATCAAATACAGCGGGACAGCTGGTCAACTGTAGTAATTCGCGTCAAATCTCTGGTTTTGGGAGATGGGTATTTCTGCAAACGTTCTCTTCTTTATCATGGCTACCTATATACACGCGATCAGTAACAGATACTAAACTAATTTTTAAACTGCTTACGTCACTGCTAAAGTGTCAATATCTTGAACACATCCAGAAAGGATTGAGTTTCCATGGAGACTCGGATCACTTTTGAACGAATCCTCTTAACGAAGATATCCTTATTTTTAATACAGTGCCATAAATGGCGGGTTTTTCTTATCCATTTGCGATTCGTAACATTTCTTCGTCGTTCCCAAACACAGAAATATGTCTTTTTTGTGTGTGAAATTGTGTTTCGACGCTATTTTTATGTAACAAGATACACCTTGAAAATCCCTCCTTTAAATTGCTAAAGTATATACGTGTAACAAACACCCATTTCCTCTTAAAATATTTACTTCGGCAAAAATACCGCATGGAAGTAAACTCTTAAACACTTGAAAAGTATTTTATTAATAAAATCTGTTTGCAGTCCGTTTTAAAGCAGTTAGGGAAGAAATAATATATTTAACTGACAAGTTTTCCCGAGTTTGCACCACTACAAGTCATAACGAGACCTCGTTTGTCAAAGAAGGAAAGGAGAGTGATTAACAGAGCTAACTTCTGGAACCCTTCAGATTGTAAAAAGAAAACCGTGCAAATATAAGCTAAGCTTAAAATGATACTCTTAGCTAACGTAAAGACAGAAAGAATTACATAGTCATTATTTGAGATTAAAATTTTTAGTACTTCCGGTACAAAGCTGTGGCCTTTAGAAATTTTTCACCCTTTCATGGGTTTTCTCCAGTAATCCCACTTTGTTGCAAAAACAAATTTTAATGAAAAATATTTTCTTTGGTAACGCTGGACGCGTAATAAACAAAATTTTTGTTTGCTGAATTTTCTTTTCTTCGAAGAATTTTAAAATATAGTACAATTTATCCTCTGATATCACTCCGATTTCCGAGATTTACGTTTGCATTGTGTTCAGCCCGAAAGGTCTTTGATCGTGCGAAAAAATAGACATTTCAAGTGCAAAGTGATATCGTTTGTAACGATGTAATATTTTACGAAATATTTTCTTAATTGCTCCGTAAACATCCCATCGTTTGCGGAAGACACTCACAATTAAGTGGTAAGAGTCCTTGGCGATTTTTATTCATTCAAATTCTTGTCGCGTTTTCGAACAAACTGTAGAGTACTCATTAATTAACTATAACTAGTATTGTAACGTATTGTAAAATATTGGTCTGCCCCCTTAACCACTCATTACTTTGGATTTAGCTCCTTCAAAATCTGCTTGAAGGTTGTACAGGGAATTAGTTGACTTCTAAATTAATAACAGTATTAAAATGAAGAAATGAATTAAACTTCCAATCTCTGGCGCTTTCCACTGATGTCCAGATATAACTGGAATTACAATCTTGAAATAAAATTAGAGATTTATCAAAATTCTGTGAAAATTCGTTTCATAGTTTAGGGATAGAATAAAATGGAAGTTTTATTGTCTACAAGTTATACTTCTGAAGAACGTTTTGGATCAGGGTAGGTAAGGGGACGCAGAACTCTATAAGTCCATGCGCATGAGAGTCCGTCGAGTATTTTCAGCGAAACGATCACGATGAATTGAAAGGACAATCATAGATTTAGCGGCGACTCGGGCTAGTCTTTGGCAGCCTGTCATATGAATTCGAACTTAAGCTTTATAACCAGTGCATGATCAAAGTTAGGGAATGGAGAACAAATTCACGCGAGTAAAAATTTGGAGAGAAAAGAGCTTAGAGATCAACGCAAAGTTTGCTCCTTCCAATCAATTTTTTTTTGGCGAAGAAAGATGATAATTATCGAACACTATCTGTATCTCGGTGAGGATTTGAAAAATGCTTTCAAAATGGCTGATCCTAGCTGTAGGCAGGAAATTTGCCACAAATAAACTGTCATGATTTGGCTTTATCGACAGAAATGTAAAATGACCATTGTAAAGAGTGTCTAAAGCTGATATTTCGAGCTTTAGCCCTTTGTCAGATAAAGTGAGTCCTGTGCAGCTAACTTGTTTCAAAATCATGAGTTCTAATAATAGCCGAGACTCAGATTGTCAGTTCTTAATTTGTCCGGCTAACTCACTCGAAAAATTCAGGCATCTTTCTTTATTCCACGATCGAGATAATGGACGAGTTTTTCCCCAGTCTGGTCTTATCTGTCAATTCAAATTATCGCCTGAACTTTAAGTCAATTGACGGAGCATTGCAAGAAAATTTTCCCATCCCTTCGCAAGATCGAAGCTGAACAGGTGAGCATTCTCTTGCAATAATGATACCTTAGGTCAACCATGCAGAATTATTTGTCAGTCTTTTGAAGAGAATTTTGAGAACGCGAATTTATTACAATATAAGATCTGTGTGACATAACAAAGAAAAACGCGATGGTCAGGTTATGTGAAAGTCTCGGCACCAGGGCTTCACTTTTTAGACAATACAAAAGCAGTTATCGTTTGTGAGAATTTTGTACTTCCGCGGTTAGAGTAGGATACCATTTATTATGCAGTATCACGAAATATCAATGAATTCACTATAAGAGAGGTCTAAACACTCTTCGAATTATCTTAAGAACCTCAGCTGTTGTTGGTTGAAAACAAAACCTTTACGGTAATTAATGGCCACTTCCAATATATTTTAAACAGGAAAAAAAATCTGACAAAGTACGCTCCAACGTCAGCTTTACAAACTCTCGGTGGCCAATTTACATCGGTCATCAACTCAGTTGATAAATTCAAATTATCTTGTTATACTTCCCCACCGACGCATTACCACAGTTTCTTTAAAAATTAAACTGATTCCTTTTATTCACATGATATAATATACCTTTGTTGTTGTTTTTTTTTTCAATAGGTTCAAACTGGAATTCTTTTGATCCATTACGTCGTCAATTGCAAATAATCAATGTTTTCTGAATTAGCGGAAAAGGTGGAAGAGTAGAGAAAAATTCTGCTCTTAATTCTTACGTATTCTGCCCGCTTTCAAGAGAATCGTTAAATTGTACTTTTGTTGTTCAAAACTACGGTCCAAAAAGCGAAATTGGCTCTATCCGAGCAGCTTTGAGTAAGTATTGGAAAAACGCCGTCTAATTATCCAACTGCACAAAGTAGAGCACAAATTGCGCGTGAATAAAGTACGAATATCCTAAGATATTGTAGGGTTATTTGGATAATTGGTAATTTTTTTCTGTAAAAAAACCTGTTTAACAAGTCGGCTGCACGCGCTGCGCTTCTCGTTGTTTGCATTTTGACTCGCTCTACGGGCTCGTCACTACTCAGTCGTAAAAATACTCAGCAGTAATACACCCCAAAACGTCTATCAAGATATATATATATATATATTACGATGGCGGTTTTTTATCTTAAGTCGATAAATAGGAATATTTCGAAGTGTCAGAGGTTATCAGCCCTTCAGCTTACTCCTTTTAAGCATGATTTAAATTATTTCCTTCTCAGGAGATATTTATTATTATGGAAGCCATAAATTATGCGGCTAATTATGCTGGCAGAATTTTCAACATTGAGACATTGGGAAAAGCCATAGCTTATTTTTTTTGGTGATGAAAGCAACTTTTTATCAGTAAAATATTTTCCAGTGAGTCCTTAAACTGCTCTTAAAATTAAAAACGAGTAAAAAAAAAAGTATCCGAGCTTTCGCCGATCCACGGCATTATCAGCTGTTTATATTTAAAATTTGACCGAGATGTGTCTCTTTATACAAAAGTATAAAATTATACTCGTCTTTCAGTGTAATGTCAACCGCTCCTTTCAGAATTTTTTTCAACACTTACTTTTAATGTCATATATCCCACTTTTCTATAATGCTTTGTCATAGATATTAAAGCCTGCAAAACTGCAAAGACAGAGGCGTAGCTAGTCAAGTTATAGGTGAAAAAAATCAACAAAACCACTAAATTATTTAAGGCTGCGGCACTTTCAAAAAGACGTTTCGGTAAACAAAAGTTCAATTGTAAAAAATCCGCCCCCACTTTATCTGGATTAGACATAAAAAAAGTGTTCGTGGTGATAAAAATGTTCGGTAATTTCTCTAGTCCTTCTCTCGTTGTACAGTGGTTTTAGGCTGTTAAAAACACTACTTTTAGCTTGGTATAGTGCATTAAGTCTTTTCTCTGAGATATAATTAGGTATATTAGCACACGCATTGTAAGAAAACCTCAGGCATTTAAGAGTTACAGCTGAGCTTTGTGAAGATCTAAAAAATTGTCTTTGAATTTGTAGAAAAACTCTGGCAAATTTATCGATATAATGAGTCTTATAGAAAAGAACACTGGTTTAGAGGCCGATAAATGTGCATAGGCCAAAACAAACCCGAAATTGGCCAATTTGGGTCAAATCTACCGCTCTTTATTTTTACAGTCAGGCCGGTCAGTGATATCATAATTTCTGTCCAGTGTGGTAATTTCGCGCAATTATAAAACATGGCGAACAACCATCTGTTCTCAAGTGATTAATTATACAGGAGTTCCACTAACTATTGATAACATCTTCACCGGACTATATATTGGACATTTAGCTTTTCATATCACTTACTTTTAAACATCAGCAATGAAGGTGATAGCGCTTTTGACGTTCCTGGGTTTCCGTCTGAATCCCTACACAGTTTCTGCGCGGTTGAACCCAAAGGCGATTATATACGACTCTTTGAAGGTAAGTTTTGTACAACGAAACATTATCCTCTTACATCATTGTAAAAAGTGATACCGACCAAGAAAATGAGTAAATATATGATATGGCAGCTCGAGCTTTAAGAAATTTTATCAACAGGGAAAAAATGGTTTTAATTTAAATGTAAAGAGCCGTTTTTCCATTTCATCGCGTCTGAAATTACGTGTTAAACAAACTATGCTCAATAAATAGCTAACAAATTTGACCTCTAAGAGAAAGAAGTTAACAAAATTCAGAAATTTCGGAAAATTAATGATATTTTATACTTTTTATTTAAAAGAAGCAGTGAGAATGTATCGATTGTGAAAGCAAATTTATTGAATGAAGAATTGTACCTTCAGCCTAATCGAGGTGAATGTCCTGACTCTTACCGCCCACTGAAACCGAAGACTCTGAAGTTTAATAAACGATAATGCAAACGCGATAACAAAATTAAAATAAAAACTGATAATGGTTTTCTTTCATGGAAACCAAGGCGTTTAAAATTTTAGGGTGAATTTACTCGTACTCTGTTCCATTTTCATTTTGTTGTTGTTGTAAATTTAAAAGATCTTGCTCAAAATCCATGTACCAGGTTTCAATTTTCCGATCTCTTTAGCCTTTACCAAAGACTTCCCCTTTACAGAAGACTCCTCAAGACAGGTGTAAAATAAGCGTGGCATATTTATTAACGTAATGTTGTGCCTGTAAATATATGAAGGAATCAATTGCTGATCTATCACGCTATGAAAACATGTAGACACAGGCCTTCTATTTCTGGTTTGAAATCCCTCTCGAGTTGACGTGACATCCTCTATAAAACGTTTTGGTTTTCCCGAGGGCTTCCTGGAATTTTTTGAAAAATCAGGGACATTGCAAGGTTTAAAGATAACTAAGGAGAAGTTAGTGAAAATGATACTAAATTTTTAATCATTTTCATTCATAATACTGATGACACGGACTAGTATCAACGCTAGCTGGTATTATATATTGCTTTGACATGTTTCCAATTAAATAACACGCCCCCGCCAAAATCATTTGATCATGATATGATGCCAGATAAAACACCCACTCTACCACCGATGATTTTTATAAATAGAAAATCTTTACGATTTTTTTTTAATTTTGTAAAGTGACATTGACTCTGATAAACCCAGTGGGGACGAGCTATGAACGCATATATGTATGTATGTAAGTTTGTAAGTACTGATGAAGAGAAGGCGTGCTTGATTAAACGAAAAAGTGCTTTTTCTTTGACAAAATAGGGAACTTCTGACACGTTGTACAAGTACAAGACAAGAGAAACGAGCATTGCCTCCATTTCAGAGCGTCAGTTGGGAAAACGGGTCTCAAATGAAAACGGTCCAACACAGCGCAGTAAGAAACACCTTCCTTTGCAGTATTTCTTCGAGATGTCACGCAACGGGAGGGAGCGTTGCGTTACATCTTAAAGTACAGCTGCAAGACTATATATGAATTAGTGAGGCAGATTTCCTTCCTTTTTCTTCTTTCTTTGTTTTGTTTTTTTAATCTGTTTGTACCTGCCCTGGGTGCCTACTCTTAAAACAAAATTTATTATCTCTTCCGTGCAAACTAAAATGCTCTTAAAAGACTAGTGATTCTCCAAGTCTATCTTTCAAATTTGTTCCACCATTTTCTACATGAAGACCACTAAATGTATTTATCTCAAAAATATAACCTATGAGAAGATAAATTTTGTTTTACATTGACCACTCAGCATAATTAGCTCTCGTTCAGTAGACTTTGAAAGAATACGGAAGCAGTAGATTTTACCGGCAAAAGGGAGAAGTTTCTGCCCGGAAAATTTTCAAAAAAACTATCTTGCGCTCGACCCAGTGCTGGGCGCCGAAAAAAGTGAAAGTGGGCTGCTTTCATGATAGGGGTGGAACAGGAGAAAGACGCTACCGCCATTTTGAAAACCGAAAAGCCCCTGGGGACGATGTTAGAACGTGGGTTGTTACCATGACAATTTATAACAACTACATGGTTTTATGGCGGCTTTGCTTGATCTCTTGATCATTCATTCTTTTGAATTGCATAAATGTGTATTACTGATATCACCTTTCACATCACAAAGAGATCATCCCCAAGCAACTCATTTCCTTTCTTTCGCCTTTTCCGTGATATAGATAGAACTGGCAAGGTCGTCAAATTAGAGATGCAGTATTGTCGGCCATACCCCACCATTGTGCAAGTGAGCGATCCGTTGAAATGGGGAAACTTCTATTTACCCAGCTTTGTTGAGCTTCATCGTTGCGCTGGAGGCTGTCCTTTACATCCAAGTAAGTTTATTGGACGACCGTCAATAAATAATTAGCCCGGGATAGCGTTAATTTTGCTCTAAGAGTACATTCGTATGAGTGTCGTAATTTCTGAGCCAAGGTAATCACGACAACCAATCGATGGAAAGGAAAATATCACAAGGAACCAATGAGAACTTGAAGAAAAAGCGAGAAAACTGCTCGAAGCGCGTGAAAACGCGAGTAAATCTGATTGGTTAAGAAAATGGGGCGAGTTTTATGGATCGAACACTAAGTGGTGGTGGATAAAACCAGATATAAAGTAACCCAGAAGCAAAACCATTGTCACTCAATTGAACTTGCAATAATTTACTCTTTTATTGGTTAAAAAAAATCGGGGGGGGGGAACATAAGAAGATTACAGAGCCTTATGGGGGGGGGATCAGGCACCTCCCTTCCCCCTTACCCCACCCCTTATGGGCGATAACTAATGACCATTCTCGTACTTCTCGGCTACAGAATACACGAGTTACTTATATCGGATCAATATCAGTATCTGGGCAACTGCCCACCTACCCCTCCCTTAACCCAACATTAACCCTAACTTGTTATCAATTGACTGTTGTTGAGTTAGGGGAGGGGTAGGTTTGGCAGTTGCCCAGATACTGATATCGATCCCCTATATCAATGCATTCTTCGTTTCAGGTGTTGGTTACTGCGCAATGACTAAAGAAGAGAATGTAACAATTCTTGTAACTGTTCATGGACGCCAAATATTTAATAATCAATTTCAAGTTGTCATGAGTAACCACACTGATTGCTCATGCGCATGTGTGCCACAAAAGTGTCACCCCGGGCAACGATTCAACACTAACCAATGTAGCTGCGAGTGCACTGATGTTAAGGATAAAGACAGCTGTCAATCAACTGACAACATGCAGTGGGACAAGAATCAATGTCGTTGTGTATGCAGTATCAGACGAACTTGCAACTTGGGATATAAATTTAGTTTTAATACGTGTCAATGTGAACCTGACGAGGAAGAAATTCTAGCAAGGCTGTAAGGTTACTTACGACCTCTGATTTAGGTAAAACTTGCTCTTGTGAAAAGTTATTTGCCGGAAATAAATGATACTTTTCAGACAAGTCTTGTCCTGTTTATGGTCTGAACTCGCATGAATGAAGACATTTCGCAAAACTAAGACATTTTCATAGTAATATTCTCCTTCTTTGCAAAAATATGTTAGCTTGTCTAGATTCAAGGCTACGTCAAAAACACTAAAAGCCATTAACTTTGCGCAAAAACTGCTAAAAAAGGCAAACATTAATTGCTCAAGGTTGTTAGAACCGCAAAAAGTTGCACCAGACGCCAAAAGTTGGTCAAAAGTTGCTCAGCGCAATGTGGACAGGCCTACACGTCACAAGATTCCAATTTTAAATTAGAATCTAGCGGGGTTTGATAAACAGGCAAACAAAGCGCATTATTGGACTTCAGAATATTCATAGTGCAAGTAAATTACTGTTTGTGTCCGTCGGAACAAGAGTTTCATACGAGCTGCAACGGAAGAGGGGAACGGGGGGGGCGTCACTGAATTTTCACGTATCCCAACTTTACGTCTTCTTTGATCCCCAGGTGGAAAGACACATGCACAGCTCAAGGCAGTTCATTTGCTTTGTACAGAGGGGAAAATAAAATGCTTTCAAAAGACCCTAACTACAGTAAGGTGTTTTACTAAGGCTCTCGACCTTTGAAACATTTTGTGCTTTAAAACATATTTCTCAAATCACCAAAAGCGCTCGTCTTCGCTTTCAGAAAGTTTTAATCCCCAGTAAACCGAACTTGTTCAACTTTTTACCCGAAAAATCCGGCGCGTAAACCCATTTTTTTTCTTTCACCATACAACAACTATGCACCATGTGAACAATCCGAAGAAAAGAAGGGTCTCTTTTTCTTTTCAAGTGAATCGCGTATCTGTACTCTGCAACTGCCAGTTACATTGACACATCATTGTACAAGTAAAAAAAGAGATGTTTGGATACATTACATCATGCATTTTTGCGCTTTATTTAACATTCACTTTAACTTTTTCCTATAATTACCTAACTATAAAAGTGAAAAAGAAAAAAAAAGGTTTCTTTCAACGTTAATAGTAAATTCCAAAAGTTTTACTCGAGTTCTATATCACACCTAAAATTGCGTTTTCAACGAGTTTAATACAGCACATTTCTTTTCCCAGCTCTTGGAACACATTCACATGTGTCTAGGATCTGATTTTCGTCAACGTTACACCTTGTTTTGCAGTTACACCGGCAATTATTGACGTCACGCTCGTGAATTTGATCATTACATCGCACGTGACATTGACATTCGCACGCCTCGTGCTCTATCACGGGGCGGGTGGGGTTTATCAAAGGACGATTCCTCATGATGACGTCAATTGAACGCCATTTGGTCGCTGTGCAGTTCTGCCAGGCCAGACCGTGATCACACGCGCCTTGGCAGCGATTGACCATTACAAACTGGGGATCATTTCGGACGTTTCCATCTCCATTTTGAACCGGTACAATTTTTGGGTAAAGCCCGCAACGAATCTCGGGCAGGATCTCCTTATCTAGGAAAAAACGTCAAATCAAAAGGAAGAAAATGATAAATATTTGTCTGGGAGACCAAAGGAAAGTATCAAATATTCGGTATCTGTATTTTTCTGAGGCAGAGAATTGATGCAGTGGGAACCACCTTTGCACCACGACGAATTACCGCTGATCCAGGATTCCCACAGCATATCTTTTGTACATAGAATGGGGAAAAAAGTAAGTTTTGAGCTCTGCTGACCCTAGCAGTATGTAGGACGCGTATCATGTATGAACTTCGTAATGGGCTTAGCTCACCGTAGAGTTTCGGTGGCTCAGTGGTGGAGCATCAGAGCACGAGGTCTGAAGATCGATTCCTTATGGGAACTCAGAATTTTTTCTTTCTTTCACACTCATAGGAAGACGAAAAACATCTTTCTCTGGCATATATTTTGTTCAACAGGGTTACTATTTTCATGACTAGAACATGCTGAACAAGAATTTTCACCTCTCTTAGTTTGTTTGAATGTCTTGAACCCAGACCTCTCTCTCTTTGCCATATCGTTAGGTTCCAGTACATCAATTTCTTCATCCTGAGGGGGGAAAAAAGAGGAAAGAAATTTGAATAAATAATTGTAATCGTCTTTTTATCATACGTTAAAAATTTTTTTGTACCTCAGACTTATTAAAATTAGCCAAAATAAATACTGTGATAATGATATCATTTATCTTTCACTTTTCCCGGAAACGAAAATTCTCGCTAGCAGGCCATTTTCCAAGATGGCTTAAGTTGTCGCACAGTTGGAAATGTGTGGCATTGTTTAAATTTGGTTGTCTGGGTGAATTTCTCATCACTTGCTCCCATTTCTACTATTTACCCCCGATTTCTGTACCAAAAGTTAGTCACGTTAGACAAGAATTTTGCGGTCCAGACAGCGTCAGAAAAAATTAAAAACGGCGTTTTCACACAATATAACGATCAACAGCAGCGGAAACATCGCCCATGCGCAAACAAAGGGTGTAGTTAATCCAGCTGAAATACTACTAACAGCGGTGACGTTATCTTCTTTGAAATGTAATATCTTTTCCGTCGCACTGAAACGCTAAGCCAGTGTGTTCAAATTTTCAACTTTAAATAGCGCCCCGGTAAGAAATGTTTCAGATAATTTATCCAATTTTGTGCAGGGAGAAGACTTATCTCAAGGAATCGAAGTTACGCCTTTATAATCAGCCGAAGAAAGCTTTGATTATTACAGCTTCCCTTTAAACTTTTGAGCGAGCGAAGCTTAGAGACCAGTTGAAAAAAAATACATCATACACCAGAAGTTGGGGGAGTGAGGAAAGATTTTGGCGGGATCACATGGTTTTCAGCGGGAATGGAGGGGGATTAGTCGTCGCTAACAGAGCATAAAGGGAAGACCACCGAAAGTTGACAGTCAATGAGTAGGGATCATTAGATTACCGCGAAGCCTAAGAGGAGGGGGGTCTGGTAAATTTTACTGTGACATAGGCAAAATCCTCCGACTCCCCGCCCCCACCCCCTTCCCCACACCGGTATACAATGAAAAGTGAATTAAAGGAAGCTGAACCACCATGTTTATTCATTTCCTTTTCCAGCGCTGTCTAAAACACGTAATTGAATTAAATGCAAATGTTTAATCGATCGAACGCAGCTTTTAGCGTTGCTAGGAAACCTTTCAGCTTACTAGTAACGTCAAATGGTTTTTTTTTTTTTTTTTTTTTTTTTTTTTTTTAACTAGAGTCGCGGTGAAGTTATATTTAGCTCTGTAACACACGCATTATCCCCTATTTTCAACTTAATTTTTTAATGTTCGGAAATTTAAACCGGAGGTACTTAGGCTTAGGAAATTAATTTGACATTTGAGGCGGCTAATAGAGACATTTGTTTAGAACGTCCCTGTTTCCTAATCGGTTTCCGAAGTTTTATCTCTGCTTATGATAAGCAATAAATTAACTTCAACACTTTGCTGGAAAAACCAACAAAAGACTGAGGAAGCCAACAAAAAAGCAGGGAAGCCATTCAAAAGGGAAGAATCCTTTGTTCTTTCCACGACAAAATCTAACAAAAGAAATTTTAAAAATTGGATTCGCCATAACTGCTATGAATTTTTCTCCTGGGCTTCTTAGATCATTGAAAGGCGTGAGACAACAAAGAAATATGGATTATGGTAAAATAGATGCACAAAACTATGCAATAAAACAACGGTGCGCAACAGGTTTCCTGATAAAGTTGGAGGAGCGGGCAATCTTTCTCTTTCAAATTCACCCGCAAAAAAGATAAATTTTTTCTCTCGCCCAATTTTTTCCTTTCATAGACTAAATTTGTTCCCAAACGAATACACCACGTGAATCGATTCATGAAATAACGAAGCCAAAAAGCAATTGTTGCAAAGCGATTTCTGTTTTTTAACATGGGAGAAAAAAAAAATTCCTTATATGAGAATATTTTTAAAGAAAGTCACAACCCTTTACTCACCCCAAGATAGCTTCTTTCGCCAAAGCTTTTTGAAGCCAAAATTAGTGCAACACAAAGGGTCCAGCGGAAGAAAGTCTGAAAAATCATAGTTGTGCACCTCACCGTGGTATTAGCGGGAATGAGTCCGACTGGAGCGGATGTTCGGTCTTTGTAATGTAGGCTTTTATAAACAATCTGCTTGCATCACATGCTCACATATGGGCGTGCGCCACTCACACACGCAAATGGTTTCTTACACGACGGGAACTCATTGTTTTAAAAAGTCAGGAATTATGTCTTATTTTGGCGGTTGAGATCTGCAAGGTGTCTCTATTGTAAAAAAAAAATGCAGTTATTCAAACAACTGAAAACCGAGGGCCTTACTTTCTGATCGAAATTTATCTTTAATTGTCTAGTTCATCGTTTGCTACGAATATAACAAAGAGGTTTGTACTTTGCGTTTTAGTTCCCTAGTCTATCAATATAAATAGGCCTAATGCATTCTTATGTTACTTGCTCCGCTGAATAAATATGGTTGATTGTCTAAAGTTAACTTCCTCTTTTTTGGTCCTTATTAAAAATTAATTCGCGTTCGTTTTGCATCTAAGTGGGTGCTTTGGGGAATTTTTTTAAGAACATCAGCATGAAATTTTTCAATTTCAAAATTATATTGTATCAGTTCGGAGGGGTAAAGTTAATTTCAACGGCAGAAATTCTCTCAATAAAAGATCTGCTTATTTTTAACTCGAGAGAAGGGAAAGAGATTAAGACGAACTGTGTTCAATTCAGTTCCTCCTGCTATGTTTGGATTTTTAATTCATCTCTTTTTAATTAATCTTAAGAAGAATCGTGTATTTTTCCAAAGCTGTGTAATTTAGCCGTGTATAAAATTTAAATAAAATTTGCGATATCTTAAAAGCAGCACACCATGTTTGTTTCATACGCACGGCGTGCTTAGGTAATGAATTTGCGCCGACATTTTGGGACAATACAATGTCCTAATAAAACTCATACTGTGAATTAGTCTCAGTAGGATTGTTAAACCAAAATACCTCATCTTGTTTTAAAACTTAAAATAGATCACAGATAATATATATCTCTACGTATATATATATATTTTTTTTTGTTTTTCAAGCATATGTCCGATTCACTTTTCATTTTAGCTGAAATAACGAAGTAGAAAAGGAAGCTTTAATAAAGTTTCGATAAACTGAATACTCTTATATTCTAATACTAAGTTTTTATAAACTGCATTTTGAAAACATGACTTCGAATATAACTTCAAGCTGGTGTTCATTTCCTTCAATTACCAAACTGGCTGTTCTCGGCCCAACAGGAATTCGTTTATCAAAGTAAATATTTTGATAAGAATAATTTCCCTTTAAATTCTGTTTTATCGATTATAACTACCCTGCGCGGTTAATTTACTAATTCGAAAGAAGCTTACGAAGCTATTGAGAGAGGTTACAGAAAACTGCGCCTGAAGAACAGCTTGCATGATCCATCACCATGATCAAAATATTTTTAAAATTCAGTGTTTTGTGTAATTTATCTGAAGAGGTGGGAGAACGCGTTCTCAAATGCCAAATTCTGATGAGATTAGATGCGTGGTCGCCGTAGTTCACCACAAAGTACTCGCAGTGAGATAGAAAATACCGGAAACTCGCGATAAGTGTAAAATGAACAAGTGTGGTTAAGTTTGGATGAGATGATTTAACAGGAATAACAATAGAAGGCCAGACTGCAAAATTCGGCTATTTTTTTCAGCCTCCAAGACTGAGCGAAATTACTTCCCGAAAACATTTTGCTACGGCGTAAATTATTGTTCGATCCAGAAACAAGCTCTAAAATGGTTTCTGTCTCTTCATAGTAATAAGGTTGTTTGCTCTTCAAGATATCATTTACACCATCTACAATTAACACGACAGCAGTGAATTTTTTTCTACCAGTGCTTGTAAGCGATAAATGTTCAATGGAAACTTAGCTGAAGTCTATTTTTGGTTAAAAAAAAAAAAAGAAAAAAAAAAAAAGCCGAGGATCGACATGCTGTTTAAGTCAGAGTCCTGTGGACCACAAATCAATCTTCATAAGATCCGTCAAGAACAAACAGTGTTCCAGAAAATTAATAGAAGAAATTCTGTCTTTGGTCAATGGTTTGTTAAATGGTAATCGAGAGCAGACGTCGTAATAAGCTGGAGATGCCTTGGGGCGAAAACAGGAAGCCATTCAATATTTTACTGCAAGCTGCGCCGCCGAGTAATTTTAAACGTAATAACTGGAATAGTCTGAAAAATAAACCATGCATAATGTCATATAATGAAAAAAACGAAGAGAGAAGAAAGACTACCCCTAAGAAGTAGGAAAAGGAACAAATGAAATAATGATCAAATGAACAATAGATATAATAAAAAAAAATAGGAAGAAAAAGTGAAAAACAAAGACAGCTGGTAGCAACAGCACAAGTTAATCCTTTCACTCCCAGATCTCATTAGTAATTCTCCTTACTCTCTTCCATAAAATTCTTATGATGTAAGTTTCGAGAATTGGGTATTCAATCACTTTTATCTCTTAATCGATATTTTTCTCTATTCTCATCACTTGTCTGTTAAGTTAAATTTCAAGGAAAAATTCTGTCTCGTCACTTGAGGGAGTTACAGCTTCCTGTACGCCGATACTTCAAGCTGTTAATTTTTTTGATTCATGCCTCTTCACGTATGACAACTCTTCATCACTAAAGCTTCTGTCAGTCTCCTGCCGCAAAAGAAGTTTCCTTTCGACAGCTGGCTGTGGTATCAAGTTATCATTGCTATGACAAGCAAAATCTTGCTCCTGTTTCCCAAACTCTTGTAATTCGCGATAAACCTAACTTTTAAAGAAATATCTTGAGAAGCCTTTTTTCAATTTGTGTTGTAAATTGGCGTTGGGTTTCTAATTTGTAAACCCCAATAAATCAATTTGAAAAGAAAGATTTTCTCTGACTAGAATTGCATTCAGACAAGCCCTAACAACTGTATACAAGGGAGGAGTTTAATTCGCCGGACGACGTGCTGTGTGAGGCGTGTGTTTCTGATTTGTAATCCTAGTTTGGCAGTTTCTAAGGGACGATATTTTGTGACTAAAATTTGATACAGAAAAACTTCATATGTAAAGCTCAAGTTATAAAGAGAATAAAGACAATTAATTAAGGTTAGAGTCATCAGTATCACGCTAAAATTCATTTCAATATTCACAATTTTTCTGAATATCAACGCCTCACTTGCTGACGGTAAGATAGCAGTTTATAAAGAATGACTGCACTGGCGACTCGTACCAGCTCTCTCTCTCAAGAGAAATTAAAACCGACTTCTATAAGGAAGTCTGAGACGTTGTCCTCAAGTTTCGCAGACTAGAGGAAGAAATTAATTTAATGGACCTAACGGAAGTTTCAGCTTGTATTACCTAGACTACTTAATTTTGTCATGATTTAATCCGGCTAAAAACACGAAATCATTACAAACCGAGTTGCGCGCTCCAGTGATTGGCCTGGGACGGGGATGATTTTTAGGCAGAGTAAGACTGGGGAGAGATGACTCACTTTATCCGTTCGTAGGCGATTTTAGATAATATTTTTAGCCCGAGCATGAAGTTTGGCTCAAGAAGAAAAAAAACAAACAAAACACCTAGCAAAAAATCAAAGAAACAAAACAAAAGCAACAACACTTGATGTTATTTCGCAGTCCAACAGTTGCGGTGGGCATCGATCAGTCCATAAATTTCAATCTGTTATCACTTCTATGGAATTTTTGGGTCTCTTGAGGTCTTTGAGGTATAAAAAGGAGCTTTTACTCTTAGAAGTGGGTGATGATTCCGTTTTTCCGAGTCTTTTCCTTAGCCTCATTAAAACAAAGATGGCGTCAACATTTCGCGCCCACGTCTTTGGATTGCGCAATTTGTTGATATCCCATAGTTCCCTGAGGCACTCAAGCGAGTTGGACAAGAAAACATGGAGGATTTGGCTGTGGAGGTGTGCGGAAAAAATGGGGCTTATTATAAGGTGAGAGCCATAAAATGAAAAAAATATCTCGGCAAAAATGTTGAATAATTATGGAAGTTTTATTTCCTAGGGTTATGTGAAGAATATTCACCAGGATCAAGTAACGATTGCTTTTGAACATGAGTACGTATGCTAAGATTTTGGCGGCGCGCGATTTTGCAATTGTCATTCATTGTTTACCTTTATACAATGTTTATCTTCAAATCCTTGGTTTATTGTTTTCGAACAGACAAAATGACTGCAGGAGGGTTCCCTATGAAGAAGTCCGTTTGCCACCCGCTTCAAATCAACGATGTGATCTATATGTGGACGATGAAGTTGAGGTCTGTGTAGGGAAAACCTGTTTTTTGTACCCGGGCCCCATGTGATAAAATAGCGTAAGGTCACAGGGCATATACTGACGTAAAGAAAGAGCTTGATTGCTTTCATTCACGGTGGGGTTGATTAACATTTCATATCAATGTCCTTAAATCACTGTGTTATTTCTGATTATTAGCAATTTCTATGGCAAATTGATCCTCTAATTTGGTGCGATTGTGCAATAACAGTTCAAGTGTTAACCAGTTCCATTTCGCACATGTGGTAGTGTAAATTCAGTGTAAATCAACAAGCCCATGTGCAATATTTCGCGGTCAGATGATTTTTAATAAGTTTTCTCAGTTGTTTACTTTAAGATCGGGTTTTTCGGCGGTGACAGTTAAGTCATGTATATACCCTATTGTTCAACGTTTGGCTAATTGAGAGAGAAAATAACTCTCTGGCTTACGTCATTTTGAGAAATACTCGTGAATCCTGGAAAAAGTCGTGTGTTTTTTTCTTTTTCGCCCTAATGAATGGTTTGGTTTTTTTTTCTCAATTCAAAAAGTTAGTTTTAGCGAGCAGTAGGGTGGGTTATTTGTCAAAAACACTGATAAGACATTGGTTCTCATACATCCTGATATCAGTATACATATCCTCCATACTGCTCTCTTTACAATTCCTAAAGTGCTGACAAGGAGAATTTATCTAACAGTCAAGAGCTTTTTTTTAATTGGTGATCATTTCCTTTATTCTCATGACCTTAATGGTTGATTCAGGGGTAGTTTTGTAAGTAGAAATTAGATGCTAATCATTCTTATTGATCAAAGAGTTGACAATTTGACTCTCATTGCTTATTTGTAAATTCTCCTTACAATTTTATTGAACCATAAGGCAAACAGGTTATAAGAATAATGACACTGATCAACAAAGATATTTGCAAGGCTGTCTCTGAGTTTGAAAGAAGGCAAATAAGAAATAGTAGGTGGCCAGGTTATCATGGATGCCATGTTTTTTTATCAGATAACGTATTCAATTAATTGAGAAATCCCATACACTTTGTGAAGATTACATGCAATTTCAAGCAAATACTGAATGTGGAATTGATTCACATATTTTACCCTGTTTCTAGTTAATAATGCTTTTAATTCCATTATAAACTGGGAAATGGTGTCTTTACAGTTTTCTGGAGTGGCATTTCAATAATAGTACAATTTTTCATCAGTACCTATGTTGTGGCAGTAGGAATTGAAAGCACCCTGCTAAATATGGCAGATTAGCTAGCAATTTTGGTGGGCTACTGGTGCTTATTGACAGCTCTGCATTATGTATTAAGGTTTTTAATGATAACTTTTTACACCTTGATATCAGTATGCATATTCTCCATACTGTTCTCTATACATTTCCTAAGGTGCTGACAAGGAGAATTTGTTAAAAATCATGAGTTTCTTAAATTGGTGATCATTTCCTTCATTCTCATGACCTAAATGTTAGATTCAGGAATGTTACTGTAGCAAGAAATTAGATGCTTTTCACACTTGGGGTTTAAGAGTTAAAGAAGAGTTCAAAATTGAATAAGTGATGCTTGTTTGTTTATCAATTAAAGGTGTTTACTAGAGACGATGACGGGGAGCCTTGTGGCTGGTGGTTGGCCAGAATTGTTCACAAAAAGGGAGAGGTATTTAGCCTTACTTTTAATGTTTATTGATTTTCAAAAAATGTACATACAAATGTTGCCATTTGTAGATAAATCAAGACAGCTCTTCACAAAATTCTTAAGGACCTTATTTTACAGAATTGCAGTCTTGTTGAAACCTATCTTTCTCTATACAGGATGTTTTTATAATTTTAAACCTTAAGGTTATACTGGATGCTTCTTACCTAGAAATTAAACCTACAACCCAGATCACAAGGGATTGCTTTTCCTGATTCTTCCCTCCTCCCCCCTTTCCCCAATGCAATGTTGACTGAATAATGTTTTTGTTACCAACACATACATATTCTAGTAATATTCAACGCTGAAGGAGGGAATGGATTTCCAAAACTTTCATTGTGGGTCACAGATCAACACTTGATATTTTTTTCGGATGAATTTTGCAAAATGATGTGTCGAAGATCCTGATAATGTAGCCTAGATTTTGAACACATTCCCTGTAGCTCACTTGGTAGAGTTTTGAACTACAATATCAGAACTGGCAGGGGTTTGCATTCCATAGCTTCAAATCTTTTGTCCAGTGCTCCTGAAAAATGTTTAACACCATGATTTATTTTGTTCTTTGTTGATCTAGGATGAGATACTGCAAGAACTGTGCCTGACTCAGTGTTTATTTATTTTATTTTTTAGTTCTATGTGATTCAGTATGCTGGATGGGATGCAACTTTTAATGAGATTGTTCCACGAGAGAGAATACGCCCCTCCAGTCGCAAGTGAGTTTTCCAGAAGAGAAAGTTGTTTCTTTTCTCTTTACTTATTTTTTTTCTCTCTGATTGATTCATTAGAAATCATATTTTTGGCATATACACATCAAAGTTCACTTTCAATGCGATGTTTGTTTTGTGGAAGTGTTGAAAATTTCTGTTTCCATGAAAGTGGTGCCCATCTGAGAGACATTAGCCATAGTTGTTTTTAGGGACCAAGCTTATATGATATAAGAATTGCAGGAACATTAATTAAAAATAGGCCAATACAAAATAGGGTACAATTAGGTTTTCATGTACATCATACTGTTTTGTTAGATTACACACAAGATTTGGAATTATTTAGTCAAAATGTCACAGGGGATCTAGAAGGCGCATATGAACCTAAAAGCCAATTCTGAACATAGAATAAATTTGCATGTCTTAACTTGTAAGTAGTAAATTATACATTCAACTATTCTTGACAAGTCTAAGAAATGGTTACTGTGCAAATTTTGTCCGTGGTACTTCAACAATGCTTTGAAGCTTTTAGGGTAATGGAGTTAAAAGTGGCTGGCTGAAGATGATGAACTAGCCAGCAGGTTTGGCCTTCTAGACAATACTGAACATTTAAAATGGGATCCCCTCAATATTTTTTAAGACTGAGCTTATCCTTTAATTTTTTTTAATTTTTTTTAAATATTTTTTTTTAGCAATATTGATTGGAGTGTTGAAATTAAACCAGGATTGCTTCAGTTGTACTTCACTTTGCTCTGTGATTGGTCCAGAAAACTTGCAACCAATCACATGCAAACTAAAATCAACCCTGAACATTTTCATTTTCCTGTACTTCAGGCACTTAACCTCTTCATTCTGAGCTCTCTGTAATATTTTTCTTCAATGGGATTGGCTATTGTAACTTTTTAAGCTTTGGTCTTATGATGTTGGGTGGGAGATGCAGTGGGGTATTGGTAAGCGGGCTGAGAGGTCTGGGTCCAATACTAGGCATTGTGTTGTGTTGCTCTTCACTGTGCCTCTCTCCATCCAAGAGTATAATTGGATACCGTTGAATGGTTAGGCAAGCCTGATGAAATGCAGGGGGGGGACCTTGGGGTGGACAAGCATCCTATCCAGGGGTAGTAGTAATACTACTGATCACTTCATGCTATGGAAGCTAAGATAAAACCTGGCTGATTGGGCTGTTAAGCTAGAGTACAGAAGTGATTAACATAGAAATTCTCCCTATATTATTCATACAGTGCACATATATATGATTTTCATATATTTACAGTCATTATTCACCACTTGGAAGGTTTATTTGGATCCAGCTACTAGTTCAGTAGTGTTCATAACTGTGAGGATGGCTTCGTCTCTCCAACCGCAGTGCACATATATATGATTTTCTTATATTTACAGTAATTATCAGTGAGAAGTTATTATCTTGATTTAACACTAAATTCTCAGAACTGATTTACAAGGAAATGTGTTGCAGCTAGAGGGGAGAATTAACATTCAGATCTTGGGAGTTAGTGGGTTAATGGAAGAAACAGATTGACTGCTTGGTGAATTGACCAATGCACTGATAAAATTATTACTTAATTGATAGTCCTTTTAACTGACTCATTGTTTTATTGCAGTGGACCAATTTGCAAAAGTATGTACCACAAGGTGATGATAGATGTCCCCCAGGATCTTAGACAACTGTAAGTTCTTCCACTGATATGTGATGTTTACCTTACCTTAACTTACATTAGACCTTTGTTAAGGCCTGTTTACATGGATGTGGTAGGTGAGGTAACCCACCTAGCCATGGTCTGAAAATAACCTGTATGTACATGCAATCTTACTACGTGGGGGTGAAGTTTCTCAAGGTTGTTATTGCACTGTTAATAAAGGAGTTTAAGATATCACTATGGCAACCTGTGGTAAAATGTGGTGAAAAAAGTATAATTTATTTTCTCCTAAGATTTCTGCTAGTAGCTTGATGTGTTAAGTGTTTCCGACAATGCAATGTCATAATGTGAATGTATTGTTGAGCTCCAAGTAAACATATTACCAAATCACTGTCAAGCTTTCATTGCTAAGAGGACATAAAAATTGGTGGTTTAACATTTTACATGTAGCTCTACATGGAATGGCAAGGGAATGTACAAAGTTTTAACACACTTGTGTTTCACTATTGTTTTGCTCATTTGAACTTTGTGTAACATAAATGCCTCCCTGCTTATGCAGCTTACTCCACCTTATATCTGCAACCCTTAACCCTCAACCTCTAACAGTGACTAGCATCTAATTTCTCCTCACAATATCACCCCTGAATCACACATTAAGGTCATGAGAATAAAGGAAATGATCACCAACTGAAGAAGCTCTGGATTGTTAACCCTTTTAACTCCCATGAGTGACCAAAAGAGAATTTCTCCTTACCATATCAATACAATATCAACCAGATGAGTGATGAGAATAAAGAAAAATATCAATTTGGGGATAATTAGTTGATCCAGTACTAAATTCTCTGAACTAACGTTATAAGAATTGTATGGTTGACAGTAAAGAGAATTACAAATTTGATCTGGGAGTTAAAGAGTTAAATTCTTTTTGTCAGTGCCTTAGGAAATATGAAGGGAACAGTGTGGAAAAAAATACATACTGTTGTTAGAGCGTAAAGTTTTAATGATCAAGATTCATTTTAATCCCTTACTGTGTGCCTATCAACTTCACTCTAGTGCTGTTTTACATATTGTTTTTCTTTTTCCCTCTTCTTTTTGCAAGCTGATTTATTTTATGCCTTTGTTTTCTTATCACCAAACTCATGCTTGTGTCAGGAAACGCTTTCTTCGTCAATGTCAGCTGAGCTATAGGGATCAGACAAAAAGAATAGATTACTGGGGGCCTCTAATTTTATCCATGAATTTATTTACTTGTCTTTGTAAGTACTAGGTTGCTTGTGTATATGCAGATAGTTTTGCAGAGAGTGGATGGAACTGATAAAGAAACATTTCCGCTGATAAAAATGCTCAAATTCCTTTCCGTAAGAAAATCAATTTCCTGTGGAACGGGTCATTATTTACTGCCTAAGAGGGGAGGAAGTGGGTGTTTGGAGAGATTTGCTTTTCCCTCGGCATATATTATTAAAAAAACAAACAACTTACAGATCTCTCACAAGGCAGGTGAGTGTCGAAGGAAAAAATCTGCAAAAGAGCAAGTTTCCACGTTTATTATTTTTTTCCAGAACAAGGATTATGTAATGTACCAAGTAATAGCCCATCTTTTTTGTTCAAGGTTCAGACAAGTATCTTTTTTAGGTGGAAATAAGCTGCCTAAACTGGTTTCAATTAACTTCCTCAATTTTCCTTCGATTTCCTTAGCACGTTTCATATGCAAATGATGAAATATGGTATCATTTCATTTTCATGACGAAGCATTGTTTAACCATTGACACCCGAACTAAATTTCATGGCAAGATCGTTCAAAATGATAATTTAAAAAGCAGAAGAGAAATACCAGCTTTCAAAGGATGGTCAGAATTTTATATCCAGCAACTTGAAAAAATTTTTAACTAGATTACAATTTATGTTTGAATTCATTTTTAATTTTAGTTTCTATCGAAAAAAATAACTTCTTTTTTCGAACAGCTCGGTGAAATTTCGCTAATATTACTCAAGATATGGGAAATTACATTTTCCATTTCGAAAATTGGCTTGGAATATCCAGCAGTTCAACGTACGCTGGACAGAAAAAAACTTTCACACGAATCTCCGTGATTCCATCGAGATTTTTCTTATTTACTAAGTTATTTCTATATTTGCAATTGGAAAGACTTATCCACATTTTCCATGCCATTCATTCGCATGATCATAATAAATAAAAAAACCAATAATGCTGCACCTTTATTACTTAAGACCCATTTCTATGCCGTCTATTTGAAGAAAAGTTCCTATCGAAAAAGTTCCCAATCAAATAACGAGGTCCAATGACCCACCAAAAAGTCTAAGATGCAAGCAGTTTGGTAATGCAGTGTCTGATATTTGTGGCTTCCTACTTCGTGAAGTTTTTGTGAGCTCACGTTGAAATTCATCCAACCTGTGTTTTGGCGTACCAGCTTGTCTGATTCCCAAGGAGTTTTGTCAAGTATTATGCAGATCCAGTTTTTAATCCTTTGTTTCAGATAAAAAAAAGCACACCTCGTTGTTCGCAAGCAGATATCAAGACATTCCATTTTTGAAACCACAAACTGTTTTGTAAGCCAGCGCTGATCTTTGTCTAACCTTCCGGGAATTTGTCGAGTCTCCAAGATATTCTCGAAAGAATTCCAGCATGATTCTCCGGTTACAAAAGAAATAAGAAAACAGGAGAAAATTATTGGTAATTTTTCTCTAATCATTATGGAAGTTATTTCCAGTCAAAGATCCGTTCAAATGTTAAAGTCGTAAGTGGTTTTGACACCCTGAAAAGAAATTGTCTCGCTTCAATTTCGCTCTATGCTTTTTAGATAATTTATCATTTCATTTTACAGAAAATTAAAAGAAATTTTCAAGCGACGCAATATTATAGTAATTGACAATAATTAATGTGGAGGTAAATATCCACCACTTTTTCCGAAACTGGTAAATGTTTTAGTATGTACCACACGCACACGCACACAAAAAGTTAATTTTTTTCAATTCATCGAAAAATAGTCGGAAAATAAACCCTTGACGCGCGAGTTTGTCTCTTTGGCTACTCGGAGCGAGGTGAATAAGTGAGTTATCACTCCCGAACCAGCTAATTGGCGCGCGCTAAAAGCTCAGTACTCATCTGTGTGGCGTGCGTGAAGTGCTTTTACTTCATCTCGTTTTGATTAGGTACAGCCAGATTTCCAACCACAAATGAACGTTTGATTATTCTATGGCGAGATGGTACAATCCAACATCTGTGAATGGAATAACTGTTGCATTAAATTTAATTAAATCCTTTAAATTTTGATCTTTGGAGCTTTTTTTCAGCTCCACAACAGTTGGGGCAATGAATTTCCAAATAAGGTGACTCAGAATATCTGCTGGTAACTGGGGTTTAGTGAACCAATTAGAACACTAGAGATGCAATATTCCGCGGAGTTGAAAACATGTAATAATAATGGATAGAGTAGAATAAGATTACGTCCCAAAAAACCAAAGTGATCACAACTGTCAGTCAGAGCAAAGGTGAGCATCATCGTTCGCCAATGACAACTCAAAGTAAAAACATGAAACCTGTTTGAAGTCAACGTGAAAACTCGAGTGACGAAGTTACGATTGGTTTTCGTGTTGTGGCGAGACGTTTACATGGCAAATTGTCACCCCCGCTGACAGGGTTACCCTACCCAACAGACTAGGCAACGCGCCTAGACGGGTCACCCCACCTTTCATGTAGAGATTATATGGACAGGCAGGTTACCCCACCTCCATGTAAACAGGTCCTAAAAAAAATAATATACAGGTATTAATCAATTAATCATCAACTTAATAGTAAGCTTCTAAACGATTTGCAAATATGCCTTGAAATAATTACTGACTTTTGGTTTGCAACACTTGCGTGCTACAAAGAAGATTAAGAAAAACTGAAACCCTTTTGTTACGAGGGTAAGTTTCTAAAAAAACTGTGGTGTTGCATCAGTTGGGGGGTGGGGGTATTTGGTTTTATCAACTGAATTGGCAATGTAAGGTGGCCACTAGAAAGAATCCTTAAACTGATGTTTCAAGGGTGGATAGAGTAATTGGGATTGTATGTGTTTTAAATTCATGAAAATGGCGCTATGCTTTGGGTCAGAACATGGTAACGTGAAAAATAGAGAAATAAATTAGTTGCTTAAAAAGCGTTTGTTGAAATTTTGTCCGATTGTAAAATTTCATGGCAAGGATGGTCATGGTTTGTAGAAAATTTGATGTAGATTTTGTGTCTTTCTGTCATAGCTGCAAGGATGAGATGACGCATAGAGAGTTCAAGAAACAATGTGGTGCTTCTTGTGTGTATTACCTTGATGAATTAGCAGTGCTTGTTGCTTTGGTAAGAATACACCAATGACTAGTTTCAGACCTCAAAGGAGAATCTTGCAAATTTTTGAGGATAATTTTTTACGTACTACAGTATTTTACTGATGTCCAGGTTAATTCTAAAGACAGAGCTTTCATGGCCTTTGCAATTTCATGTAGTAAAATTGACATCTGTTTTATCAAAAGAACTACTTGTTATTATATTCCACAGTCTCGTTCTGAACGCCCAGTGAAGTGTGCTGCTATGCTTAGTGAAATTCACTTCAGAAGTCTTAGAACAAAAATGCTGTTACAGTCCTGGATGGATGAGACAGCAAGACAAGTGGAGGTAAGATGCTACCTTAAATTGTACCTTTTGCAAACTTTTGGGGCTGACTGTGATATCATCATGGCGAAAGGGTCCGGTCATCATATGCGTATTACCCGAAATATAAACCCCCCCTGAGGCCTGACCTCTGGTAGGCGACCATTTCTGGTATGTGACCACCTCCCGTAAGTGACCACCTCCCGTAAACGACCACCTCTTATAAGCGACCACCTCCTGTAAACGACCACCTCCCGTAAACGACCACCTCCCGTAAGCGACCACCTCCCGTAAGCGACCACCTCCCGTAAACGACCACCTCTTATAAGCGACCACCTCTTATAAGCGACCACCTCCCGTAAACGACCACCTCTTATAAGCGACCACCTTCCGTAAACGACCACCTCTTATAAGCGACCACCTTCCGTAAACGACCACCTCTTATAAGCGACTACCTCTTATAAGCGACCACCTCCCGTAAACGACCACCTCTTATAAGCGACCACCTCCCGTAAACGACCATCTCCTAGAAGCGACCACCTCCCGTAAACGACCACCTCTTATAAGCGACCACCTCCCGTAAACGACCACCTCTTATAAGCGACCACCTCCCGTAAACGACCACCTCTTATAAGCGACCACCTCCCGTAAACGACCACCTCTTATAAGCGACCACCTCCCGTAAACGACCACCTCTTATAAGCTACCACCTCCCGCAAACGACCACCTCTTATAAGCGACCACCTCCCGTAAACGACCACCACTTATAAGCGACCACCTCCCGTAAGCGACCACATAGACTTGATATTATGGTTGGTTCGACTGTATGTAAAACTAATAGAACATATGCCGGTCCACATTTGGAGAAATTGTGCATGCTAAGACAAATTATTTTAGTTGGTATTTTTTTTCGATTTCTTAGTTGTCTTATATGTTGCAGACTGCGAAGAAACAGATGGGTATCGTTGAGATGTTGACACTTCCCGATCATCTGATGGGTCTTGCCATTGGTGCCCAGGGCGCTAACATCCAACAGGCTCGGAGACTAGCAGGGATCATCTCTATTGAGGTGGATGAGGAAAACTGCACTTTCCACATCTGCGGAGAAGTAAGTAATTTGTATCGTTTTTTGACCCTTTAAGTTTCCACTAGTGACTAGCATAGACTTTTTTTTACGTTTTAGAACGAAGCAAGCGTTAAAGAAGCCAGACGGTTGTTAGAGTTTGCCGAGGAGACTGTTTATGTACCGAGACCTCTTGTAGGTGAGTTTGGAAAAATTTCCCTTTTTCTTTTGGTGCTATTTTGAAACTCTAGTTCTGCCAGTTCCAGCTGTTCCTTCGCTGTGACTATTGATAAGGGCTCGTGGAGACCAAATTGTAGCTTTTGAATTCAAAATGAACGCCTGCATCCTAGAAGCTCTTAGTGTTACTCGGTTGGGCTTTGGTAGCTTTCATTTTTGTAATTATCCATAGGTAGATGTTCATTTTATACTCTGTTAGCGGCGACCAACCCCCCTCCCCTCCCCTCTCCGTTCTAATGAAAACATGATCAACCAAAATGCTTCGCTACACCCCCTCCCAGGTGATGAAAAATGACTGCCCGCGTAATATTTTCCCGCGTAAATTGTTAACTTTCCAACTTCCCATTGATCTTTAGACTTGATTTCTTCGAAACAAACAAACTTGTCCCTTCTTCTTAACAACAGCGAAACGTTCTACCTTCTTGAATTAAACTTAAAACGAAGATCTTCATCAAATTGAACGTAAGTTTTCAGAATTGAGGATTACTTGCGAGGAATATCACTGGATATTCGTCAATTCATGGTTAGGACATCTTAAATCGCGTGACGCGTTTAGAACATTACGCATCACCATTCCTCGTTGTAACAGAGAAAGATAATTGTATATTTAGATAAGGGGACTATTGGACACCGAAATACAAAAACTTTTGACGTAACATAAATGTCTTGTTTAATCATTTTTTTTTTTTCACTTAGGGAAAGTCATAGGTAAGAGTGGTCGCATCATACAAGACATTGTAGACAGGTCAGGCGTGACGCGTGTTAAAATTGAACCTCCAGAAGATAGATCGTCTATGGATGAGAAGGCTGCCAAGGTTTGTTATCATAAAGTGACAGTACTTTCTTTATGCATTCAGGATAGTGGCCGAACAAAATGCGTAGAACGCAACCCTTTCGCGCTAGAAAATGGCGGGAAACATGACTTACGCCTTGCGACAAGGGAAAATGTGCAATTAACTGCACAGGTCACTAAACAGCCGTTGCCGAGCGCGGGAAAAAGGGTCTCTTGTGCAAAGCGCGGAAAACGTGGAATAGGAAACTGGTCCTCAAGGCGAGACTTTTATACGACCGTTATTAAGCGCGGGAAAAACATGCCGTTGCTGCCAAGAGTTCGCACCAAGCGCGCGTAACGCAGAGCGCCAAGCACAGGCTAGCGTGCGGCCGTTGCGAAGCGCGGGAAAACAGACTGCGGAGATTGAGTGCGTATAATCTCTAACATAATTCCATTTTGTTGTAGAAAGAAGTTTCCTTCCTTTTTGTTGGAACAAAAGAGTGCATTGCTAATGCGCGGATGATGTTAGATTATCATTTATCGCATTTAAGGGTAAGCATTTAGATAGAATGTTGAATCGTTGGACAACAAGTTCGTCGATAGGAACTGACTTTGTGAGCAATGTTCATGTGAAGCGCTCTAAGTTGCCGTGGAAAGAATGTAAATAAATTAGTTTGCTGGACACAGAGAGGTTAACTTTACAGTGGATCAAAGAGAAAATCGTTGGCCGTGTTAGTGGCTTAGAGTTTATCGACTGCAAGTTTTTTTTTTGTATTATCATACAGGATGTTGAGTTGATGAAGAAAGAGAAGGAAAGTCTAGACAGTCAGCTTAGGAGTATGGGGATAAACCCGCCCCCAGGCCCCGCTTACATACCCACCCCGGCGGAGATGCGGCCTGGACCGAGCCTCTCCTTCATTGGGCAGGACAATATGTTGAGCATACGAGACCGTTCTCTAACCACGGAGAGTTTCGCGGGGGATTTGAGTGAAGGGATGTTCGTAAGCACTAAAGACGGCCCGAAAACGAAGCCGACCGTACGAATAAGGTCGAGCAGTGAGTCGGAAGGTACCGAGAACAAAGCGAATTCACAGCAGTCCACGAAGGCAAGTTTTGAATTTGAGTTCGTTGTAAGTCATGATAAACCTTGAAAGTTTTTCGACTACGCGGTTTTTTAAAGTCTCAACTGATCATGATCTCCATCATGATCTTACATTGTTCTGAATCTGGTTTTTTGTTCCAGAATACTGGAAACCGGCGGGCATCAACGCCCACACCAGAATTGAAAGGAATCGAAGAGGAGACTGAGGAGGGCGATCAGGGGAAGAGTGAGACTGGCGCGACCGCAAAAAATGAACCCAGCGAGAAAGAAGAGGTTGTAACATGTAAGTATGTTCAAGGAAACTTCATTGATTTGCTTCACTTAGTCTTGATTGTGATTGGTTTGAAATGTCGCACGAGTTTTTTTTTTACTTATCAAGAGTAGCATTGGGTTCAAAGGGAAAATAAGTGAAGTATTTAATGCTATTTTCGACATTCAGTTGAAATCGCTCTTTACGCCTTTTGATTGAACATTGCACGAATTACGATCGAAGTGATTATTTAAAATAAACTTCATTATCTGGCATAATACGCAGACTTCAGAAGTATTCTCCTTTTGGAGTATTTTTACGTGACGTCCCTTTTTGACTTGTTTCCAGCCTCCTCCCCACCCAGAGAAGGAAAAGTTAGGAGACCGTCGCCTTGGTTCACGGGAGGCAACCGACGAACAGATAGCGAAGGAAAAGACGAGAAACGAAACGACGCACAACGAAAGAACAACGATCATAATGAGTCTAGAACAAACCACGGCAACGGAAGCAAACAGCAGGGCCGACAAGATCAGAGGCATCGAAGCGGAAGTAAACCTCAACAGCAAAGGCAACAGTCACAACCAGTACAAAGACCCCGAGGAAATAGCGGCGGCCAATTCCGGCCGAGCAGTGGAAGTCTTTCGGCGAATTGGAGAGAGCGCCAATCTGAGCCAACGCCCAAGGAAAAAACGAAGGAAGTTGAGGTTAAGAAAGATAGTGAAAAAAGCACGGAGCGCAAGGTCTCTAAGGGAGACGACGAGAAGAAAGCAAAAGGAACAGAAGAGGTAAAACAAAATGGAGATGCGAAGAGCCCGGATGAGAAACCTAGCGGGCCTGTGAGCGATGAAAAGCCCGCTGACGCATGCGCGGCTAAAAGTAAGACGCCGCAAACTAAGAGAAACGTTCAAGAGAATTGAGAGGAACTTGTGTGGAAACCATTCCTTTGATGTAGAAAATTGTACAGACAGATAGAACTCTATCTATCTATTGAATTATAACAACTAATTTATCGATGGATCAGATCTCGGCCTATTCAATTTTACGCACAGTACCTAATCTACAGCTGTTCTGTTCATGCATCAAGCGAACGATCTCATTTTTAAGTAATGATCTTTATTGATCTTGCCAACTTCATGGTGCTGTGAGTTTTTAAAAATCCTCAATCAATCAAATACTGTTACAAACTACATCCACCCGTACTTCTTACTCTTTGGAAAGGTATGACTCTTCTTTCGCCAACAGTGAACAGTGAAAGGACTTAAGATTGAAATCGCCAGATCCGAAATGATTTTGAATTGATATTTTTATAACTCGATGCAAGTTACATCTAAGTGATGTAAGGAATAAAATTACGGGCAGTTAATGAAACGATGTACTTTTTTGCTGCATTTCATCCCTAAATCACAACCCAAAGCCAGATATTGATATTTTCCCGTCTAGCCCTCTCACTCAGCCAATAACCTCATCGCTCTGTCATTAGAGACCTTACGCAACAGGACGGCAGAATGAGGACGGCGACCGTGGACCGCGCGAGTACTGGTCCGAGCACGCGAGGGTTGACGTTGCCGTCCTAAACGTAAACAAACCTTACGCAATACAACGCGACATGCACAGGCCCCGAAGGAAAAATGGCCACCTTCAGGGAGGCAAGAGAGGCTCTTTTGCTTACTAATACCTTGGATTTGATCGCCGATGAAGAAATGCTGTTACTCTACGACGTTAACACTTCAAAGAATCTTGACATTCCTTACTGGAAGTACGAAAAATTCAATCTGGACTCTCTTTCCGACGACGAATGCAAAAGCGAATTCCGTTTCTTAAAACATGATATCTACAATCTGCTCGACGTTCTGGATCTTCCTGACAAAATTACCTGCCCAAATCGTTTTTATGTTTACAGTGATGAAGCACTATGTTTGCTTCTGCGTCGTTTTGCCTTTCCATGCAGGTACGAAGACCTTGTTCCCCGATTTGGAAGGCCTGTACCGCAATTATGTATGGTGGTGTCTGAGATGATGGATATTCTTTATGCCCACTTCGGACAGTTGTTTTCTGGTATTAATCAGCCATGGCTATCACAAGCAAATCTAGTTGATTTTGCAGAAGCTATCTACAATAAAGGAGCCGCCCTTGACAACTGTTGGGGATTTATAGACGGAACTGTACGACCAGTTGCTAGGCCTGGCGAAAACCAAAGAGTATTGTACAATGGCCACAAGAGAGTGCATGCAATAAAGTTTCAAAGTGTAGTTGCACCAAATGGTCTGATCGTAAACCTTTTTGGACCTGTGGAAGGATGCAGACACGACAGCGGAACAGAGTAGTTTTTATAATTAATCAAGTTGTAAATTACTGCACAACAGTAAAGAAACAAACTTAGACATAAAGAAAATGGGCCCCTATAAGGCGAACACTGAGTATGCTGTCCTATTTCCGGACTTCTTTTACAATCATATACACAGTTATATCATACCTTGAAACGGCACTAATACCATCTAAAATTTTATCTACCTTTATTACATGAAATTTGAATTAATGCCGCCTCGAAAGTGTCGCTAAATTAAAGTGAGTACACTGTGAAATTTTGCCATCTGTATGTCTATGGGATAAAATGTTGCCATCTGCAAAAGTTGAATGATTTTTTTTATATATATTTAAATCAAGTTATGACATTTATAATTTTATCAAATACATTTTCGCATCAAATAAGCTTAAATATTTTTAATTCGCAAAAGTTTCAGTTCGTAAAATCGCTAAAACTAAGTGACTTATGTTCCAAAATTTTACGAAAAATCGCTAAATTAAAGTGTCGCTAAATGGGAAATTTTCAAAATCGCTAAATTAACATGTCGCTAACATTTCATGCAATAAGGTATACGATTTAAAATTTAATCTATATCTATCTTTATTATAAATTTTGTTACTTTCACTGCAACAAGGGCCGTGAATTTTTATCGCATAAAGACGGCTCCGGCTCTTAGTTTTTATCCGTAATTACGATGAGAGTTAGTCAAGAAGTTGTCACTTTACTAAACTGCCAACAGAGAAAACCTTAAATGCTTACAATCCTTACTAATTCATTTCTACTTGTGCCCAAAAAATAACAAATTATTGCTCATTAGGCGAAAACAGCGACATGTAAACACACCATTTTGCGTAACAAGTTCGCTTCATTTGCCGTTTGTAAAAAGACCTATCACCAGACACAGAGGCTCATAACTAAAGAAATAATATGTTTCTATGCTATAACCGAAGAAAAAGACAGTTTAGATTAAAATAAGGGGATAAAAATACTCACGTTCTCCTCACAACCTCAGTCGCCTTGTTTTCACGTCGTGAACGTCAAGAGGACGGCAGTCTCAAACCGGAAGTTGCGTCAAATGGCTCACGAATCAGGTTGTCACGCGCGTCACACGATCAATTTTGCTGTCCTCTCCCTTCTGCCGTCCTGTTGCGTAAGGTCTCTAATAACTACTGGCATTACATGTGCTTTTATCCGGTTTTTATTTCGGAGAAATCGTCCTTAAATGACACTTCGCAAGTTAATCATTTACTTCATCTTCTCGTATACAATATTACAAGAGATAACACTCAGCTGCATTTCAGTTTCGCAATTCGGATTTCACTTCAGATTATATTTCGAACAATTTCTTGCGATGTAAAATTAAGAAGCTTCCCAATTGTCTTAATCAATCACACGTTATCCTCTGATTTTTTGCAACAAACTCCACCCAGTTCCGATACCAATATGCCAAATGTAACTTGTCTTGTTCAATGCACGTTTTTGATGGATAAGCTAGGGCCAACATTTGATTAAATAGGAAAATAATTTTGCCAACATTTGTATATTCATGTCATTATTTCGCGCAAGAAATGAAAGTTAAGTTACAGTTTAAAATATATTACCATTAAAAATATAGGTTTTCTTCTTTGATTCAGATTTTCTTTAGGAGCACTGCTTGTTTAAAATACACACCGAGAGCAATAACCTACTCTGGTCTTCTTAGATTCAAATTTTTTAAGTAATTGCAAGTTCCAATGCCTCGCACCGCATATTCGCCCCAGTCCACTTACGGTACACACTCGAAAGAGGCGACACGGTAACCGTGACTTTGTTGTATTGTGTGACAAATTGACCACTTCCCTCGAAATAACGAAGCTTTCCCTCTGCAGAACTCCGTTGAAAGAAAACGAGGAATTTATAGTACTTCTCATCTATCTGTCTCATCAAATTGATGACCACAACCGCAATTGGGTGATTCAAATCTTTGTAACGCAATATTAACTTTGGAGTTGCCTCTAACAATCGTAACCAGCCACCAGGCCAGTCCGCGCGATGTCAATTTTTTTCACTCGGCCTCAGGCCCTTCCTCGTCGTCGTCTTCAGATTTTTGTTCCTCTCCCTGTTCCTGGAATTGTACTAGCTGCGCATGCCTATTCACAGCTTGGCCAGAAGAGTAAAACACTTTTTCTATCACACCAGATTTCGGGGCCCGAATTACGTGCTGCAAAAAAAAAAAAGCACAAAACATGGTAATTCCTCGCGTCAAGGACACTCCTTTGAGCCAGTCAAGCGACAAAGAAAATGAAATGACCAGTTTGCAACTGGTTTGCTTACCATCGAGCGGGAAGGCATACACAAAACAAAACGTGTATTCGTTCAAAGAAATTAAATTGAATTTCCAGCGCTGGATACAGACTGCTTACCATTAAGCGGTGAAAGGGTAATCAGGTCATGCAACTCACGGTTGAGCAGCGTTGCTTTAAGGCCTATCCTCTTCTTTTATCGTTTTTCCTCCCTCCCCTCCCTCTTCACCCTTTAATTTTACTGCAGTCTTAGTAAGAACAAGCGGCAAAAACAGAAATCTTCCTTACCTCCATTTTCATAGCTTCCATGACAACTAGCGTCTCGCCCTCTTTGACCGTCTGTCCTGGCTCCACGAAAACCTGCGCCAGATATTAAAATAATAGCGTGTCATACCAACAGCAGAGGATAATTTTACCATGCTTGAAAAAAAAACTACAGCCATGAGAATCCAATGATTCCAATCCTATTCCACTCGACGGTTTTCGGAAGTTCTTCGTCGTTAGCGTCTCCTTTCCGAAGGGAGCCGAAGAGACACCCGAAACGGGTGAGCTCGGAATTTCAAAGATTGCGCACGTGAAACTTAAGGTCTTCAATATATTTCGCTTCTTGAATAGTTAAGCGATATTTTTTCATCTTTTAACACTACACGAATTTCGCCGAAAAAAAAAGGACTTAAAGAGAGTCAATGCTCTAGTAAGGCTCAAAGAACATTTTCGAAGAGGTTTTGCCTAATAATTGTAACCTTACCTGTCTTCCAAAAATTGACAGTCAAAACGAGGAAGAGGTGGGGGGGAGAGAAAGTATCGCGTAACGTACCTTTACAACAGTGCCTGTCATTGGTGCTACCGCAGAACCTTGGGAGACAGCTGATGGACCGCCCCTCAAGAACTTGGGAACAGGGCGTTGTAATTTGTGACAGCCATCCTAAGATAAGAACCAAAATGTAATATTCAGCTTGCCGTTCGACAATCACCATTGGGAATTAGGTAATAAACCTTTAGCGCGGGAAAACGCGGACAACCACGCGGCGGTTTGTTTTAGTTTTGCACTGATTGGTCGAGAAGATATGGCGCGTGTCTCTGAACCAATCACAAAGCACATTAAAGAAAAACCAGTGAAAACCCAGATGACCTTCGGCATCTAGTGGAAAACTACTTCATAAGTAACTTTGAATTACTAAAGCTACCGCAATAACTAGTGCTGCGATCCAAATTCCAATTCGTACATGTACCTTGGTAAATATATGCAGGGTTCCCTCCAAGTCAACAAGCCAAGACTTGAAGACACGTCCATCCACATTAGCTGTGAGGCTAACTCGTGATTCTTCTGTCTGTAGCTTGCCTTTAACGTGCATGCGACGGCCATCGATCTGTGCAACACAAATAAGATAAAAAAACATTTTGAACATGATTTCACAGAAATTCCCACTTGGATATATCTTAATCCCCGAGTCCCCATTAGGAAAAGCTCTACCCTGGGACTTAGGTATGGCCGAGTTGTAAAATGTTGCCACAAGATGCTGCGTTATTCTCCAGTTAACAACAAATTTTGATTACCCCATAACATATTAACCCTTAAACTCTCAGATCAAATTTGTAATTCTCCTCACTGTCAACCATACAATTCTCATAATGTTAGCTCAGAGAATTTAGTATAGGATCAACTAATTATCCCCAAATTGATATTTTTCTTTATTCTCATCACTTGTCTGGTTGATATTGTATTGATATTGTAAGGAGAAATTCTGTCCTGGTCACTCATGGTAGTTAAAGGGTTAATACAAAAATGTATATGAATTTTGTTAAATAGCAAACGTTTTCAAAGACAAAAGTTTGCCAAAGCCTAGTTTAAAACATTCCTTGTTTCGATGTTATAAAGTCAGACATACCGCTTCTTCTAAACTTACCTCTAAATTATAAGTTCCATCCTTGTTGTAGGAAACAATGATGTAAACCTCTGAAACAAAAGCAAAAAAATACGGTTTATGTTCTAGGGAATGTTGTTGTTCATCGTGGCTTTTTTAGAAAAATGAACGTTTAATCGTTTGCCTCACGATTTAGAGTAAGGCTATCAATTGTGTTGATCGCGGTATAAATTACGGTTTAGCGTATCATTTAAGGTTGGGCAAGGTGTAAAGCTCATATTTCAGGATCGAAGCAAGAAGTTACTTAATAAAAATACCGCGATTTCCTTCATTGACAAAACAAGAGATAAATTTCTGGTACATAGTGACTTACTCTTAACGGGCTGTTAAACTTTTACGGTCGGGGGATTTTTCAGTATAATTTTTTTTAATCTATCTTCTTCCAGATCCCTTTACCTATTTGAATGACAGTAAACCAGTACAAAAACATTTTCAAAATCTTAAATTCTGAGCAAAACCAGCTACACAAAATTCAATTCCCTTACTTCTATCACCATCGTCAAGTCGTATTTTTCTCTTCGCAACATTATTGAGTCTGAAGCTCACATTAGAATTCCACACTGAAAACGGATCTGCAAAGATAAAAGATAAGATAAAATCAGGAATATGCTAGAATAAATAAAATATCATAGCGAAATATAATACCATCAAGATGTGAACGAGAATTTTCAGGCGTGCTATCACGTTTTCATTTTTTAACTTTCACATTCGGGTTGGATTGAAAACTCCGCGATTTTACTTTAAACTAAAGAAAGCTTAGACTACGAGCATACGTACATACATATACTTTATTTATGCTCGAAATTCACAGTGTAGCTGTAGAGCTAATATCTTCGAGAAAATAAGCTTAAATAAAATAAAATATGCTATATTACAATTCCAATATTATTTATAAACTATATACAACATTATGCATGCGTATGCGACTGCGTATGCGTGTATGCGTATGCATACGAGCAGTCCTTGCTTTTCGGCAAAGTCCGTCTTGCGAATAAAAACAAGCGATGTTAGCGTCACCTCTCATCTCCACCTGCCTGGTACTTTGCCAGCACCGACAGAGGTACAATGAACAATGCTGAAAGCCAAAAACGTCCGTAACATTTCATGAGGTGCATACAATACGTCAACATAGATGTTCTCACCAGAAGAGAGCGCAGCTCGTTTTTCCTGCTCCTGTCTCTCGAGTAATAAGAGTCCCAAGCTTGCTTGCGCCAGTATTTCGTGGCTCAGCGGTGTTTTTACTGGGAATAGGTCTTGATAATGTTGCTGCAGGGAATTTTAAGTGCAGATAATTCAACTTGACAAAAAAATACATGTTTCTATTACCAATAGCGCATTATCCGGATTTTCGAGATGTGTTAAAACAATTTCCGAAAAGTCTCGAAGATGTTACGATGACTTCCGATAATTGACGAAGATGATCCGATAACTTCCTAAGGTTGCATGACGAAGATTTCAGAAACTACTCAAGATTGTAAAGGGCAGATATTAAAGAACACTGCAATGCGACGGATAAAAGATCCTGCAACTCTTGTTATTCTGGCTTTTATCCTTACTATGAAAATTAACATGTAAACAAAAGCAACTGACTCAGAGTCACCAAGTTCATATTCGTTTATATGAGATCGATTTTGTCGATGCCAAGAAAGTCATACCTACGCATGCGCGTGTCAGCTCTAAGTTGCTAGATGACGCACAGCACTTTTTTAGCTGACTCGACACGAGTGAAGTTCAAAGACCTAAAAGGTTTGAAAGCATAAACTCTTTCAACCCACCTTAATAAAATCAGTGTGAACGTCACCCTCCTTGAAATGGCTGTGTTCACACAGATTTGACAAGAAACCGATATTTGTGTTCAGTCCCACGATCTGTTGAAAGAAAATATCAAGTAACAGCCACTTTCAGCAAAAAGGGTTTTACAAACACTGCTAGACACTCTTTCCCGTATCCACTCCTTTAGGTAAAACATTTTGATAACCTCAAAATTGAATTTTCTTTCTAAACTATTTAAATAGTCATGATGGATATGCAAAAGATGATGGATGTTTTCTTTTCAACAAATTTAAGTGTTAGGCAAGTCAGTAATGATGCTTACTGGGCTGAGTGCAATTTGCTCAAAAATCATTCGCGTAATTTCAAAATCGAAAAAGTGCGACGCGCGAACGTGATTTTAAAATCACAAGGTTAGTATGATTGCAGAAGTTGGTTAAGGGTTTATACATGACACGTGATCAACTCTTTACTCACTAACATCAGTATGCATATTCTCCGCACTGCTCCCTATACATTTCCTAAGGTGCTGATAAGGAGAATTTGTACAGAAGGGTGATAATCTCCTTTACTCTCAGAATCTTTCATTCATGATGTTTTAAGACGCGTGATTAAGGCCAAAATTAGTATAAGGCGTGTGAATATGCAAAAAGGCGAGCACGATTCGTGAAATCATGAACCAAAGTAAGGCGTGAGTGGCTCGGCCGCTTACTGAGGAGAAGAGGCCTTGTAAAGTACGAAAAGAAAACTGATACATACATGATACTTCTGCAGAGACTCTTTCAACAAACTCAGAGCTTGGTCCCTGCTTTCTGACCAAACTACAAGTTTTGCTATCATTGGATCATAATGCACTGATACTTCGTCACCTGCAAATAAAGAATGAGTTACACACGAAAGCATTGGAAGACAAGCACATTGTCCGAACACAGAACTTAACATTGAAAAGTTCGAAAAATCTCAATAGTTCTTTTCAGTCTTTCAAACCTTATTTCGATTTTCCAACTTTTAATGAGGTCCGTTTTTGGATCTGACCCGACAATTACGCTCTTACTTGCAAAAATCCCGATAGTCCTTACTAGTCTTTCGAACGTAATCTAAACGTAGTTCAGCCACCGTAAAGGGTAAAAAAGCTGACGTTTCGAGCGTTAGCCCATCGTCAGAGCGATTATCGAACAGTTCGGCTAAAGCTCTGACGCAGACTAACGCTCGAAACGTCAGTTTTTTACTTTACGGTGGCTAATTTACGTTTTCAACCCAGTTGTTAACACTAAATTACCTGCTATACTCTCCCACCGACGCAGCACCACAGTTTCTTTAGAAACTTACCCCTTTAAACGTAGTTCAATACCTTTCTTGAGGTCTGAAAATTTCCGTACTTTTTCAAGCATTGAGAACTAATATGCTTAACGGTAAGAACTAGTTCAAGTTAAGAAAAAGGCCGGTTTGGAATTCTCCTGCCTTAAATCGCCCTTAATAGGCAGCCTGAAGTCACGCTGGACATAAGCTGGTTAGTATAGGGAACCTCACTGAAGAAGACTAGTGACATTTCAGAGTGTTTAGACCTGCATAATCCAGTAGAATTAGAGGTGGTATAAATTGCTCAATGTGATGTACATACCTTGTCGTACTCCTGTTTCGACTCTGATTGTGTCAGATGGTTGCGGTGTTGAAAGGTGCAATAGAGGGCCTGCGCCTGGGAGAAAATCACTAAAAGGAAAAACGAACATACAAAAACTCAATCAGAACAACAGTCAGAATTCGCGAATAATCCCTTCGTAAAAAAGCTCTTCTATGGAAGGCAAGGCATCACCTTCGTTGCAATATTTTCCAGCACAAAATTCGTTTTTGAACTCCACTAAAGATGACAAGGCTGAAATAACACGAAGTACAGCATACCTATCAGGATCTTCAGCATAAATTCTAGCCTCAAACGAGTGTCCTGTTAGCTTGATATCCTCCTGTGTGAGTGGTAAGGCTTCACCTGCAGCGACTCTCAGCTGCCACTCCACCAGATCCTGTCCTGTGATCATCTCTGACACAGGATGCTCAACCTGATGGGTACAAAAGAATTCTGTTCGTCTACTCCACCTCATTAACACGGTAATTTAGTATTATTAACTGAGTTGATGGCGTAAATTGACCACCGTAAATAGTTTAAAGCTGACGTTTCAAGCGTTAGCCCTTCGTCATTCGCTCTGACGAAGGGCTAACGCTCGCAACGTCAGCTTCAAAACTCTTTACGATGACCAATTTACGTCATCATCTCAGTTGATAATACTAATTAAAATTACTCTGTTATACTCTCCCAGCGACGCAGCACCACAGTTTCTTTAGAAACTTACCCACTCCATTCTACCTTATTCTAAATAACAACAATTCCCAACGTAAAGAGGAATGTAATTCGTTTGCAAAGATGCATGAGGCGACGAGAAAATCTGAGATATCTTCAGGAAGCCGAAGCTTCGGATTTGGTCGGATTTGGTCGGATTTCGAGAACCTTCGGGTCTTGCACTCCAATGCTCCACTACTGAGTTGTCAAAAACTCTGTAGTATGTTAGGCCATTACCAGCTTCATATGTGACATGCGTCTTGGACACTACAGTGCGCAGAAGCTACAGAACTTCCACTGGTGACTAACAAACTTCACATCTCGGAGAAGATGCTGAGGTCAATATCAGGTTAAAACAGTTTCAATAAGATTGATACATCTTACGTTCAAACTGTCTTTGGCAAGTGAATGTTGGCAGGCATAAAGACAAACAGGGTAGGCATATATTATCAATACTCAATGACTTTACACATTCATCGTTCTACAGTACTCTCTTTACCTGTAAACGTGTGTTCATTTCCATGAAGTAGAAATTTTGGTCTTTATCCATAATGAACTCAACAGTACCTTTAAAGCAAATCCAAAAAAAAAAAAAAAAAAAAGAAAGATGCTTAACCCTTTAACTCCCAAGATCTCATTAGTAATTCTCCTTACTGTCTGCCTCATAGTTCTAGTGATGTTAGTTTGGAGAATTTGGTATTGGATTAACTGATAATCCCTAATTAATATTTTTCTTTATTCTCATCACTTGCTTGCATGATATTATATTGATATTGTAAGGAGAAATTCTGTCTTGGTCACTCATAGGAGTTAAAGGGTTAACTGTTTTACTAGAATTTTACAGTTCTTGCAATCTTTTTTTTTTTTTTCCTAATAGCCTTAGTTACTTCACATAACTTTCCTAAAGTCTTAAAATCTTAATGAAGGCAGACCTGTAACAAGACAAAATCTTACATCCTGGCCCACAGTAGTTCTCTTTTGAGAGTTGAAAGTTCTAGGCTTGTAGAGATAAACCTGTAGTTTTGCTCTGAATCTTGCAATCTCAATGTGATCTTGCATCTGTCACCCTTGATCATATGACGATCTGTCCCTTCTGATTCAATAAAAAAGTTTCCTGAACAAATTTCTGTGTGCTCAAAAAAGATTTTCTGACCATGGTAAACATCAATACCTGCTCCAACATAACCAACTGCCTCCGCTGCCCTCACAGCTGCCTCACCAATTTTCTGCCGCACCTCAGAGGATACACCTGGGGCAGGAGCCTCTTCAATGATTTTCTGATGTCTTCTTTGAACACTGCAGTCCCTCTCAAACAAGTACACTGTGTTGCCAAAGGTGTCAGCAAATACTTGAACCTCTACATGTCTGAAAAAAACAGGTTAATCAAGTAATATATCAAGCACGAAGAAGAGTGTTTCTTCCTATATCCAAACACCAAGAAGTGGTTGAAAAAACCAGGCGTGGCCATGTTTTTTGAACCAACTTCAGGGTGTTTGGATTTCAGATGAAACAACCTTTTGAATGTTTGATAAAGCTTCTCAAACCATTGATAATTCTTGGAGAAAATCAAAGCAAAAGTTAACCAAATTTTATGAGAATTATGATCACATATCCAAACCACCTTCACAGTTGTAATTTCCTTTGTTTTCTCAGCATGAATTATTAATGAGTTTGAGAAGTGTGGAGGAAAGCTTTTTTTTCAGCATCAGTAAAAACAAAGAATGAGTCAAGTTCCTGTAATTTTCAGCATTTCCTTTCCAAAAGTTAAATTGACTCTTTGACCTCTAAGAGTGATTAACATCTAATTTCTCCTCATAATATCACCCCTGAATCACACATTAAAGTCATGAGAATAAATAAAATGATCACCAACTAAAGAAGCTCTTGATTGTTAAACAAATTCTCCTTGTCAGCACCTTAGTAAATGTACAAAGAACAGTATGGAGAATATGCATATTGATGTTTGGGTGTAAAGGGCTTATGCAGCAGAAGTGCCACTCAAGTGCAACCAGATACCTGGGAGTGTCTACAAACTTCTCCACCAACATGTTGTCATCATTGAAGGACTTTAAAGATTCCCTTCTAGCTGACTCAAGGGCATCATCAAAATCCTCAGGCTTCATTACAATTCTCATCCCCTAGGAAAAGTTTCAAAAGATCAGAGCTTCAGAATGTAATGAATCCAAAGCAGTTGAGAGAACTGACCATGATAATAAGGAATTTTGACCTTTGCAATTGAAAAGAGAAAAATGAATGTTTTTGCTATTTTCCAAGCAAACAAACCTTTCCTCCTCCACCTCTGACAGCCTTGAGCATGACAGGATATCTGGATAAAAAAAGAGAGCCAAAGAATATGAACTGAGGAGAACAATAGTCAAGAACCACACTTGATTGAAGACAAAAAACATTTACCCTATTTTCTCTGCCTCCTGTCTCAATCTCTCATCTGATTGGTCATCACCATGGTAACCTTCAATGATTGGCACTCCAGCATTACCCATGATGGCCTTTGATGTACTGCAATAAAAAATTCAAGATATCAGACCAAGATTGCAGGAAATAATTTGCAATTCAAGTAATTTTAACCCTTTAAATCCCTGATCAAATTTGTAACTTTCCTTACTGGCAACTATACAATTCATATAATGTTAGTTCAGAGAATTTAGTATTGGATCAACTGATTATCCCCAAATTGATATCTTTCTTAATTCTTATCACTTATCTGGTTGATATTGTATTGATATTGTAAGGAGAAATTCTGCCTTGGTCACTCATGAGAGTTAAAGGGTTACAGTGAATCTTCTTAGTTACCTCTTTATACCCATATCTCTGATCGCTGAAGCTGGTGGTCCAATAAATATTACCCCTTCTTTCTCACAAAGCTCAGCAAATTCTGGTTTCTCTGATAAAAAGCCATAGCCTGGATGAATGGCCTAAATCAGAGAGAGAGTGAGAGGACTGGTGTTGACATAAACACCAGAAATCAAAGACATATGTAGTGACATAACTGCAAGTGCCCTGGACTCTGGAATAAACCACAGATACTCCCAGCAAAATCAAACAGTATTAAAGTTTTTTTTATTCATACCTGTGCTCCACTTTTGATGGCAACTTCAATGATTTTCTCCATTTTCAAATAACTTTCTCGAGATGCAGCTGCCCCAATGTGAAAGGCTTCATCAGCCTGAAAGTAAAGAAATTTAAAAAGTACACTCAGTTAAAAATATACTTTTATCTAATCTGTAAGTTGTGGAGAACTTTGCTTTGTTCTTATTTTTGCAGCTAAAATCATCATAAAATTTGTGATATATTTTTTCTAGATCAACAATGCATTTAGCAAAATAAAATTTCTATGAAAACTTTTGTCTAAAACATTAATTATCATCACAGAGTGTTAATTTCTCTTATTTCTCCAGCCTTCTATGGTCAACTTACGGCATGACCTAGAAAAACACAGATCTAGAATATTTCTTTAACCTAAGTGTAGCTGACCACCATTTGGAATAATTTTGTAAAAATTAATATAATTTACTTACTGTGTCTACATGCATGGAATTTTCATCTGCATCACTGTACACAGCAACTGTTCTTATCCCCATTTTCTTGGCTGTTTTCATGACACGACAGGCAATCTCACCTCTGTTGGCAATGACAACCTTCTTAATTGCTCTTGGGCCTAAAGAGGAGACACACCCAAAGAGTGATCAACTCACCAATATCAGGAATGTGACTGAGGGGGGGAGGGAGGAATTTGAAGAGCCTATAACCCCCTCTCCCTTGGGAAAGCATTTTTTTTTTAAGTCAATGACACAAAAGTCTTATAATTCAGGATTGCCAATACAAACATCAGTTTGGTAGAATCAACCCATATGAAAATTTCTGGCTGACAAGAGCCTGAATATGGCCTGAAATTTAAACCAGACACCATCCTGAACCAGATCCTACCGATATGCTAGAAAAGGAAGTAGTATAAACCACTTCATAAAGGGTGCACAGAAATTCATGACTCTGACCTCCCTTTGAAAACTTTAAGCTGTGCCAACTGAATCAAGTTCTTTATAACTAATTCACCCATCGCTTTAGAAACACGAATCTCCCTCATTGAAAGTTAGTTTTTGTAACAAGATTGGAAAAAAACATCTAACGTAGTTTCTAAAACAAAGTATTACACATCAAGCTAGAAATCTGAGTTTAAATCAAAATTTCTGGTTGTTTTCAATTTAACTGAAATTATCATAACACTTGAAGTAAAGTTTCATAAATATCTTAATTAATTTTTATTAAAATAATCTTTTTAAACCCTACGAAATTAAGAGATCCTTGCAGCTAAGAACACTACTGAACTAGTTGTTAAATTTTTTTTATTTTATTTTTTTTATTTTTTTAACTCTGTTAGATCCATGTATTTTACACACAAAAAATTGATATTTGATAAAAAATTATCTCTACAGTGCTAAAAAACTGAGACGTAACCGTTACAGAATTATTTACAAAACTTAGAAAACTCACCAGTAGTATAGTTGGAACCAAAATTCCAAACTAATTGCTTCCTACTTGGAAAGATAAAATGAAAAAAGGTAATATTAAAAGAAAAGATTTAACATAAGAAAAGACAAATTTGAAGTGAGAGTCAATCAATACCTTTTGGCGCCGAGAAATCGGAAAAACAATTTTCTTTCTAAAAGAATAGCCATGTTGGCCGCCATCTTGTACTCGTGGAGAATTAGTTACACATTGTTGCTGATACATGATAAAACTGTAAGATTCAGCTGACCGCTAGTGTAAGTGGTGACTCGCTTCCATGGCAACCAGCTGCATTCTGGGTCAAAAATAAAAACATGGCCGATTTAAGTTGCATGTATGGGCGATATTCTGTTTGAATTTTAGCGTTTGCTGGTCAATTTTCGTATTTATATTTTTCGAATTGTTTAAGAGAATGGGACAAAATCTTAACGAAGCTCCTCCGAGTTCACGGTAGGGTTTTGGTGACAAAAAAGGCTGTTTTGTCAGATTTGCTTTGTGCCAATAACTTTGAGGAGAGCTGTAGCGGTCCTATGCATTCTCTGATTTCCAGATTAACTAGAATTGAAGCAGCAAGAAAGATTGAACGATACTGGTGTTCTTACCGGGACAAGCAAATGTTCAAGTTGCTAAAATATGCAATATGTGCGGCGGTAAGTTTGTACAAATCAAGCTTGAAATATGATTTGTGCGCTGAACGATTGCACTGTGAAAGAATAGTCTTCCTTTTGTTGCCAGTGTAGAATTCATGATGTTCCTTTTTTCAGGAACATTCTCTTACGTATGAGGTGCTTAGAAAGGTGTCACCACTCGAGGCAGACCTTCTGCGTGATCCTGTGATCCAAGCACGAGTGAGATTCAGGTACGGGGAGCTCGAAGGCTTAGGTTTTGTTGTTGTTGCTTTTTATATTTTTTTTCAGCTTTACGTTAAGAATAATCCAAGGCAAAAGAGATCTAAAATGAATAGTATCTAGAAGAATCTATAATAGATGAAAGTTTTGGTTCACATCTTGCTTGACGTGTTGAAATTAACTAATGAAGCCTGTTCCAAACATTCCCCCACCCCATCCCCCTGCTTATGGGAACAAAATTTAGACACTTCTTCTTGTGGGGAACAGTATTCAGGCTATGATGACACAGAGAGCTTGGAGATGCAAGGAACATGTTACCAAAGTATGTCCATAATTTAGGTGAAATGTAGCTCTTACATGAGTAAAACAAAAGAATTGACTTCCCATCACCCTTTGCAAAACGTGAAGGTGCACATCAAATACTTTATCAGCCAATCCCAATGAAACACCACAGGGCAACCAGTTAGCCAATTCAGCAAGATAAAAAGTGGATCCATTTAGGAAAAAACAACTTGTACAAAATGTTTTCTCTTATAACTGTAACAGTTACAGTTATTACATACAGATAGAGGCAAATCTGATCAATGATTGCTGGCTTTTTTGTCTTTTGTCTTTTGTTTTTTTTTTCATTATCCTTTTCTATGAAATTTTTTGTAGATTTGGAGGATCAGAATTTCCACCCATTATTTTGTTCAAGATTTTTATTCACAGTGGAGGACATGGTGTCAAGTATTATTGTGGGAAAAAGGTTATCAAACCTGCCTCAGAGGTAACTAAGAATATTAGCTTTCTGTGTGGGACTATTTGCAGTATAAGGCTATGAATTTCAATAAACAGTGGTCATCTAGTTCAATACTGTAATTTTTTTGTTATTTCTAGGCAGCTTGTGACTCACTAAGATTAATGGGAAATCGAAAATTCTATGATCAGTTAATAGCTGATACATGTCAGCAAGAGAAAGACAGAATAACTGATGAAACTGATGTAACAACAATGAAAGATTATATGCAGGTATGAGGAATGATGCAAAAAGTCTTCCTACAGCTTTGTGTCTGTAGTTCATGATTTTTTTTTTTTGAAAATTAAAGTATTACAAAGCTTACTCACCCCCTCCCCCAACCCCCACTCCCAACCCTTTGTCAATATCCTTAGACACTCTGCCAGTATAGTACAACCCATTTCTAACCCTTGATTGAAAGATGTGCTGTTAGGGTAAAGTGTTTCCAAGTTGACCTGTTTATAGCTGCTTTCCTAGCCCAAGCTCAAGGGATCCCTAGAGTAACACACCAACATATTTCATGGGCAATCATTTCATCATACTGTAGGTTGATTAAGGCAAAATAAATATTATTTTATTACTATGCCAACTTGCATTTGTGGAAGTTTATTTTTAAAGTTTTTTTTTCCTGTCTCACAGTATTTAAGTCATCTAGATGAATGTCCTGCCGCAACAGGAGGAAAGTCAAATACTTGGAGAAGACTCACCCTTGAAGGTATGTCAGCAAAATGCCCTTAATGATTTGTGCAATTTCACAAATTGGTAGTTATCTTACAAAGGGAGTTTCTCTATTTAAATAAAGGTCTGATTCCTTTAAATTAACATCTGTTTACTTGTACAGCTGTATATATGTAAAGATTGTCAATATTATATTTATAAAAACAATTTGGCTGTGTCAGAGTGTAATTTCTACTGTGTAATCCATAGATACATGTAAATTTATGTCTTACTTTTCCTGCAAGCTTTAAATTAAGTTTACACTTTACATCTTGTCCAAATGTAGCTATCCCAAGGCACAATATTGTCCACGATATCTTCAGTTATGTGGCATGTGGTATCTCCACCCCCCGACTGCTTGAGGAGTGTCCAGACTTGTTGTCATTGAGACCAGCCACTCAGGAAATTCAAGTGGCCAGTATCAAGGCAATTCCTTTGTACAGGTATGGTGGCAAAGTTGTTTAAATTCCCCAAAAGTGAGTGTTGTAATTTATATTAGGCATAGCTTTTCAAATGATCTTATACAAGTGTTACTGATGTCCTCCGATAATTACACCAGTAATGCACTTTTTAGCTCTGTCTCTACTACACCTTCCTCTCCTACTTGCCACCTGAGTGTGTAATGTAAAGTCCTTAATAAAAAGGTAAGGTTTGTAGTCACAGGAGGTCAGACCCATCCAGTGGAAGCTTATCCCCATTTCCTTGGTGGGAAACAACTAACAGTATTACTACTCCCCCCTGGATTAATGGTTAATGTGCTGGGACTCTGGGTCAGGAGTTCTGAGTGTGAGACCAGATCTGGTCATTGTGTTGTGTTCTTGGGAAAAACACTTTCCTCTCACAGTGCCTCTATCCACCCTGGGGTATAAGTGGGTACTCGCAAGTGGTCAGGGAAAGCTGGTGAAATGCAGGGGGGGGGGAGGGGGGGTAGCCTTGCAATGAACTAATATCCTATCCAGGGGGGAGTGGTGATACTCCTTGTTGCTATAAGCTAAGGAATATGAAATAAGCTCCAGCTGAGTGGCCCAATTAGCTCAAGTGTAGACTTAACCTTTGTAGTACCTTTAATCACCTAATCAGTGCTTAAATGATAAAAGAAACTTTTTTCTTTCCAGGAAAAAAGCGCAAACAGATTACACCACCTCATCCCCAGCCAGGAGGTCAAAACAAGCTAAAGCAAGGGTTGCAAAAATGCGTAAAATGTTTGGACTGGATTCTCCAAAACTGCCTGAAAGTCGTCAGGGTGCAACACCAGCAACACAGGTGCCTGAGGATGATTTGTTTGAGGATGAAGACTGGGAAGATCAAGCTGACAAATTATATGAATGGACACAAAATTTATCTCTAGATGAGCTTGGAGTTGCCTCTCCATGATGTTCAACAATTTAAAAAAATTGGAATAAAAATGTGGTAAAGTTGAGAAGGAAGAACAAAAAAGTGAGGAATGGTTCAGGGTCAAAGGTCAGTGTTCAGGTCATGGATCAAATGGACATCTAACACATGGCACTGATCAACAATTCGAATTCAAAGCTGCTGTTATGTTCCCCATTATGAGGCAAAAACATTCAACAAATAATTTGAATACAATTGGCCCTTGATATGCTTACTCAAAAGCAGGAAAGATAAACTTACATTTAGTTATTGTCAAAATACTTCTTTAACAGAAACATTTTGTATTTTTGTAAACATAGTTTAAATGTTATATTATGGAATGTTACTTCCTGAAAACAGAAACAAAACTCCATGAAAAATAATAATTGTAAATAAATAGCTAGGTTAATTGTTTAATGTGAAATGTGTCACTGAAATGATTTTTAAACAATACTGTCAAGTACAGCACACAAAATGATGTGATAAGTTGAGTTTTCACCCAAAAAAATTGCAACTGATGAAGACATCCATAAACAATAAATCTTCTTGGTTTATTATTTTGTGCTTATTAGTTACAATGAAGTTGATGAAGCAGGGCAAATATCCAATACCCTTCTTTAGGTACTTCTTGTTTTTAACAAACTAATAGTAAATAAATAATATTATCAATTATACATAGCAAAATGTGGTGGTTAAGTTGCAAAAGAAAGAAAGGAATATTGGAATTTCACTTGCAAGCTTGTGTACAATAGGTATTATATAATTTTCAAAACAAACACCAATGATATCACAACTTTCTCATGGCTAAACCCTTTCATTCAGTAATTCTCCTTACTGTCTGTCATACAAGGAGAATTTGGTCTTGGATCAACTAATAATCCTTTAAGTAATACTTCTCTTTATTCCCATGATCACTTGTATTGATATTGTAAGGAGATGTTCTGTCTTGGTCACTCATGGGAGTTAAAGGTTTAATGCCGTCTGTCTTGTGCTGTTCTTATACCGACTTCTTCTTTGAATTCTCATTGAATTGGCTTCCTTGTAATAATTACAACTCTTGTGATAAGACCTTGTAATTTCTTTAGTTTGCAATCTGGTTAATTCATCTTAAAATTTCTCTTACCAGAGACTTTTGTTGTTGCTATTAACAGAGCCCACGTTAGAGACCACAGGAATCCCAGGTTTATCAGCATTCTGCTTACAGGAGAACGCATACTTACAAACTTGATCTTTCTATCTTCCTGATTAACTTTACAATCACAGTTACCCAATCTAAATTCATCTTGCACTTGTACAATAATATTAAAGGGTGTTTTGGACCTTAGGCTTAATATGATGTAACATCAATCAGGATTTCATGAGCCAATCTTCCATCTCCCACCTTGCTGTATTTGCTACAAAACAGCTGAGCAGTGACAGATGAAAAGTTGAACACAACTTTGTTGGCAATCAACTTGCTATTTCAGCAATAAAAAAGGATCTAAGTTCTCTGCAAAACTACTTCAATCCACATTGCATCTAATCTAACAACAACTATTTACAGTAGATACATGTACATCAAACTAACAGCAGTCAAATGAAAGCGTCATCAGCCATTGTAAGGCTTGGCTCCTGGCCTTGCTGCCTCTTTCTGTAGCTCCATTTCAACCTTGGCTTTGATTTTGTCCCAGTCAACTTCCACCTATAACATACAGGTGAACCATGCAAATAAGACACATTTATCAAACTTTAATGAGTGTTAAAACTGATTTCTCCCTTGAGAAGGCACTCGTTAGACAATTACAGAATATTTCCATGTTGTTTGTAAAGGTAGTAACATGATTTCTCTTGCAATTTGGTGTTTATAAGCACTGGTAAATTTTTCAAACACAACAAAATTGTATGAGCCCATAGGGTGAGTGCAATTTAATTTATAGTCTTTGAAAAAATTTCAAGTGCTTCTTGCACCAAATTGCAAGAGAAATCATTTTATTAATTGTTTATAGTGAAGACGAAGAAACATCACCAAAAGTCAAGAAAGGCGAAATTTTGAAAGAGTGCCTGCACTATTTGTAATTTGCACTCATATTTCAACTTTGCACCCATGTTACATGAGAATATGCACTTGTTTTCAGCCAATTAGAAGCACATATTTTTTCATGTAAATTAATATTAGATTGCAGAACAATTTTACATACACAAATTTTAGTCTTTGTCAAAAATATGCTTCACATCGACTATTTTAACAGTGAGAATGTGTCATGAATGGATTTAGGTCCACAGAAAGGAAACTTGAACCAGTTAAAAGAAGATGTATATGCTTACCCCTTGTGCATACTGAAGAAAACGTTTGCTTGTTTCCTTCCTGTCAAAGTTCTCCAGATATTTCTGTCTGTGTGCTAGAACTGTGTCCACATGAGTCTTGTGCTTAACAGCAAGTTCAAGGGCCCTGTCATAAAACAAAGGAAAGCAAACATAAGATATTAGGCTATCCATTTGTTGATAGAAAACTGGGTTTACGTTATAGCTAATCCTTATTTCCCTTGATAACATCTGTTAGAGATGCAGTGCAATGCATTTTCTCAATGCACCTGAAAGACTATCAATAGGAAAAATCTCTTTTTGCGCGGTGATTTGTGTCTCAGTCTGTACCTGTCCCAGTTAAAGAGATCTATGTTCATCTGTATTGCTCTGTAAATGAGTCCAGCTTGTAGGAGAATTGTCTCTGCTTCTTGAGTCTGTCTGCAGAACAATGCCATGGCAGCATTCCTTCCCTCTTTAGTAGGAATTTCCTTGATGTGATTGATGTATTGGACTTTGTCAGCCTGCAAATTGAAAACAAGTTTGACTGTGATTTCTGAGGCTACAGTTTACATTAAAGTGATGGCAATTTGACAAAGTTTATCTCCACAACTTTGACAGAAGTTCTCAATATGGGGATGACTTTTATGACTTATGGTTAAAATGTTGGCCATTTTTTAGCTAAGAGTCAATTTCTGTCTATTATGGTCAGAAGAAAAATTTTTATGATTCACAGCTTAACTTTTGAAAATCATATTTAAATTTAAAGCCTATTGGCTAAAATTTTTGCTGTTTTTCTGCTTAAGCTTAACCCATTAAGACCCTCATGGCAGGTGTTTCTGGTCAGCAGTTTGTCTCATGAGTGTGTGCTAACATGAAGTCCACAAGTAGTTTTGTAGCCAATATTTTTTCAGCAACTCTGTGCAGTTTTGTGGCATTTGATTTCAAGTGTTCTTCCATCGCACCCTACCCCATCTGCTCTTTTTCTTCCACAAATCCAATCACCTGGCCCATTTATCAGTTCTGCTTTAACTCCCCTCAGTCCTAACCTGCTGCAGCTCACTCAATAACAGCACAATATTGACCCTTTACCTCCCATGAGTGATCAAGACAGAATTTCTCCTTACCATATCAATATAATATCAATCAGATAACTAATGAGAATAAAGAAAAATATAAGATTGAGGATTTTCTACCTGGTCCAGTACCAAACTCTCAGAACTAGCATCATTAGAATTGTATGGCAGACAGTGAAGATAATCACTAATGAGATCTTGGGCATTCAAGGGTTAAAACACTATGAACTGTAGTTTTATGAAAATTCCATGAATTTCATGTGAAAAACCCATGAAGATCATTTCATGGCCCATGAATACTGCAAAATGAAATTTCATGGGGTTATTTTTAGCCCTGAATTTTCCATGAATTAGGGGAATTTTTTTCATGACCCATGAATTTCTTCAAAGTCTATTTTTATGACCCATTGATTTGCCATGAAAGTCATCAGAATTAATTTCATGACCCATGAATTTCTTTATATGCCTACTTTCATGACCCATGAATTTCTTCAAAGTCTACTTTCATGACCCATTAGTTTCCCCAGAAAGTCATCAGAATGAATTTCATGCCCATGAATTGCAATCAAACAGAATTTCATGGGCTAACAATTTATTTGTTTTGGGAGAACAAAATTAATGGGCCATGAATATTCCCTGAAATCTGTTGCCCATGAATTTCATTGATGAATTCATAGGCCATTAAAAGTGGTAATAATGAGTTCATCACAGTCACTGATTTATCAACAAGCTGACTTTCATGATCCGTGGAACTAACTTGTTATAAATTTATGCACTGATGGAATTTTGGTGTACAGCGCGAAAACCGTCGAATGAAAATGTCCCTAAACATCTTAAGTGGCCTTTGTTAACGTAAAATGTACAGGAAATCACAAAACAATGACTAAAAACAATGGATCTTCAATTTGCTCTTTTGTTGAGACAAATAGGGCTGGAGGCAATGACCCAGATGTTTGATCCTCACTTTGATTTTTTGGGGCCTTTTTGCCTTCGCCATGCCTGGACGACTTTGTTGAATTTTTTCTGCCTCACTGCTGGCTTTGATTGTTAGCCATGACTCTGGAAACCTGTTCAAGGCCTTCTCTTACATTCTTACGGCTGAGGAATCTTCTAGGGCTTTTCCAGTAAGGCACCTGCAGAGTACAGATGCTTAAGTTGCACAGCAATAGTACGCATTGCAACTTCACGAAATGTGGAACAAAACAATGAAAAATCAATCACTTTGTCACCTCAATTTGGAACTTTGAATAGTGTGCAAATGTAACCTGAAAAAAAATGCTATTTTTACCTCGTTCATAGAGTCGCCGGTTAACAGAGTCAGGCCATCTTCTCAGTCGGGATGAAACGTTACCTTCATGTATTCATTGAGATCGCCTTCTACAACATCGTTGTTGATTTCGTGATCGCTTTCACAGGAATCACTGTCGATGTCAGCTCTGACTTTCTTGGACTCTGATGTCCTGTCGATTGTTACTTGCTTCGAATTCCAAATACCGAACAGCTTTTTGTGCTGCTTTATTTTGTAAGATTACAGACGCAGCAACGAGACCTCTTCGGAGTCATTTCGTAACGTCGAACACGATAACCTGTGAGGTCACTATGTGACCGCTGACCTATGATGGCTGCGATGACCTAAGGTCACCACGTGAAAGTACACGTGATTTACGAAGAAGTGGCGGTTTTTTTCGTACCTCGAACAGAATGGTTCCATTCCAATTGCATTTCTCGTAGTGTTTGTGTAGCAGTCTCTTTTTTTCCAGATCAACGCAATGGACCGTCTGAAAAGTTTTTTCAAAGAGGTTTCCTCAAGATGAAGTTATCGACATGTATTACAACGTGAAGGGGTAAGTTCAAGCTTGGTCATCTTATTACGCGTAAACATTGGAGCGCGCGCGCTAACTATTGATTTAACTTGAAAATTTTTATTCTGTGATCATCTGCCGAAACATCACAAGAGTTTGTATGGAAATACCTACGACCGTTCTTAGGAATAAAAAATACAGTCAAATTCTGAATACGAAATACCTCACCTCATTTCCATAGTGCGTCGCTTAGTATCTGACGGCTTCATGTTGAAAAGAACCTGTTTTGGCGAGTTATCCATTTCTAGGTTTACTACGTACATAAGAAAGGCTCTTAGATAACTGATGATGTGCTCCCTTTATTTTGCAAACAGTGAAGAGTGTTGGTCTACAAAACTGATGAAAGGAAATGCACACTTGCTAAAGCAGCCTATCTTGGTCCAAACGATGATGAAGATGCAAATAGTAATGATAACCGAAAGAAGGATGGCACATTCAGCTGGCCAAAACAGAGAGACACTGACATAGTCAGCCATAGATATATCTTCACACATGCAAGAGTGCAGAAAGTTGGTAATTGTTTTGTTGTTCGTTACATTGAGAGTATTGATCACAAGTGTAAAACATATCAAGAAATTTACATGAATGCTGTTACATAAATAGACATTATAATAACTGTCCATAACATTTTACACATGATATTAGACGAAGGAAATGATATTTGAAGTTTAGACAAAAATACATCAAGCCAGTGAGTATATTTTCAATAATTTCGTCCAAATATTTTTCACATCAAATTTATTATATACCTTCAGAAATATAGGAGCAGAATCTGTCTCCACAAGGAAAATCAGTGATATCAAAATAGAGCTAAAAATCATTAACATCTTAATTTTATGCAGAAAATTTCATACCAACTTTTTTTATTTAAGAAAGTGTAAACTGAATTATCATAATTTTGGAATCCTAAAGTAATATTTATGTACAGCTGGTGATACAAAATAAACTATTAGAGAATCCAAACTTCTGGTCATGTCTTTCATGTGTGTGTGCTTGTACAACAGGACCAAGAAGTTTCACAGATAGGTTAGTTCTTCAGTGTATAATTTAAGTGATAGTGTATGTATTACAGTTATGGTATACTGCATGCTATACACTGTAGTACAGTCTTTGGTACAAGAAAAGTGAAGAATTTTTAATTCCAAATTCATAGGGTTTTCAAAGAATTTTCATGGTGCTTGCATATTCCTAACAACCCCATGAAAACTAACTGGCAATTAACTTTCATGTGCCATGAAAAAACCATGTAGAGGCCATGAAAATTCAAGGAAAATTTTCATGGTCAATGAATTTTTAACATATTCACAGGATATTCATGGGTCATGATTTGCTGCAACCCATTAAAAACTAGTGAACTTTGACACCATGAAATTTTGGGCTTGAAATTCATGGGTTTCTCAGTACCTTTGAAAAGGCCATGAAATGCCATTTTCATGGGTATTTCATGGCTTCTAGGTCACTTTACTCAATATTTCATGGGTCGTGAATATGGAAATTTTCACAGGTTTTTCATGGGATTTTTCAGGTCTTTTTCATGGCACTGAGACCATGAAAATGTCATTGATTTAACCATGAATATCCTGTGAAAAATCTGTGAATTTACAATGAATTATTTCACAAGATTTTCATGGGTTTTGAGTTCATAGTGAAAAGAAGCTTTAGTACCAACCTCATCTATAGCAGCATATGCTGTCTCTGCCGTGTTGAGATCCTTTGCATAAGCAGCCATTGTCGCTAAACATGCCCACAAAACAGTGTCCTGAAAAAATAGCAAGAACATGGTTTTGACTGTCCATCCAAATTTTGTCAATTTTTCTTAATCTAGTCCAGATTATAGTTTGTTACTCTGACAGTCCTTTCTAGTTCTTCAGGAGCAAATATTTGTTACATTCAAATTCATATTTGTTTCTGTTTGGACAATCACACATAAATGGCATGAAATCAATAATCATTTTGATGATTTAATAATTATTGATTTACCTTTACAAATCTGCAAAGTCGAATACCATCTTGCCACTTTGACTCACTGGCATACTTGTGTAGCATTGAAGGATATGGTGAAATTCTGTCAAACAACCAAACAACAACCCTCAAGAAAATTCATCCTTAAGCTCAACTTACAGGCAGTGTTACCAGTAACCTTTTAACTGCCAGGATCTTATTGTTAATTCTCTCCTCTAGCTGCTACACATTTACTCAAATATTAGTTGCAAGAGTTTGGTTTTAGATCAAGGTAACAACTACCTGATACACTTGAGTATATACTCTCATCACCTGTTTGCTGGATAGTGGATGGATATATAATTTATATACTGGGACTTAAAGGGTTAATATTGCATTATAGATAAAGACCTGATATTTGGATTTTAAAGTTTGTGTGAGCACTAGCAGATGAATTGCCATACATCACCACAAGTTGCATAGTTAAGATTCATTTTCTATAAATCAGGAAAGTATATTTGAGAGAACTAGTCTAGTTTTATAGCACTGATGTGAAGAGGAAACTCACATTGTGCTGCACAGGGAGCCATCAGCTCTTCTCATTGTGCAGTGATTTTCCAGGAAGCTGACGATCTGGGGGTTCTTTCCAAAATCACTGAAAATGGGGGGAAAAAAAATGATGACAGAGTGACATGTGCATTGTAATTCAATTCAAGTCCAGAGGCAGACCACTTCTTAAGATGGCTCTAAATTTTTTTCAGGGATCACCAGCAACTGGGCAACATCTGTTCAAATGAATTCCAAGTGTGGTAGTAAGTGAAATTGCTTTTAATGTTTTTGATCATTAATGAATCAATTAATAATACTAAAATTGATAACTTTGAAATCCATGGGTGTCTGGGATTGTTATTGACTGGATGGAAGAGATGGACAGAAAATACTCAACTCAAGGCCCATGATTGTGTTGTGACCAAGAGCGAAATATTTTCTTGTCGTGCCTGACTTAACTCAGCCAATAAGCATTTTAAAAGATGAAAGGAATAATGACAGATGTCAAAACATCCATCACTTTAACTTTCTTCTTTAAAAAACTTAAGCTTGTATCTCACAGCAGCTTACATCATCACCTATTGTAAATACAGCCTTCATACCACAATTTTTTTCCCTTGATTTTCAAAAGGAGGGCTTTAGGGGTTGTACAGGTGCCATGATAAAGAATGTAACCAAAACAGAGTTGTACAAAAGTCAGGATCTATTTGGTTAAAACCTGCACTTCTGAGCATTATCAACAACAGTTTACAAAATAGAAGAGGAGGGAAAACAGGATTTGAAGTCACACCACAAAGGTGGGAAGCAAACAAACTTTGCTGAGCACTTATCAGTCAACCCACCACCTTTAAAATGATAAAGGTGTTTTTGACTTTTAAGTATAGGCAGGGATATTTTTTTCTTTACCTGGAATCTTTCTCAAGAAGTGTTTTGTGCAGGATATCCTGATCAACGTACACAGCACTTGGATAGTACCAAACAATAAATCTACCATCCTGGAATGCTGATAACATGTTTGTGTTGTCATTCCATGCCATGGTTGTTATCATTGTTCCTAGATTAAAAGAGAAGTAAATTAAACAAGACTCAAATTAACCACAAAAAGTGTGTCTGCCAGTGGAGAGTAACTTTAGATAAAAGAATAAATACTATGCCTTGATAACATCTGGGGTGCTAAATCCTCATAAAACTATTGTAACATTAATTTATGATATTAAATCACATAATTATCTAACCAGGCATGAGGTCAGGCTTTTTGGAAATCAGTTAATTTGCATTGTTCTGAGCTGAGATGGACAATATGTCAAAATTGTCAACTCCATAAATTCATCGTTTGAACAATCACTTGCTTTGATGAAATTTCATCAAATCTGCCATTTTGGTTTTTGCCTACATTCCTGTGACTTCTGCAGGAGCAAAATAGGAAATCAAGCAATCTCCTCAGAAAACCAAACAGGAAATAGGATTTACCTAGTAATGTTGCTTGCTAACAGATCACCAAAAGAGTCATTTCACATTTTGTATTTACTTTATATGAGGCCATCCCAGTCACAAAATGTTTATTCAAATTTACCTCTCAAAGATGTCAGTTGAAGAGAGCCTCTAATCAATTCTATAAATTTGGATACACTTCCATAATTCACAAATATTATTAATAATCAAAGTAAGTTGCTTGTCTGTTGTACTAACCAAGTTTAACCAATCTTTCAGCTGGACCAATGTGTTTGACAGGTGTAAGATAAAGATCTCTGTTTTTATCAATAATGGCCAGTTGCCTGTCACTAGTCTGACCACACTGGCTCAGAGAAATCTCCATTACTTCCAGCTGGAATAAGAAGACACCAGGGGAGCAGGTTAATCCAATAAACAAAGAAAATAAATAATTCAAACAATTTGTAAGTAGTGGCTAATGGTAAACTATAACAAGGTTTGCTTATGATCTTTTTAGAGTATCTGTTAACAAGACTCGACCTGCATGGTACTTTAAAAGAGTGAACTCAGAAGACAATTGCGTCAGTGCACATAATGCTGAGAGCAAGTCCTCTTAGAGCTTGTGCATAGAGAGGCGGGAAAAAACCAAACACAATTTACAACTCCTTTAATTTATAGAATGAAAACACTCACAGAGTGTTGGATTGGCTGGCCACTTCCAACTGGCTTTCCTGTCTGAGTTTCAAATAAATGGATAACTGAAAAAAAGGAAAGAAAAAACAGCAACAACAATGCAATGAAACTGTACAAACAAACTTAATTCTTGGGTCATTTACAAGATACTTCACCATGCCTTGTAGCATTATAATAGATTATTCTATGGCAAGGAAGTCCTGAAGTAAATCCAAGCAATCTGATTGGTTTGTACTTGTCCATATTTTGCCGTACAGATTTTTTCCATGAAAAAAGTCATAAACTATGTATTTTTGGTCACAAGAATTCTAAATAAACAACTTTAGTGCTAGGGCCATTTAATAAACTACTTACTAACCTGATTTGCTTGAGCTGGACTGGGGAATGTTGGCTCTTGGTCAATTTTGTACAGACCTTGCTGTGCTTGGTGTGTACTGCCACAACCTTAGGTCAATATTCCCCAGTAAAGCCCGAGGACTTGATAAGTTAGAAGTTTAATCCACTGAAGGTGTAATTTCCAACATTACCTTTCTCATCTTTGCGATCTTTGACTGCAAGTGTATCATTGCTTAATGTACAAGTTTGTTCATTCAAGGTGTCAGTCCTTAGCCCTTGAAACTTTGGAACACAGGTTAAACGACCCTGCAAGATTGAACAAATAAAATACAATGGATGGTTTAAAAACACAATTTAAGAGTTTCATGATGATAAATTATGATGCTATTTAAACTATCATGGCTGATATCAGAGGTACAGAAGATGCATAGGACTCAAAACTGGCCAGTGTAAACATTTAAGCACGAACCTCATATGAGTAAACTTGAAGTCCTGAGTCATCAACTAGAAGAAAGTGTCTGAAAAAATAAAGCAACAAATTAAAGCTCACTTTAAGATCATTCTCATGGATAAAATTTTGGTTTTATCAACTGAGTTGATAATGAAAATTGGTCACGTTTTGAGTGTTAGCCCTTTATACTAGGCAGTCTCCTTGGGGATTCTTGAGATGACATCCTTCTGTAAACTGTATGTAATTGTTAACAAAAAAATTATTCCACATAATCATTTTATTGGGGAGCAGCAGAGTGTTCATTTTGCCTCTTAAACGCATTTGATTTTGAAGAACAGATACAATTGAGGATTAAAAATAGGGGGAGAGTTTTTTTAGCAAGCACCAAACTGTTAAACACAGAAATTAAGTAAGTGGAAAAAAAGAAAATGTTTCATTAGTACTTACTTTTCAGTCTGGACAATAAGGGTGATGTTTCCATTCTTGAGGTCAAATATCATTGGTGTGTTCCAGTTTCTGACACTGTGAAATAAAAAGCAAATATGTCAAATCAGTGATAAATATCAGCATATACAACAATGATCTTAGTTCATTGATTATTATTAAGACTCCATACCCATTCTAATGCAACTAACCTGTATATGTAGCACTGAGATGTTGTTGCTACAACAAGGTGGTTGAAAGCCAATGAAGTCTTGATAATACGATCTCGGAAGTCTAAAGGAATCGTGAAGATCTTGTTTAGTGCAAAACACACTCTTATGAATGATCATGGAAACCAAAGATTTAGTAACAAGATTGTCAAGGATCTGAAAAAAAATTACTTTCAAAGATATGTAAATTTATTATTACCCAATGATTCCTTCACATCATTCATTACATCTCTGACGAGAATGCTCTTGCGGTCTGTTACTGTTACTTCAAAGTTTTTCCACTCGAGACGTCTGCCAAAGGAAACAGTTCATAACAATTCCAATTCATAATAAGCCTCAATTTCCAGACTCTGTAAACTATATAACATAATGTAGCAAATTACTTTCCAATGTCTCACTCTCAGAGCTCACCTTTCAATGACATGAGCAAAGATAACTTGTCCATTCCCACAAGCACCAGCAAGCTGTGTTCCATCACTTGACCAGGAAATGTTAAAGATTGAGCCAGTATTGGGTTTCTCCAGAGTGTATGACCACTGAAGGAATTACAGTGTAGACAAATATTAACACAGTGGTAATTGGTACAAAACACATCATAATGTAGCTTCCAGTTGCATTTGGCAAAAATTCAGAACTAGCCAACTTAAACAGGCTACTTCTTCAGATGAACAAAACTGTGCTGTTATATAAATACAGAAAACAAAATTAAATATGAAAAGTAGCTTTCAAAACCTGAGCTCAATAGAGATTTTAAAATTAGAAACTCTGATTAAGGTTTAATCCTGCAATTCATAAGCTTGTTGGCAGATTATGTACCTCCTTTCATAACCCTTTACACCTTAACATCAGTATGCATATTCTCCTTACAGTTCTCTATACATTTCCTAAGATGCTGACTAGGAGAATTTGTTTAACAATCAAGAGCTTCTTTAGTTGGTGATCATATCCTTTATTCTCATGACCTTAATGTTTGATTCAGGGGTGATATTGTGAGGAGAAATTAGATACTGGTCATTCTTAGGGGTTAAAGTGATAACAAGACTTCATGCATTCTGCACCTTGTCTTTGTAATAAGTAGTTGTATTCCTGCATACTTAACATATTTTGTCAACTAGAAAAAAGGGTTCCAATATTTTCTTTGAAATATTGTTACACTGTATTGTAATGGTGACATTGGTTGAATTGAGTTGAATTCAGTCACTTTTATCATGAGCCTCCGGCTCGGGAGATTGGGCAACCACTCCCCGTGTACCTGACGGTAAATAAATTATACTTGAGAGGATTAAGCCTGTGGGAGTGTAATCATTTAATTTTCTATTTCTTTTTCTGCTAAATCAACATTTAATTTAAAAATAATTTACCCCAGTTTTGTCACAGAGTCTCAGAGTATTAAAAGACCCAACAGCAAAGAGTTCACCTACAAAAGAGAGATAAAGACATTAAGTTACTTTGTAACATTTATCATTCATGTGTATCTATTCTTGATGACAGACATGAAATCTCAGACAAAGTGACTGCAGAGTATTGATACCAAAAGCAAAATGTCTTTTCAATGCCTGTTTAAAAGTCCAAATAAAAAGAAACTTACCATCTGGAGCCCATGAAATACTGGTAATAGGATATTCATGCAACATGCTGGAATACAACACTCTGCCGTAACTGTCCCAGACCTAACAGGAAACCAATGAGAACAAAGAAGATTATTCCTTGCCTTCATAATTGTTCAGCATTTTCAGCAAAGGCCATATCTGTCTTTTTCCTTGTCTAATATAAATCAAAGCCTGTATGTTAAGTACCTTATATTTGCAGTCTTCTCCCCCAGATATGATCAAGTTATTGATAGGATTCCAGTCCACTTTTAACACAATTCCATCATGAGCTTTCCACTATGTTATGAGATATAAAAAAAAAAAGATGAGATTAATTTGAAATATTTACAGTGAAGGGATTTCTTAGCTAAATTGAAGTAAATATATCACCCAATCTGTTGTGTCTTCTCAATAGCATCACAAAGCAACAACTCAGAAGTAGCTGGCACATCCCTGGACATAACATAACAATTGTTCTACAGTTCTTCTCTCCCAAACTACCTAGTATATACAGGTACATCAAAGTAGTAGCAAATGTGTTCATTGTCATTGATCAGGGCTGCACTCCTTCAAAGAGTTTTATATCACTGGTTTGTGACCACTTTGACATGAGTAAATTAACTCCAAATAGATTTAATTTTAAATACCAGTCACTAATAGATAATGGGTTAGAATATTCTGTAAGCTAAAGGTGCAAACTAAGTTATCAGCTTCCCAGGTAGAAATCTTATTAAGATCTTACAAGATCTTATAAGATCCTCTAAGAATCTTACAAGATCCTTAATGAGATATAAGATATCTCATTATAAAGATTTTGATATTTTGAAAATCTCAAAAGATCTTATCAATTTTTCAATAAGATTCTTAGTTAGATGGATTATTTTAGGAATCTTAGTAAGATCTTGTATGATTTCTTGTAAGATTCTTAATAAGATCTTATTAGGTGATCTTTCTAAGACTCTTGTTATATCTTAGAAGGATCTTATGGGATTTCTCGTAGGATTCTTAATAAGATCTTATTGGGTGATCTTTCTAAGACTCTTGTTATATGGAAATGTTATGGTGCTGTAAAAAAGATGTGAAGAGGAGGTTATTCTGTTTAAGTTACTTACAAGATCTTATAAGGGATCTTAATAAGATTCTTACAAGAATCGGTGAAAGATTTTTACGAAATTTTCTTGTAGGAATCTTATAAGAATCCTATAAGAATCTTGTAAGAATCTTATAGGATACCTGTAAGAATCTTGTTAGAATCTCATAGAAATCTTACAAGAATCTTATTAAGATTTTTAAAGGATTTTGGGTAAGATCCTGTTTAGATTCTTATTAAAAATCTTAGTAAGATCCTGCCAGGAATCTTATAAGATTTGGTAAGAAACTTAATAAAATCCTTATAGGAATCTTGTAAGAATCTTGTAAGATTCTTACAAGAATCTCATAAGAATCTTACATGAATCTTACAAGAATCTGGATAAGATCTATTATAAGAATCTTGCTAAGATCCTATTAAGATTCCTATTAAGAATCTTAATGAGAATCTTAATAAGATTTCTACCTGGGTTGTTACAAACAGTACCTGCACTGGTTTAGCAGCAGCTTGTAAAGGTTTAATCACTAACTGCTTTCCACTTGTGTGAAGAATCTGGTCAGAGTCTGGGCTCCATGATACAGAATATACTGGGGTCCCTGTGAAAACACAATTACCAAAACATATTACCACTGTAGCATAGCTTGTAATTAAGGCAAGTCAAACTCAATTGTACAAGCATGATCTTGGCTGAAATTTTCAGGATTTTGGCAGGTAGACTTTCACTATTCTTGAAATACCAATTTCCAAACCTTTAGGTCAAGCCCCAGGTGTCTTGGTCAAATCTTCCAAGAATCAGTTTTACATGCAAGGCTGTAAACCTTTCAGGTAGAGGGAGAAACCCATTCAAATACAATTCTGCCTTAGCTTATTTCTAACCTGTGAGGCACCAAAAATTTACAGCACTGTATAAAAGTTTTTGTGCACAAACCTGCTTGAACCAGTGTTGATCTTAACATTCCACTCCTAGACCATATCTTTACTTGGCCATCTTCTCCAACTGGTAAAAAATCCAAAGATAAAATTAATAGCAGTACACTTAAAGATATACTCTGAATTAAATGCTTTAAGTTTGAATAGGCATTTATTATCTCCTTGCTGCTAAATTTACTTTTGCTCTCCAAAGGTAAAACAACCAGCCAAGAAATGGGTTTGCAGCCTCAACATTTCTGTGCTATTTTACAAGACACAGTTCAAACAGGGTGAAGCACACCAAAATCAATATGTTGCTCTCACGTGCCTCTTACAACCATACTTTGTTGACAAATGGTAATTTGAGAGTTTTCTTCCAGACAATCTACCAGCTAGCTAGGAAAATAAACTCTGATATATGTAGTCCGCATTCAGGTGAATAATAATAGTCCATTTTACAGTTGTATGCTTGGTTGCCAAGCCTTTGAACAGGTGTGTCAAGGCTAAGGGTCTTGTTACGATACAAATGTTGCTGCTAAATTGCTTTGTTATCAATTGCTCACTAGATTATAACTGGTCACTATCACAATAAGGTCACCTTCAGCATCACTCCAAATCAAAGGCTTGGCAACCAAGCACACAGTCAAATATAAATGGCGCACTAAAATAAGGAAGGCCTCTCAAACCTGTCACCATTGCTGATCCATCAAGGCTCCATCTTCCAGACAGCACAGCACCCCTGTGAGCTTCAACGGATTTCTCAATACGACCATTCCGAGATATCAAGTGGAATTTACCTATAGGAAATGGCAAATAACAGGTTATACACCCAATAAATTTAACACAAAATATCCTTTATTTCCTTCTTAAACCCTTAAACTCCTGGGATCTGATTCTTAATTCTCCCATATTTCTTTGCATATGTAAATAAATTACAAGAATTTGATGTTGGATTAGAGTATTCTCATTACCTGTTTGCTGGATGATGAATGAACATTATAGGGAGAAGTTAAATATTAATCACTTTTGGGTGTTTAAGGGTTTAAAATGCAATTTAATGTTTGAACTTAGGAGTTAGGAGCATGTTCAGTGACTACTGATAAATTTGCAAGAAAAGTGACCTGCTGGATGACCTGTATGAGGCAGTCATGTAACCTCATCTTTACAAATGAACTTACCATCTGTTGAGGTGAGGACAAAAAGCTCTGACTGACTTTGTTTTTTTCCTCCAGCGCCACGTGGAAACCAGTGTATGTCAGTTGGAAAGATCTCTGCTGGCAATTTCATGACCTGTTTAAGAGACAACCACCAGAAAGGTTGACAGAGAAAAAAATCCACATTAAATTTAAGAACTCATCATTAATTACCAACAACATTGGAATGACAATAAACTTTCTAACACTGGGAATGAAACAAGCCTACCTGTGTGGTTTCATCTGATAACAGATTCCATTTCAATATGCTGTGATCATCTCTGTTAGAGATAAAAAAGGCAATTCAGGTATGAATTGGTTTAAATTATATCACCTGAAAGAATCATCAAATTGAATACGGTGAAGGTAAGGGTTAAGTCTGTACTCAAGCCAAGTAGCCCATCCTTTGGGAGCTTATTTCAGTTCCTGTTGCATGAAGTGACTAGAAGCATTGTTACTCCCCCCTGGATTGAATATTAATTAGTCCATTGTAGGTTATCCCTCAGCATTTCATCAGGCTTCCCTGACAGTTCACCTGAGTGCCCATTTGTTCTCCCAGGTGCAGAGAAGTACTCAAACTTAAACTTCTTGCCTCATAGTGGAGCGCAAGCAATTAGAGCACTGGGTGTCCCTGTGCATCACCATTGTTTTTCTTTTATCTTTTTTCCTGGTGGATTTCTTAACCAATCACATCTAATACATGTGAATTAACCTACCCACTAGAAAACAGCTCATCAGCTGATGTCCAACCGACACAACTTACAAGATCCTTATCTGTTGTCGTTGGTCAAGAAATTTATAATACAAATGCAGAGGAGACGTTTTGTAACCAATAGTAAACTTTTAGTTAATAAAAAGATTGAAACAAATTCAAGTAAAGGTTCTATTAATTCTAGTTCGTTTTAACGTAAGGTGTAGCACTTTAAAATCGATTTACGACTAAAGTTTTAAATTATTATAAATAATGGCTTTTGAACTGAGTGGAGCGCAATTTGGTTATGATTTCCGGTCAGTATAAGGAAAATGATACGACAAGGTACATCGGCTTATCCAGAGGTAGGGCTTGAGTCAAATCTGCCGGTGTTTACGGTACGTTTGCGCGTGATCTACGTCTCGTCTATCTTATATTTTACCTACTAGCATTTTGATTAAAAAGGATACGTTTTGATTCTTTTAATACGTGAGTCTTGAACCTCATATTCGATGTTTTCAGCCGCCTTTCGCCTCAAATGCAAATCTCTCTTATCCTTGACAACCAACAGCAACCAGTGACCAAGGTAAACAACTTTGATGAATGTGGTTCAAAATACGCACATTTTCCTCAAAAAAGCACCATAAAGAGGAGTATTAGCCACTCATAAAGGTATCGTATATATACAGTTACCTGAACCAGTAGATTAATAGAGAATTTTGAAGGTTTTTTTGCAGAAATAACTTGACCAATTTGGAGAGAAGGTTATTTTCAATCGCTCATGAATTTGCTTTGCAACCTGGCACTTTCAGCCGTAAGAAACTGGGTACAAGTAAACATTCCTTCTATTTTCCTTGAGATGTTGGAAACATTTACATCGCTGTAATGAATATTTGGACGTGAAGTTGAGTATCCCTATCAGAAAGCTATCCAATAAGCTCAAGCTGTGGCAGGCAGAGATTATTTCGAATAAAACTGAAGAATTCAGAGACTTTTTTAAGTTTTCGTGACCGGTGCGAAAAACCCTTTTTTTTTCTTTTTTTTTTTTTTCGCAAAATAGACCAGTCACGTTATTGGACCCAAACAATGATTCCAACTAGATTTAGTTGACTCAATAAGAACCTCGAACCGAAGCAAGCAGATATGATAGAAAATTCAGATGGAACCAGAACCGTGTTGCAATATTTGATGTCAATAAAAGCCTACAACAGCATGTTATCAAAACGGCACAGGCTCTGCACCGAAGTATTTCCCCTTATTGCATGAGCAATAAGGAGAAATATTTCAAACTGAATTTCTAACAGAAAGTTATTTAGGCACCAAGCCTTAAAAGGCTATTCCCTTTAAAAAGCTTTCATTGCGGGCATAGGCATTTACTGGAATCCGAGAAGATTTCTTCACCGAAATACCGAGCATAATTGGTTTGGGTGAGTGTATACAGCTGTTCACACCATTTTATCGTTGATGGGTTTATAACAATTTAACATCTGCAAGGCGAAATTGATATGGATTGATACGTCAGCTCGAACTCGTTTCAACGCTTGTGTCAAGAGGTTGGGCAGAGCAAAAAAAAAATATGAAGTATGACTCGACTGCTAACCCATCAGTTCAAATGAAAGGAAATAAGTTCAAATACTAAAATGATAACAGATAAAATGCAGTCAGCCATGAAGATTCCCGTAAGGGAGTAATTTTCAATGTCTAGACTCAAAACAATTAAGTTCGATTAAGTGGTAAGTTTACAACGTACTCCATAGCTTATAAAAGCACAAATTGTGTAAAACAAACATAGCTGTAGTATGCTAGCCGCTTCCCATTTAGCGAAAGTTTACACCATGTCGGCATAATTTGGATTTGTGGAGGAAAGCGATATTATAATGAACGGATTAAATTGCTGAATGGATCGAATCTTTGCCACATTTCTGCGGTTAGTGGTCGCTGGCTACCATTTTTATTCCTCAGGCAATTAATTCAAGTAGCGTCGCCTGGCTAAGGAAATACCTATTTTACTGAGGTGAAACTTCCTTCCGGAATTTTCTCACCCGCCGTCTAGCTTTGTTTGCAGTGGGAAGAAACACATGTACAAGAATTTACGTGTCGCCATGGCGCAGACGTTTGTGTTGTGTTTGGTCGTTGTTTTAGGAACTCTTGCATCCGTCGTTAGGACCCAAGGTGAGCTGGTTAGGCGATTTTTGTTTTTTTATGAATAATAAATGCACTATGCTGCGGTTTCTAGGTTTATACCGAGCTTTCCAATCCAATTTAATCAAAACCTTTTGCCTCTGGTATGCAAAGATCATTTAGAAAGACGTTCCGTACCTAATGAAAGTGTGACTAATTTGTTGAGGAATTCTCTTGCTTATTTGAGTCTCATATCGGCGGGAGAAAGTCTGATTTTGCGACTTAAAAACAAGTTTCAGGAAATAATGGGTGAATCCATTTAAAAGGCTAAAATGTTTTACTCTTTGTTCCTCTTCTTATTCGCTTTCATTTGAAGTTATATTTTCACGCATCGCTAACTGATTCTAACCGAGGGGATCATCTAATGTGTCTCAAAACGAAAAAGTGAAAATTTTCTAACGAGAACAACCTCTATCCTGCTTATCACTAAGTAATTTGTGAAGGCGTCGGGTAAATTTATCATTCCGAGCATCTCCGTCGAGTAGCCACTTAACAGATATCAGTAACACACGAATACTCACAGATATGACATGGAGATGCGTTGAATAACTGAGATGTGCATCTGTTTATTAAGAAAATGACCGATGCAGCTGAGGTTTAGCAACTTCATGTAAAAATTTTACGTCTAATTATAAATCAACTGCTAAACTAATTAGCGTGAAAAACAAAAAAAATAATACCTCCTTGAAGGAAAATTGAAATAATTGTCTCTCTCGTTAGCAATAAACTCATATCTATAATCTTCTTTAGATAATGTACTTATCTTTAAGCCGAAAGCTAACAATAACAGTACATTCCCAAATAGAGAAAACGCGTTGACTCTTAAATTGATGTATACACCACATCTGAAACGTTTTAAGAGAATGATACTCAATTTTTGAATGTTGAAAAGTCTAAGTTCTTTCTTTTACGAAGAGTTACGCTCACGGGAAAGGGTCACGTTCACTGCGAAAAAGGACGTCAGATATTCACAGAAAAACTTAAAAATTAAATATTTTTGAAGCAGAACAGCTTATAAAAACACAGCTTTGAAATGGTGACATAATTATACCCTACTGGCAATAAATTCCTGCGGTTTTTTTCGTAGGATGTTTTAAGCATTATTGGCATTACACAATACGACGGCAGAACAGCTGGGATTTTTCTTAGCACTGTAAAGTGAAAAAGCTCTCCCCTCCCGTAATGATCTCACGTAGTGTGGGTGGAACTTAGTCTGGTACCCAGACCTTTCACGAGTAGGGTGACAGTTACACGGTAGGATCTGGGTACAAATTAAGGTAGAGCTTGAACAAATGCAAAACAGGAGCAAATTGAAAAAAGCTGATAAAGAGAATTAATCGATGAAAATTTAAACCGGAAGGAGCTCATCCTGAGCTCCTTTTCAAAACGTTTCCATATGCCCTTTTTAACGCCCTACACCCAGACATCAATAGGGATTTTCTCCATTCAAATCTCTATACATTTTCAAGGGAGCGGATAAGGAGAATTTATTTAGCAGTTAAAAGCGTCTTCACCTCATGACCTTCATTTGTGATTTAAAAATGACATTGTAAAGAGAAATTAGATGCTGGTCACTCTAAGGAGTCTTAGGGTTATGAAAAAGTTCCTAAGTCAATTCTCTCAAGCCTATTTCGTGTCCAAACCTAACGAACCTGGGCGAATGAAGTTAAGAGCTTTTATTAATTAAGGTAAGGAAAAATTGTGAGCTTCACTGGACATTTCCATGAGTTGCAGGCACGGAATGGGAGGAATACACTCCATATTGGTGCACCCCAGTGGGGAGAGTTTTGATGAGCCGAGGAACGACTGTTAAGGAATGTAAAAGTTATTGCAATGAAGGCTGTGGAGCAATCGAGTGGTGGGAGGGCGGAGGCCAAGCGTGTTATCTGTGCACTGACTTGAGTCTTCTGATTGAGTTCCCATACACGCGGGATCTATCTTATCCTCCTCATGTGTTCATCAAGCAATCAGGTATGTCTGGATGCGTGTTATTTTTTTTGTCATTTGGCTTGTTGAGAACGTGGTTGCCGAGTGGGCGGCATGCTGGATCCTGAATCCAGAAGTCCAGGTTCAAGTCCACAACTGTTCTTACGTGGTCTCAAGTTTAATCTTTAGGTTTCGAGGTTAGGATTCATTATAGTATTATCAGGGTCAATTGCTATATTCTTGATGTGAATGTGCTAGTATCTCTTCTTCTTTCTTTTTCCGCATAGTGCTTGCCTAAGAGCTGGCCCCTTTTATAAGCGCTGCAGGATGCGCGTACCTTTGCCCGCGGGGAGATTTGAGACGAGTTGGGGGGAGATTCGCCGGGAGTCTGGCTCTGATATCAGTGCCAGACCCCTCGCCGACCTCTCGCTGGCTTACGTTGCTTCAAGCCTCATTCTTTTCCGTGAGCGAGGAAACCTAGTGCCGGAAGGCCCGTGACAAGGGCCCTCTCGCAGGTTAACATTGTGCCAGTATAGATGCCAACACGCTCCTCTTACTTAAAGTGTTATGCTTGTGATTCTTCATTAATACACAACACCATTTTATGTTGTTCATCCTTTTGTTTTCAACTAAACCAGATGTGCAAGCTACACCTACTACTATTGCGACCACAATTGCAACAACGTCTACAGCAGTAACGTCTGATGAAGGAATACCGACAACCACACCTGAAGAAACAAAGACAACTTCTTCGATGGAGGAAATATTCCCAACTATGTTTCCGATAGATGAAGATGACATATCATCTACGCCAGATGAGGAAGGTACAACATCTGCAGCAACAGATGGAGAGGATATTGCATCGACTCCTTTCCTAGTTTTAACACCTGCAACAGAGCAGGAAAAGACATCCGCCGTATATCAAGAAGGTACCACCGCTTCCCCAGAGATGACAACTTCAGCGCCAAGTGTAGAAGGAACAACGGCTACACCAGAAGGAACTACGACAAGGTCAGCTGTGGAAGGAGATGGAACGGTTTCTGAACCAGATCATCGGATAACAACCTCTGCTCTGAATCTACAACAAACAACAACTTCTACCACTAACGAAGAAAGTACCACCAAGGAGGCAGAACAGGAAATGACCGCCCTTTCACCAATCCAAGAAAGTACAGCATCTGCTTTGGACCTACAAACGACGACATCTGCACCTGAACACGAAAGGCCTACCTCTAAACCAGAGGTGGAAGGAACAAATACAGGTAAAGAGGAAGCAACACCTTCACCCGGCCAAGAGGCAAAGACCTCTGAACTGGACTCAGTAGCAAAAGACCCAGAAAAAGAAACTTCCCTTCCTAACAAAGAAGCAACAACCACTTTACCTGAAAAAGGAGCATCTACCTCAGTGCCTGAGCTGGAATGGACGACCTTGTCACCACAGCCAGGAAGAAAGACATATGCGCGGGATCATCAAGGAGCGACCCCCGAGTCACACGAAGACACGACATCATCTCCATCAAGTCAAGAAGCCCCAACCTCCGGACCAGAGCTCATAAAAACCACTTCAGCACCAAATAAAGAAGGATCGACATCTGCAACACGTCAAGAAGGGACAACATCTCTTCTACAGCAAGAAGGAACCACTTCTGCAACAGAAGCTGTGCCACCTGCCTCCGAGGAAAAACAAGAGGGAACAAGCTCTGAACCAAGTGAGCAGGTAACAACTATACCACAAGGGCAGGAATTTTCAACTTCTTCTTACAAAGGAATTACCCCCGAGCCAAAAGAAGAACGGACCACAGTAACACATCCTAAAAAGAAAATGACAATTTCTAATGAAGGGAAAACAAATTCAGCGAAAGAGGGAGGAACATCATCTACACCAACGGAGGTATACAGTCTTTGTCTTAAAGTACTAATCGTTCCTGAGATGTGACAAAATTATTTGCTCCATCGTTCATGATAAAAACACGGAACACTCAGGAAGAAACCCACTTTCATTTTAGAAGTATGTAATTCCATTCGACACCGTGATCATGATTATCAGTGTAATCGCATAAACGACCCTTTCTTGTCGGTAGTCATGACTAACGTCTCAAAACCCTTCGCGGTAGTCCTTGTCCGAATAAAATGACTTCTTTCATTGAAAACCTTCTCAATACGATTTTTTGTTTACTTGAATTTAATGATTGCTTCCTCTTGAGTTGCCAAATTGCATTTGTTCACTGCGAACGACTATTCATCTTTCGAGAGCAACCCTCATTACTATTTTTTTCTTCCCTCAATTCCATTTAGAGTCATTCCATAAGATCTCCCGTGACTCTTCCTGGTGTTCCAATCGAAGTATCGTCCAAAACCATCTCGGAAACGGAGCTAGAGGTGTCCTGGATGCCACCACATGAGGGACGCGCAAACATTTTGTTCTACAGAGTCAAAGTTATCGACGTCAGTGGGGGTAAGTACTGTCTGTGTAACTAAAGCAAGATTTCATGTAGTTGCATTTTTGATGGATAATCATTATTGTACTGTGATACACTTATGGTATAGGTATATTTACGCCAAATAACCTTGAAATTTGGATGATTGCTACTTTGGACGGTAGATAGGCGTCTTCTCTGTCTTGAAAATTTCAAATTTAGAAATGCTCAAAATCTTTATTGAAGTATTATCAGTAACGCGATATAGAGGGTTTCTCTGGTTCCCTCTGACTTGTAACTAATTGCAATGCATCCTGCAAGTCCTTAGTCCAAGTCCTGTCTGTGAGAGCATACCTTTACCACTTTTCACAGTTTCTGATACAAAAGGCCTGAAGAGGCGTCTGTATTTCCAGGCTAACGCTTCCTGGACAAATATGTTTGTTCATAACCCTGTATTGTCATTTAAGCAGTGTTCGAACACAGTGTCTACAAGATACCGATGGTGGCGAAGGCACTTCGCTTACATCGTGGTGATTTTTAGCTGTTGTAGCTCATTTCTGTTACTGATCTTCTTCTCTCTCTCAGGCGGGCTTACAAGAATAATCCAAGTGCCGCAGTACGTTCAGTCAGTCACGGTCGACTCCCTTAATCCGGACACGGAGTACTTGTTTGCAGTATCAGCTGGCAATCAACATGGAATTGGACCATTGTCGGAGGAAATGTCTGGGCGAACGAAGGCCATAATAGCAAGAATAGAACCCACAAAGGACACTGAAGTGCAAAGTACGAGTCAAGAGGGTAACAGCTTATACATTTCAACTTATATACGTTTTTTTCCTACCTATGGGCAATTTAAAATAGTTTTGAAAACCCATGTTCGTTATGTCGGGGCGAGTTAGGAAAACTGGGTCGAGTACACGAAATGAAGACTTCCTAGAGACTTCCCCGGAAAACTTCACCTCATGCAATCCTGAATTTCTGAAAACGAAACAAAGATAGGTTAAATGAATCACGTCAAAAGAAAAACCTTCCTTTTCTCTTATATCTTGTGCGGAAATTTTGATGATATAGCATAGCTTGACGTATTTGATGCAGTTCCTTTTCACTATTTCTATCGAGGACATCACAAAATGGAACAAATCAGGTGCCCAAGGTCTGTGTATTTTTTCGTATGTGGTTGGCCATGTTTACAACCCAGCTATTTCTATACACGATTCTCCAATGGATTATATTCCAAAACCAAGCGTAAAGCTCTCTTTTCGCATTGACAAATTTATATTATTGTCTCGCTTTGCAATACTCGTTGAAAAAGTTCTTCCAATTTTACCGAAAAACTTCAACGTTTTTCAGTTCCATTCACGACCATTTCTTCTTTCTTTCAACAGAGCCAGTCGTAAGACTCTCTCACCGCACAGACTTTGTCGTTGCCGGAATGGACAAGAGTACCAGAGCCATATGTTTTGTGAGTGGACAGGAATTTATTGGTTGGTTTAAATCAACTGGGGAACAAATCATTGGCACAAGTCCCAACCACAGAATGTACGTGGAGGACGAAGATGACAGCTATTCGCTTGTAATCCGCAGGCTTATGCAATCTGATGGCGGGGAATACGTTTGCCGTGGAACCAAAACGAGTGCAACTTATTCGCTCTACGTCGAATGTAAGTGCTGTATGGTCTAATGATAGAAAAACATTCAGGAGCCATTCTTCCATTGTAAAATGGCAAGGGTTTGAAACAGCATTGATCAAAACATAAGGGAAAGAACGGGCCAAGTTTCGTCAGAAAATTCTTGACAAGAGGATTATTGGCGAGCATATTGCAATTCTCTTCAAAAGAGTTCGGTAAACTTTTGATTTATGAAAAAATAAACCTTGATAGATATTTTAAATTCTTACCAAAAAAATGAGGAATGTGCATGTTGCTAGTGGAAAGACGCATTTGGAAAATGTTTTGCTTGAGTTTCTGCGGAAATTAGTCTGATTTGGACACGGTTTCCTAGCGGCTAATATGCTGGAAACAACTACAGATAGAGAAGTCTAGTTTTGAGTCCAAGCTGGTTCATTGTGCCATTTTATTGGGCCATTTTATTTTGTCATTTTATTGGGCCATTTTATTGGGCCATTTCATTGTGCCATTTTATTGGGCCATTTTATTGGGCCATTTTATCGGGCCATTTTATTGGGCCATTTTATTGGGCCATTTTATTGGGCCATTTTATTGGGCCATTTTATTGGGCCATTTTATTCTTAAAGTACCTCTCTTAACCCAGGATTATAAACGTGAATTGGCAAACTGTCAGGGGAAAAATGACGAATCACAGTGAGGTTATTTGTTTAGGATTGAAATCCCACTGCCGAGAGGATGAAGTGTTTGTCCATCCCTGAAATTTCGGCACAAATTTGAAAGCCGAACACTAAAAAAAATCAATATTCGTGAAAGCCTATCTGAGCATGCGTAGACTTCCGAAGCTGTCGCCTCTTGGCAATCTTTCCCATGGTGTTTTCTTTTCGTTTGACTTCTTTTTCAGGCGTACTAGGCCTATGAATATTACGGATGCCCTAAAAAATGTATTGTGTTAAACTGTTTTTAACACACTTTTATAGATAACAATTGTGCGATCGTATCGAGCCGCCATGTTTGTTTTGCATGTTTTAAAGCTTATGCTATGTTCGCACTCAGATCTTGTGCGGTCAAAAAAACCCTATGGAGCCTTCTTAAACCTAAAGGTCTCTCTAATTTTGCGTCGACAGTTTCTGTGGAGGATCCTCCAGACGTTCAAAACTTATGGTTAAACCAAGAAGGTGAGATATTTGTCGGTGTCAAGATTGGGTACCCGGCTCCGGAGTATCTCTGGCAGAAAAATGGAGTCAAACTTGACGCAAACTCAGGTCGATTTCGTCTCCTACCCGATGGAACCATCAAAATTAGTAAAGTGTCCGCCGAAGATGCTGGAGATTATAAAGTGAGAATATCTCAATTGAACAGACGACGGGAAACCACTGAAACAATTAAAGTTAGGATTTTTGGTAAGCGATATTCGTTACATTTAAAATTGAGATCATAAGCTCGAGATTTCGTTCACATGGGTTTGGGGTGAAGCCCGAAGGAAGTATCATGCACAAATATGGAGGCAAATGATCCTTATAGAGAAATCTGTTTTTTGTCTCGTCACGAGCATGGGACAAAGAAAAAATTCTGAGACAGCATGAGGAATCGAACCTCAAACCTCCGGATTCCGCGCTACGGTGCTCTACCACTGAGCCACAGAGACTCTGGAAAATCACACTCATGACAAGACGAAAACATCTCATGTTTCCAATAGTATTAGTAGTATATGACCTTCAGGCTCGTTAAAAGTGTTTCCGGTTTCTGCGCTTGGTTAGTCCATGTTGTCTCCTCGTCCGGTAGGCCTCCCACTCAAACCAGCTTTAAAGGCGAACTGGGCCAACCTGTCTAAATATCGCAAACAAAAAACTAAATGAAGTTAATTGAAATCCATAGACCCTCCGCAGATCGACACCACAAAGCCAGCGGAACGCAACCTCACCTTTGGCTATCCAACGACATTAGAATGTTTAGTTTCCGGTATTCCCAAACCGGAAGTCACATGGACCGGCCCAAATGGAGAGACGGTCATAGGGTCTGAGCAACGCATTTCATTTCAAAGCGACGGTAGTTTAAAGATATTTCAAGTAAACTTGATGGATATGGGCAGATGGACCTGTGAGGCGATAAATTCTGTGGGAAGTGCCAGCCGACAGATTGAGGTTCAGGCGATTTATAGTAAGTTTTTTAAAGATAAAATTGGAAGGTTTAAATATTCTTTTACAATATGCGATAGATAAATTGTTATAAACGAAAAAGAAAATGTATGTAATGCCCGATTATGATGGTTCATGGCAACCATCATTGTAACCAAAGCTGAGCACAAGAAACGTGGGAGAAACTTGGCTGAAACTGCAGGCATTCAGGCCCAAATCTCGTAGGAAAAGGGGGAGGAAGGAACTCACGTTTTGGTGCAGTAAATATTGAGAGTGCAGAATCAAATTGGCCTTTTATCAAGTCATTTCGTCGGGATGGCGTTTAACACTAAAATATTTTTAGGGACTTTTTCTAAATCAATAATTTTCATATCAAGGATGGACACTTTTAACACGCCAAAGAAGTTTGCTTGTGCTGTGAAATTTGAGTGAGGATTATGTGCTTGGCTTTTTTCTCAATGAGATACTGCTTCTCTCATAACAGTGCTTTCTCTGCTGGCTCGCGAATAAATTGTGAGATCTTTTAACTCTAATTTTATTCAGCTCATTCTCGCAACAACGGCCTATATTTCAGATACAATCAGCTGGTTCGCTAGAAAGTAAAAATTTTGGTAATTATGTATTGATTGAGAACTTTGCTTCCCCAGTGCCGCCGGAGATTCATCAGCTTTCAAACATCACCGCAAATGAAGGAGATTCTAAATCATTGAAATGCACCGCTACCGGTTTCCCTCTCCCGAAAGTGATTTGGCTTAGGGACAACAAAGAATATCCAGGACAGATGGTGGGTTCTGACATGGACACTTGTTTAAACCTCTATTTCATCGGTTTTCGATATAAGACTTTTTTTATTGAAACTAAACTTTGGGATTATCTGTTGCAATCAAATAGTCTAAAACTGAAAATTCGAAGTTACACAATAAATTATTCTTGAAGAGCGATACGTCATGTGGGTCCGATTTCTGGCGGTAATCTGCTCATATCAGCCAAAAATTGTTAGTACTCCTTGACGCATAGGCGGGATAAACGGAACAGGAAAGCGGGTTGTCGTGCATAGTTTATTTCCTATTACCTTTTAAACCACAGAAAAAACCTGGCGAGAGCGTGTTGAACCTGGATGATCTCGGCTTAGACGACATCTCGAAGTTTATTTGTGAAGCTTCTAATGCAGCAACGGACGAGGAAGGAGAAATTATTGTCAAGACAGTTGCTGTTGATCTCTTTGTTATGGGTAGGTATTTTACGTCAACTTTGCTAAGGTGACCATTTTAATTACAGTTCCCATGTCTGCCGTTGCTAAGAACAGTGAATCACGTCAAAAAAGGTAAAAAAGAAACTGGATGGGATCAATGTTTCTTGAGAGGCCATTGGGCACGAAGTCACGACAGCAGGGCCAAGGAAAACTAGGGTCGAAAAAAATTTACTGGTGTTTTTCTCAAAAACGTGAATTTAATGAAACATTTTAGTACATTGTTTAAATGCGATGTTGGAAAACTACATTCCAAATTTTGAGGGGTTCACCTTAAAAAGTGTCCATTCTATAAGAACTAGAGGTAGGGTAATTTTGCCACCGAAAATGATATTTGAATTACAAAGTCACGATGCCGCGTGACTTAAGGCTCTGACGTAGGTTTGTGTGTTCCACATCGGATCGAGGCAATATGGCTGAAAGTAAGTGAAGAGTAAGGGAGGCAGATCATGTGTCTCTGGTGAGCATGACAAGCAAAGCGGTTAGAAAAACCCTATATACCCCTTCAATAATGACTGAATTTGTTGTATTTTGTGCAATTTTAAATCATAACGCTTTCTTTCAGTTCAACCAAGGCCATACGATTCAAACCTGGTCAAAGAACCCGTATATAGTGAACTCGGGAGCCCAGTCCCCGTCCGATTGGCCTGTGCATTTACCGGTTACCCTCCCCCTGAGGTGCGGATCACAAAGAATGATGATAGTGTGGTGAATGGCATAGAATCAGTTTGGATTGACATCGTAACAGATAGCCTCGATGATTACGGAGTGTACCACTGTGTCGCCGAGAATGTGGTCAGTCTTTCCAAGTTAAATTATACCTTCGAAGTCAAGAGATCAGGTTGGTATTGACTCCATAAAATTAATATGATAGTTGTGCTACACCGGTGAGCGATTCTTGTCAATGATCTTCAGGGCACATTTCAATTGGGTGTTGTCGCCTATGGCCAAGGTTAAATACCCTCTACAGCCATTCAAGGAGCCAATGAGCTTAAAGCGCGGGAAAACACAAGTTGACGGGTTTCGATTAGCTTCAGCTAAATATCTGATTGGTTGAGGGGGGCAGGGGGGTAGGCAAGTTTTCTAGACCAATCAAGAAGCGAACCGAATCAAAAGCATTGCAATCCCACACTGCATTTAACACTCAATTGAAAATAGTTAGATAAACTAGCCGTGAGATACAAAACGTCATTATCTAGTGGAGTCAGCAAAATCTAAGTTTACGTTCATTTCATTCATTCTGTCAGAGGCTCCGAAGTTTACGTTAGAGCCCAAGGTCCCCTCTGGAAATCTAACCGCAGGCTTTCCAGTGACCATGACATGGAACGTTTCCGGTATTCCAAAACCGGAAATGAGATGGAAGAGCCCTTCGGAAGGATATGTAACTTTGGTCAATCCTCGCTTTTTGTTGAGTCAAAGAAATCTTACCATTAAAACATTGGAGGAAAAAGACGCTGGAATTTGGACGATAGAGGCGACAAATAGCTTGAAAACCACGAAAGTTCAGGTGGAATTCGGCACAATATTTGGTAAGAGGCCAGCAACGATTTCCATTAAATGCTAGGATTCCTTTCGATCAAAGGATCCTTTGATACATTCTTTCAACAGAGATTATTTCGCTCTCCTTTTTTCATTGATCACATCGTTGAAAATCTGTATTGAGTGATCGGCGGGAGGTTTGGTCCGCCTGAAACTTCTAAAAGAAATAACTATTACTTATACACTTGTGCTTATATGTCACGAAGTGTTCTGTTGAGGGTAACGTAAAATGACTTCTTCCGAATAATCTTAATATTCCTTTCAATTGAATTCATCACAGTGTCGCCCCAGATCAAGCCGATACCTGATGTGGTGGCATATGAAGGGGAAAATACTACGCTGACCTGCACTGCTTCTGGAGTCCCGACCCCGGATGTAAAATGGATATCAGAGGGAAAGGAGTTTTTTGATGAGCAGGTATTTATATACAATAGTCTCGTAATGCGTGCATAGTTTGTTCTCGACACAAAGACCCACTGTCAAACTTCATGAGACAGGTGGATTTTTACGTGTTAAATTTACACATTACTCAAGACCATGCAGTTCAAAGCACGGCTGCTTTGTACTAATCAAGGTTTGATCATCATGTCTCCCGAATAGCTTTGTCGACAGTTTATTCTAAAACATGAAAATAGTGGGCTTAGTATTTTAAGAATTGGCACCGTTTTGACACCATATTCGATTTTTAATTTATGTGATTTTGAGCTGAAAGATGTTAGACTTGCTCATTCCACTATACAGTTTCTGTCAATTTGTAACCTTGCAAAACGTAACCGGCGGCAAGCAGGCTACAACTTGCAATTGTAATCAGTAACCTGTGCCTGCAGCCTGCAACCGGTAACATGCAACTTGCAACATGCATCTTGCAACATGCAACGTGCACTTCATATCCTTCAATTTCAAATTACACTCATTTCTGGTGTATGATTTCTCATCATCATCATCATCATCATCAGGTCGAGCATGCTCCGTATTCCATGACATGCTCCATATTTCTCTGTCTTCCATTGCAGTTGATAGTTATTCACGTCTGCATCCTGTGTCATCCATCATTTGGTCAATGTGGGTCTTTTTTGGGCGTCCTCTCGGCTGATTTCCATGTGTTGGCTTTCAGAGTAATACATCCCTTGCAAGTTCGTCTTTACTGCGCCAACAATGTCCTACGAATCTCATCCTGTGTTGCTGTAGCGATTTACTGATTTTCGGGATGTGGCCGTAGAGCTAGAGGCCTTTTTTACAAACTATTGTTTCATAAACTGAATTAGTCATGTAAATTGGCCACGGTAAAGAATTTCGAAGCTGACGTTTTGAGCCGAAGGGCTAACACTCAAAACGTCCGCTTTGAAACTCTGTACGGTGGCCAATTGACATTATCATCTCAGTTGATCAAACCAAATTATCCTGTAGTACTCCCCACTGACACAGTTCCGCGGTTTCTTTAGAAACGTACCTCCTTTATTCATATTGTTTCTGTACTTTATGTTTTTTTCTCGCCAGAAATCACCTGGTAAGAGTGAGATAACTCTGCTGAACCTGGGATTGGAAGACAACTCGCAATTTATTTGTGAAGCGAAAAATGGAGCACAAGACGACAAAGGGAAGGAGCTGGTTGATGTGCAAAGCATGAAACTTATCGTCAAAGGTGAATTGGATTATTTGTAATAATGATATTTGGTTGTACCCAAAACGACTTATTTATGACATTGATGTAACGAATGGATCGAGCCGGGCGATGCATCCAAGCAGTTTGACTGACGTATTTGAATTGACCAATCACAACTGACACTGTTTGAGTCTCACAGCCAATGGTATCACTGGAAAACTAGCCAATCAGTTTCGATGAAGCTTAAAACACCTCCCCTGACAAACAGCTCTTCACTTGACAATGACTTCCGCTCAAGTTTTCGTAACGTCATACAATATTAACAATAGCAGTCTTTTTTAAAACTACTTTTATCTTTTCTTAATTGGTCGATCACACCACACAGTCGATTTTTATTTCAGAGTGAAAGTACTCACTGCATTACTCATTCATTCATTTATTTTGCCAGTTGAACCTAAACCAGCGGATAGTACCCATCGCGCCAAGCCTGTTCTTTCCTACATTGGAAACCCTGAACCTTCAGTCTTCAACTGCGAGTTCAGCGGTTATCCGCCTCCTGATGTAAGAATCTTGAAGGATGGTCAAGTTTTGGCTTATGGCGAGGATTCACTTTCGTACAGCGTTAGCGTTGATAGCGTAGATGACTTCGGTGAATATGTCTGCATGGCCGAAAACGAAGTAGGGAAATCCAAGAAGAACTACACCTTTGAGATACGATCTTCAGGTAACGAGTATGGAAATACTATAAGGCCATTTAAGAGTTCTTAACACTTCATTTTGAAAATGAAGAGGAACAAGGCTCTTGGCCTCTCAGGAGACGGCCTCTTCATTGCCGGAGCTGACTTCTTGAATGAATGCTTTAATGGATGAAAATTAAGTCACTAAAGAAAGACCGTTTTGAAAACTCGAACAAACCTTCAAACCACATGGCAACGTCTGAAGAGAGCAATTTTACAATTGAGTGTTCAAAACGGATATGATGAAAATGTAATGGATTGTTTTGGTTTCTCTTTCTTCCGCTCTGTGATTGGTCTAGCGGAGAACTCGTGCCAAAATCTCAGCCAATCAAATAAAAACCTGAAACAAATCCCAACTTGGTTACTCGCGTTTTCCCGTGCTTCAAGTAGAATGCCTGGTTTTGCTTTGAATTCTCATTGGTTAATGATGATGCTCGCTTTTCTTCTGATTGGCTGTTTTAATTATTTTGATTTTGGTTTTGCATTGCTCAGTCGGAATATGCTCAAGTCAATCAACTAACCAAACAGTCAAACGAACAAGCAAACCGTCTCTCAATCACTAAATGAGCTAAATAAACCTCAGATACACTTCTTAACAAGCTTCGTGCCTCCGTAACCTAATTTCCAAAGCGCCGATTTGGTAAGATCCAAAATGGTATCTTGTCTAAAAAAAAAGATACACGTTTTGAATCTTTTACTCTGCTCGTATTCCACAGCCGCACCAAGCAGCCCAAGAGACTTCACCGGGGAACCAACATGCGACAGCGTGGTCTTAAGCTGGAGCCACCCAGACGACAGTGGGGGATTTCCTGTCATAAGCTACGTTATCACTTACAGCAATAACACAGTGGTCATCTCCTCTGACCTAACTGACTTCATCATTGACAACTTAAAACACGGCACAACATACAAAATCGGTATACAAGCTAGAACAGAAGCCGGCATCGGGAAAGAAGCAAATGTTGAAGTGAAGACGACACAGTTTTGTGAGCAATATGCTGTTTGTATTAATAAATTGTAAAAATCATTTAATGAATTCAAAATAAGGGAGAAAACAAAGACGACTATTTAAATCGCAGTCGAAAGTTTTCTTGTAAGATAGAAAGAAATTGAAGAAGAGCACGAAATTATTAGATAAGATTGTTTCATGAAAATCAACTACATAATTTTCGTCCGTTTGCTACGAGGTTAGTTCGTATTACGTTTCTTTTACGGAAGGCTTGTGTCCAGCTCCTTTCGCCTTTAGAGCTGTTTCAACTTGGTGGAAAGTTACCCTATGGCCGAGATGGTGATGAAAGGAGTTATCGGAATACAGGATATTTGGGGTAAAAATTATAGGAATAAGGGATACTCGAGGAAAAAATAAATGGGACAGGGGATATTTGAAATAGAGATTCCGGGATATCGAGCTTTAGAATTATAGGGATATAAACAACAAGATATTTAAGCCAAAAATTTATAGGATACGGGATACTCAGACCCCTCCCCTCCCCCTCCTTCTCCATCTGCTAATGGAGCCTTGAAATGGGATCGCACAATCTCATAATTAGGCTCAGAAGGCGTACAAACTAATCCTGGAATTCTTTGTAAAACACATTTTCAGGCCAAGTGTCATCTTGCGTAAACGTACTTGAAGATGGAGATCTATACACTTTAAATGCCAGTCAGGGTCTCTGGCCCAGAGATGGATTTTGCCGAGCACTGAGTGCGCACAGAGCATCGGAGCCTGACATGTATAGGCTGTCCGCTGACTATTATATCCCTGGCACTAAAGGCTCAATGGTGGTTACCTACGTGGGTGTGTTCTTTAACGCTCAGAATGAGGACAACTTTGATTTTATATTCTTCAGGTAAAAATGTTGAAGATGATATATTGTTTTATAAAGAAAACTTCATGAATGAAAGTGATCCTCGCAGTGATGTGCACTACTTAGGCAGTAGTGAAAATAAGGCCTGTACAGGATTTGAACCCATGACCTCTGCGATACCGGTGCAGCGGGAGCTGGTCATGATGGTGGTTCTAAATAAACCCGTGAAGTGATGAATAGACGGTTAAGAATATACGAAAGACTGCGGATAAAGACGTGAATGAAAGTGATCCTCGTAGTGATGTGCAAAATTCAGGCCTGTACGGGATTTGAACCCATGATTTGAACTCATTCACGTCTTTATCCGCAGTTCAAATATATGACTTTCATATATTCTTAACCGTCTATTCATCACTTCACGGGTTTATTTAGAACCACCATCATGACCAGCTCCCAGTTGGCTTGTTGGCTCAGTTGGTAGAGCGCTGCACCGGTATCGCAGAGGTCATGGGTTGAAATCCCGTTCGGGCCTGAATTTTTTCAGGCCTTATTTTCACTACTGCCTAAGTAATGCACATCACTGCGAGGATCGCTTTCATTCACGGGTTTGCTTAACTTCGCTCTATAATTTGTTCAGAACACTCGAGCCGTCCTCTACACCAATCATATGCAAGACAGAAGCCATAGGCGTTTTTGTTTTTTCATTGAGCTCTGAGTGGCTCCCCGTAGTATTTTTACCTTTACTGTGATTGCCTGTTGTGTTTACTTTGATCCTGGTCTTACGACACTGAAACAAAAACTACTCTATCTAAACGAATTAAATTTGAATTTCCCTGGTCAGTGATTGAAGAAAAGTAAAATGGTTTCCGTGTCTACATAGCTTGATGTAAACACGCGGGAGGTTGGGAGAACACGAGATAAGCAGCTTATCGAGTTATCTCCCAACCTCCCAAGTGTTTACATCAGGCTATGTAAACACGGAAACCATTTTACATTTCTTTTATAAAATAACTAATGAAAGAGGAACGAAAACCGCGTTTACAGACGCTTATGTAAAATGGTTTTATGGCCAATCAGAGCGCGCGTACTATTTGAATTATTTTATAAAATAATATCCTCTTCCGTGTAAATTTATGGCATGGTTTCTCTCCATTGAGGGAGTTTCAAAAGAATTTTAGGAAAAGTCATTTAATCAAGTTGGAACAGTCCAAGTACAGAAACATGTACCTTATTGCTGGGCCTAAGTCTGTTGATAAGAAAGATTGCATACTTTTTGAGAGCCCTGAAAACATGTCTATTTTACAACACCTTCCCATATATTCCAGATAAAAAAACTTAAAAACACAAGTCGAGCCGGAGTTTGAATTTGACGAAGGCAAAGTAAATTTTTGAAGAGGAGGTATTTTCTGTAATTCTTCAAGTTTCTTCAAGGTTAATATAGACGACTATTAATATAGATAACTATTTTTCTATGGGGATATCAACTTATAATGCTTAACTATTTTTTGGAATTTTACTCACTCAGGGTTGGAGCAAGTGACAACCCGTGCTTCCAAACTGGTGAGATCCAGCGAGGCCGGCTGAACTGGTATGGTTCCCAGGTCGGCTCCTGTCCGCACGGCCCACCTCGCAATGCACGATGGATACACATTACACTCGAGGTCCGAAAGTCTGAAGTTTCAGTTTTCCTAGAAGGAGTTCACGTGACTTCTTTTCGAGGCCACTTCCCTCCTAAAGGTGCTGGGGGTGTGTTATTGGCTAATCGCCATGGAAGTGTTGTAAGGTTCAAGAACTTTATCATCAACGATATACCTTCTTTGCCGTTTGAAACAAAGAGTTGTGCTACAATGCAGGATAACACAAAGTACTACTCCATGATAAGTCAAGGCGACTTCTGGTCGCAAGGATTCTGCCGCGCTCTTCTGAAAAATGTCAACTTGGAGGAGACATCTACTTATCAAGTGTCCGTGGACTTGTTCAGTGATCTGGGTTGGAGTGGCGACAGGATTGCATATCTTGGAATTATTTTCAATGCCCGTGATATCAATAATGCTGACTTCATTTACTTCAGGTAAACGCCTAAAGCGTAACCCTAAACATCGTATCGTAAAGGCTCATATTAGCACCCCCTTCGAATAAACGCCGATCCTATCGACCAAACCTTTTACCAAAAGGCCTTCCTCTGAAAAATTGCCCTTCCTTCTCCTCTTTTTAAAATAAACGAAAGATCAAGTTGGCCGAAATAGTTATGTGCGTTGCTTGGTGATAAAGCAACTTGTGTTTGTGAACACTTAAGGTTTGAAAAAGTAACGAGTGTCCACTCTGCCACCATTACGACTTAAGGTTGAACTTCAGATATTGTTACAAGGTTTATGCTAACATTTTATAATAAAAAATGATTATAACTAATTGTCTTGCGCAACTAGTACGCCTTTTTTCGTGCCAATTAAACTAACTCATGAACCAATTGTTAATTTGTTCTAGACCTTACTGGAAGGATCACTGTTACCAAACAGGATACATGATGGGCGGACGGCAGAGGAGAGAAGGAGCCAAAACCGGGCCCTGTTCCTGCACCGTAGCAGGCGGGAAATGGTTTAATGTCCGCCTGGAAATCCGCAGTAACATCGTAAGCGTTTTCATGAACGGCCTAGCTGCTGCAACTTTTAAATCGCATTTTCCTTCCACCAACAAAGGTACTGGTGTTCTTGTAACGGGCGGTTGCCGGAAGTCCATTCGTTTCAGGAACTTTACCGTGAAATCGCTTCCGTTACTGCCTTTTACTTCCAAGAATTGTCAGGGCGCAAGGGATTCTGGGAGCTATTTCACCTTAATGGCTTATCCCGGAATTGAAGACACTACTCAACCCGGTGTGTGCCGCGCAGTGTACCCGAAAAATGTCCTGGGCACTAGTTACGTCATCAGCGTCAGTTTTTATGTTCAGGGGAGTCTGCTGGGTGGAAAGTATGGCGTCATGTTTAATGTGAAGAACGCTGACAGCTTCGAGTTTGTTTACTTCCGGTAAGAATAAATTTATGAAAAAACGATTTAGCTATTTTTATTCGATGGGGCGTATTTTCATCGATACTCTCTATTTCTAAATCAAATTTACTAAGACGGCCTGTCAAACGAAAGAAAATATTAAGAGCCCATGAGAACTCAGAGTGAGTCTATGTGCCCACCTCAAGCGCGAAAAAAACGCAAAGTATGAAGTCATGATTGGTTCTGGCGCTGCACCTGATTGGTTGACTATGTGGTGCGAGTTTCTTGACCAATCTTGGTGCTAAACAAAACAAAGAACTGCTCTATGAGTCACTTAGTAAGTTTTTCTCAAACGCACGAGTTTCTATCGCAGCTGATTTTTAAAATAATGCTGAATAACATTTACCGGTACTTCTGGCGGCCACGTCTTTGTTTTTTGAAGCCTTGTAAGGCTTAAAAAATAAGGGAATTGACCTTTATGAAACCCAACAGGCCATCTCAATACTACTCAGGTTTATGAGACTGTTTTATCTTTAAATATTTATGAAATTCTTTCAACTATTTTACGATAATTTTTTCATTCTAAATCACCTGATAGACGGTGTAATTTAGTAATATCAACTGCGTTGATAACGTAAATTGGTCACCGTAAAGAGTTTAAAAGCTGACGTTTCGAGCTGTAGCCCTTCGGGCTTATGCTGAAAACGTCGGATTTGGAATCTCTTGTTAACGGTGGTTAGTTTACATTACCAACTCAGTTGATAGCACCAAAGTATCTCGTTATACCTCCCACCGACTCAGCAGCACAGTTGCTATAGAAACTTACCCCTTTTATTACTCTTACTCTCTCTCAGACGGGGGGTTCCAAGAAGTAATGCTTTCATAACATATTTCCACGCTCATTTCCAGACCCTACAACCGCGATGACTGCGTTCAAATAGGGTACCTTCAAGGCACCAAAATCAACGAAGGGGAACGAAGAAAACCGAAATCCCTGACATGCTCATACGGATTCATGCGGGGTGGAAGTTGGTATGATGTGCGCCTCAAGGTCAACGGAAGCGAAGTAAAGGTTCTCATAGATGATGTAGTGGTCGCCGTTTTCAAGAGTCGATTCCCGACTATTGGGCGCGGAGGAGTCATGGTGGCCAGCGGTTACAAGCGAAGAATAAACTTCAAAGACTTTCGCATATTGTAATTATATCAGTGAAGAGCTGTGAATATTTACCCAATCCTTGGCTATAATGTGGCTTTGAGAAAATCTCACGTCCCTTTTCTAAGGGAAACGGGTCGCGATTGGAAGTTGAGTGCGACATGTACCTCGCAAACGGCAGTTTCAATTTATCTGAAAGGCATTTGAATTTTCTTTATTCGGGAATATTAAACCGATACAAATAGTGAACCTCTTAATTTTCCTTGAATAGAGTTTCTTGCCCTTTAGAAAAATATGCAATTAGAATTTCAGGTTAAAAAAAGTTAAAGGAGTTTTATTATGTGATGAAGACTTCAAGTTTTTGTTGCTTGTAATAGTTATGAAATACTTACGTTACTGATCATTTTTATCGACTATGTTAAGGTTTATGTTTGGTTCATGATATTATATTTCAAAGTTGTTTTACCTGTTAGTGTCAGATAATGAAGATACGATCATTCTTCATATATGAATGATCGAGCTATCCACAAAATTTCACGGTGGTATGCCATGTGCCAAATAGATTATAATCTCTTGGTGAACCATATAACACGTAAAATTAATATCTATTAATCTATAGAATAACACTATTGTACCCATGCCTCATACGTTATTCAGGGCAAATTTTGTGCTTTTTAAGCCTTTATGATGTAATTCGTGACTAAGTAAATGATGACACAGCCTGCAATTAAAAAAAATTATCTTTTTACGGACTATTAAACACTTTTGTAAGAAAAAGGGGAAAAAGTTTTATATACTCACATTATGTAGTTTAACGAAATGGGTTAAAAAGAACACAAAGAGAGGACTTGAGTGATCATTTCACAGTTGAACTAGCAAAAAACAAATATGTTAAATCGAGGCCAGTGTAACAACAATTCCTTTCCTGAGCTGATGTAGTACTCAGTTTGAAACAGTGAGTTCCTAGTTCTTGAAAACAAAATAGCTCCCGAACGTCGACAAGCTTTAATTTTTGTATTTTTATTTCTGCTCTCTCCCGATGATTTCACAGCATTTCCACAAGAAACAGCTATTTTCCATGGAAACCGAGTCCTTCTCGTGAAAATGTCAATATAGATCGTTTGACTTAATGAAAGCCTGAAAGTGGTGGAAGTGGTTTTCTGAAGATTGTATTTTGAAGGAAAATAAAAAAAATATCATCACAGGCAGTGTTACGGTGTTACGATATATAATATCAGTTTGTAATATGTTCACAATTTTGAATAGTTTTTATATTGCTTTGCTGGTATGAATGTAAGATTATAAAAATAAAACCTTTTTTAAAGACCTTTTGTTTATCTATCCGAGTTAAATATTGATAATCACCAATTTCGGATGCATTTTACACCTTCTAGAAGAAAATTTGAATTAACTAACCAATCGGTTATTTGTTTTGATTTTACTAGGCAGCTATTTCCTTCTACATGTTGACACAAAACTTGCTACTTTTTCAACCAATCAGATTCAAAACTAAGACCACGTTTTCCGCGCTTCAGAGTTTTTCTTGTTTTTATTTCAAGATTTTATTGGCTCTTGCTGATATTTTCTTTGCTATGACTGGCTGTTACGATTGCTTTAGTTTTGGTTTAATCGAAAAACGCTCTATTGTTTTGTCATGTTATTGTACTTAGCCTTTTCTTCCAGGTGAGATTAGTCCTGAAAAAAGAAACGCTTTCTTAGGCAAATGAGTTTGCGAAGAAGGTTGAAATAAATATTTTGGTGGCACGAGACACTACGCAACCTGGATCCCAGACCGTTGCATCATGGGCAAAAAAATAGAGGTAAATAAGAGGAATTTTAGCGCGTAGTAGTCATTTAGGCCTCTGAAACAGCCCAGCACAAGGCTTCGTTTAATTTTTATATTAATTTTTCAGACTTAACTATCGCCTAGTTTTGTCTTTGTAAAACCTCCGTAGGTCAGGCCCACTATCTCTGGAGCAAGAGACATGGTCTCTAGTCTACTAACGGTCACTTAAATGATTACTTACGCTGTTGTCTTTGAGAATGACTGACTTCTCGACAATCTTAGCGGAAGTAATCTTGACAGTTACTTAGATGAGTTTTTAGATTAGTTTTTCGAAGCTTTTCACTCTTTTAGACAACAAGTCTTTTTGAAAACGCACTTTTAATTCTCTTTGGTCTTATCAAGGCCGTTTTAGCTCCTGAAATGAAATTGATGATTCACTCACTGTGGTTGAAATTTCTAATGACAACCGAACCTCTTCAACAAAAACGCCAGTGTAGATTATTTGAATAAATCAAAGCAAGAACATGAACTGGAAGAGAAAGAAAACCATTTGAAGACTTGTTGTGTATGTCGCTTTTGTGTCTAACGGAATTAATGTCTTTTAATTTCAAGATTCGAATTTGTTGGACAATTCTGATACTTTTCTGCATTGGAAGCATTTGGTGGTCAGATATCTATAAAGGTTTGTAGAGATTAGAATCTAGAATGCTGCATATCTTGCTTTGAAAATGGCTTCTGACCGGCTTAAAAATAAAAATTAATTCTCACGAGATCTGTTTTTAATTATGTAGAATTTACTTCAAAGTTTACGCTGACAACGATTAGGGAAGAATCCAAAACATCACTTCGAAAGGAATATTCCGTGGTAAGTAAAGAAAGGTTTTCTTTTATAAAATATCTGATATACTACGAGGGTCTGGTTTGTCTAAAAACTTGTCGTTTACTGCACCGGTAACCCTTAAGAAAATTAAAGTCAATTTATTTCATTGAACTGTTTTCGTGTGCTCTCAACATTGCGCTAAACTGATAGAAATTACGCTCTATTGCTTAAAGAATCCTATAATTAGGAGGTTGATTCGGACCAGACGAGACAATTTCTTGGAAAACAAAAATTTATTTCAGTACGACACACCTCGGCAACATTTTTTCGTCACTTTCCTCTTTTCCTTTCGCAATATCCGCGCGGAGAACAAAATTTTGCAAATCTATCTCGCTTGAGTCTGATCACATGCTTTACGCCGGTTTCGCTACTCGTCAAGTTCGCTACGTTCGACTTTGCTACATGTTCGCTACTAACGTGCAGAATTTGCTGCCTCTGTTAGTTCACAAGCAATATCTGTAACTTATACTCCCAACTGCGTGATTGCCATTTTGAGTCAGTTAAACTGATTATATGCAAATTGCCTTAAGGTTTGCTGTCAACCGGCTCGTTGGTTTTCGTGATTGTTGCGAGGTTGCGTCTCAGAAGTAAACCTGATTGTAGGGTGGAACGTATTGGCGAAGTCTAAAAAATTGTAAGCTTCTTTCATAGAAATGTCCCACAGTGAAAAGGTGTCATCAAGAAATCTCTTCCAGACCAAAGGTTAGAGGAGCGAACCATTAACAGTCGTTTTTCTAGGTCTGCCATTTCTCTCTCTTGTCGATGATAACCACCACGTTGGTTCGAAGTGATCGTGGAAGTAGAATGATAGAATGGTAATATGAAGTAAGTAGCGAATTCGGCATGTAAGTAGCGAACATGTAGCGTAATCGATAAGTAGCGAAACCGACTGTTAAGGATCACATCATGATACAAATTAAATTTATTTGACGGTTATTATTTGAATTGCCCTCTAAATTATAGGAATTGTTAAAAAGCAAATGATTGGACTAAAGTCTTTTTCTTTTGATATTCAAACAATTGTTTTTCACTCAAATTTACATGTTAGTTTGATATATTATTCTGTGTGTGTTTTTGAGTTGTACAACGTCGTAAAAATCAATGCAAATACCCATTCCTCGTTTAAACAATCCTCTACAAGATATTACCTTCCAATCGAGTTGTATCGATTATGGATCGAGAGAGAGAGAACGACCTCATTTACGTATTTGCTTTTAGTAATGTAATAATGAGTGAGCCTTACTAATTGCGAATGTATGAAACAGTAGCTAAATATAACTCCCAAGGGACCGATCATTATTCATCGACTGCAAGGGGAAGTTGGAGAATTTTGATTGTGTCGCAAAAAAATTTACCTGCTCCTACGGGAACAGGTAAATTTACCTTTTTTAAGGGATATGAAGTATTCTCCTCATCGGAAGTCAATTTGCCATATTGCCCACTTAATGTTAGAGATGAGACGACCGACTCCTCTCCCAACCTCTTCCGTTTCCGGTCCTTTCCGTAAAAATCATGGGATCCCCACAAATACTCCGACTCCCCCACTGGTACCTTAGAATATAAGATTTCTTGCCGCTCATTAGATTGGCAAACTTTAAAATACAAGCTATAAAGTTTTAATCTGTTGCTTTCAGGACTTTACAAACGCTCGACAACTTGAAGATCGAATACAGGCCCGAAGAAAGATGGTTGCGGATTACTGCAAGAGGCACAAAGCCAGTGACTCTCTATTTGGAACTAATCTCCGCTATTTTCTGGTCTTTCGGAAGAGAAAAGTTATCTATTGTTTTGTCCCGAAAGTTGCAAGTACGCAATGGCAGAAAGAACTCTTCGTTTTGAAAGAGGAAGATGAGGAAATGTCTCGTGATGCAAACGTTACCGTAGCTAAGAACAACTTGAATTACTTTTCTGAGCAAGAAGCACGGCAAATGCTGAAGAGTTATTTCACGTTCCTGTTTGTTCGCGACCCGATGGAACGCATACTTTCAGCTTACAAAGACAAGTTACTAGAAGACAACAAAATTTTCCGACGCGCAATTGGCAGAAAAATCATTGCACGATTTCGGCCAAATGCTACTCAACATGCCCTCGAAACAGGGAGTGTTGTTACGTTTCCAGAATTCACGAATTTTTTGCTGCAAACAAAAGAGTACGATGAACACTGGAGACCATTTGACAACCTTTGCCATCCTTGTGCAATTAACTTTGATTTTATTGGACATTACGAAGATCTCGCTGAGGAAGCTCCTTATTTGGTAAAAAAGGCGGGAATTGACGACCGCGTTTCGTTCCCTCCTGTTCGCGCGTCGAACACCACCGCTGACCTGTTACAATATTATTCACAAATTCCTAATACGAAAATCTTGCAGTTAGCAAAGATATACGAAAACGACTATAAAATGTTTAACTTTCCATTCCCAGGTAAACTGGCAAAGCTCTTTGATTCTGAGGAAAGCTGAGAACATAGATTTGGAAATCTTATGGGAAATCATTTGAATTTCATTTCTGAAATTCATTTTGAATGAATTTAACTGATTTTCATCAGAAGCTAAAACTGGATATGAAAGTAAAGTATTTTATTCTGGTAACAGTTTTTAACTCGTGGATACGCGATAGTTTAGAGACGAGTTGTTGTGGGCACTTTGGGATATGCAAATTGGCGTGGAATCTTCGTTATTGGTCGGCTCCGAACTCGAGATCTATCCTTCCGAAGAAGTCCGAAGTCCTGGCGCCATTGTGATTGCATCGATCGTTGCAATGTTTATTGCCTTTACACGGCTGTTTCGACATTTACTAAATTGAAATGGACTTCGAATGTTTCAGATTAGTGCTATGATCAACGTAAACACCAAATTTGAAGGGTCTTCGAATCGTCCATGCACTAATCATATCGAGGAGCAGCGAGAATCACGAAGAGTTGGGGAGTGACAGAACAAGCTGTTGACATGGAAATTCCCACGGAAACATGAACCCACGACTTAAAAAAAAATGTTAATTTACAGCATTATTTCTTTCGTTTCAGGGTTTTTTCGGACGTTTCGGCAGCGACGTTAATTTCGGTTTTATCATTATGGTCGTTTCGTTTCGTTGTTTTTCTATGCAAACGTGACTGTTTTGATGGTAAAAATGAAACATGATCGGTTTCTATTAGTCGTTGCCGAGCGCGTGACCATAATCTTGCCGGTGTCATTTAGCATTTTCAGCAATTTTAGATAGAGTCAGTAGAATGAGGTTACACATTTTTGAGATTTTAGGCGCAAGGATTCATAAACAGGAAGATTCATGGTAAAAAACTAGTGTTACCGAATTTAATATTTAATAAACGGTTGTCATTCCATTCCGGTCTTGCCCAAAAGCGGACAAAGATGGGGTCTTTAATTGGCCACGAAATAGGCTAAAATACGTCAGAGGTTCTGAGAGGCCAGCTGCACATACCCAGCAAAAAATGACCCATGTACCCCCCCTGGGGCTTCCATCACATACTCAAGTACTATAATTTCTTTTCTTGCAAATGGTTCTACTTTCTATCTTTTTTTTTAACACCTTAGTTTACTGATAGCAACTTTACAAGTATCTCTCTCTTTAATACTTTATGCACGAGTTGGCCACAGACGCCCTTTGATTACTTAGTTCATCGCTAACATGCACGTAGGCCATTATGTTAAACCTGCGTAAACTAATATCAGTTCATTAACGCTTCCTTTTTTCGTTATTAGAGTTATGGACTGAATCTGAACCAGTTCGACTATAGAATTGAAATCTTTCCTTCCATTTTAGATGACTCGTTTTTTACAAGTAGCAGGTATAAATTAAAGAGTTATCGGATGGAGGACCAGAAATTATCATGGAGAGAAATAAAGCAATTACCGTGCAGTTCATTTTGGCATCAACAGCATTTTCATTTTTATTCTCATTAAAACAATGAATTACTTGATTAACAAAACAAACACACGTATGCATGTAATGAACTTGTCAACGAACCAATCATTGCATTCGCCGTGTCGATACCAAAGTGTGAACTTTTTATTCTGTTTGGTTCCTAATAAATCATTCAACGCGTTTAATTTTGCATTTGCAAAGCGTGTGGTCCTCTTGACAGGAAAAAATAGACTTGCAACCATTTTTTTTCTCTGTTGGAAGGTTAGGCTTCGTTGTAGTGCTTATGAAATTAAGGGTTATCAGTTGGGAAACTTAAACAAGTCGTGGAGTCGAAATTACAGAGCGCAAGTGAAAAAAAAGTTTCAGTTTTAAAAAAAATATACTCATGACTTTTTTTCAAAAATTTTCTAACTTTCGAGTAATAATTTCACCTGCTGACGTTATCGTAATTACGTGTGTCCTTTCGAAACATGTAATGAATATATGGAAAAGATTTGAATCGTAAAACACAGTCGCAGGTGGCAAGAAACAAACTGAGAGATCAAGCTCGGCTAAGCGGAGAAACGAAGAAATTATTCATTCAATTGGACATCACGTTTCTGAAGTCTGTGTACAGTTTCATTTGAATTATGTTTCTTGGCATTTTGTATTTCTCTGGAGTATTAGCAATCCTCACGCAACTTATTATAGCTCAATACATAAGTTTGAAAGGTTCTTTCGACGATGGCTATAGTGGAGTATTTGTTTACGGCAACTGTTTTCCATTTTTAAACCACAAACTTAATTCAACACCGTTCGAATCCCGTGCCGTAGTTGCTACAGAGGATTGTATAGAGGCATGCACCGTCAGTCATCGATGCCGCTCGATAAATCTCAAAGCTGTTCCTGAAAAAGATAAGAAATTTATATGCCAACTCCTGGAATCAGACAAGTTCAACTCGACTGATTTGTTCGCTGCAAGTTTGGATTTTCATCACTACAGCTTCGTGGTAAGAATTTGTTACTTTATTCTTTATTTATCGTTCAGTGGCAGAAGGCAAAAGGCCACTGACAGACCCGAGGGTTAGATATTTCATTTTGCAGCTAAACAGAAAAGCATCCAAACTAAAAACAAGAGGAAAAAGATTTTCACGTAACTGGTGAAAATCTGGTAACAAACTGTCTGATAAAAAAATAAAGTACGCAGAGAGAGGTTAGAGACACATCGAAATTTTTTTTCCGATCAGTCACGTACTTTTTCGCGTCGCTTCGGCCAAGGTCCCTCAGCGCTACAAAGAAGAAAAGGACTATTCTTTAATACTTAATGCGAGAAGTTGAGCCGGAACAATAGACCATTTCTTGCTACGCTGCACAAGTACTGAGCCTGTCATGATCAAACGCATCCAAAGATTGCCAATTATTTTTTTTCGAAAAATTGTTCGTGGTTCACGATTTTTAGCACCTTACTCTCTTCAGGCATTATCGCTGTAATTTTAAAAAATACCATTTTCTATCGAAAAGTAAATAATAAAATTAACATAATGTACTTGCTCCTAAGAAACCATTAATGTAATACATTTTATCATAATTAACCTCGACTTTCATTTCGTTGTCATTTCGAGTTAATTTAGTTTTGTAATATGTCAACCGTGTACACGCACAATGTTTTGTAGACAATTGCGAAGTTTTTTAGTGGATCGGAAAGTTTTTATAATAAAATCAATTCCTTACTTGAACAAATGAGTCCATCAGAACCGAAACCCTGAGTTCAGTCTAAAGCCCACGATATCCTCTCACTTAAAATAAGGTAGTCTTGATATCGTCATTATCATTGGAATAGAAGAATTCTCAATGTTTTTTGGAATTTTAGCTTTTTTCTTTACTTTTTGAAATATTGAGCTGTTCTCTGCAGTCAGTGAGAAATTGGACATGAAGGAGCTTTAGCAGACTTGTAAACATTACAGATCTCACGCCAACATGCGAGATCCCTACTTTTATTTGCTTTCGTGCGCCTTATTAATTAAACATGAATTTAATTGTTATTCATCGTGTACTCCATCATAAAAACCCAGGTCAGAAGATCCTCACATGTGGAAAAAAGTGGAGGCCTTTGATGAGTTTTCATATGAATGGTTTTTTAAACTTTCTTGCCTTATATTTGTCAGTAATTTCATCATTTGTTATCGAAGACTTTCCAAGTAAAGTAAATTGCTATCATTCATACTCGTTTTAGGCCCCTTGTGAGCGCAATCCATGTAAGAACGGCGGGACCTGCGTACCAGATCACCAGAAGAACGAATATAAGTGCGCATGCGTCAGAAGCACAAAGGGAAGCCATTGCGATAAGTGTAATGTTTTATGCCTTTTCTTGAAGATTATCTCAATGATAGACTACTTTATGTTAGACTGACTTGAATATTTTCCTCTCTAATAAGGCAATATTGAATTAATTGAATGTGCACAATTCCTGATGTAAATATCTGTGGGAACAGCTGATCGTTTTTACTGATTTTTCAGCCAAAAGCAGTCTTATAATGACTGTTGTGGGTAGAATTGACAGACGATTCGGCAACCTAAGCGGAAAATATAATCAGATTCAGAATCCCTCTCTCTCCCTGACATTGAAGCAAAACTGACTTTAAACGAATTTCGTCGTTCAAAAAAATGCAGCAACTGACGTTGTCTAAAATGTACAAAGAACTCTTTCATCCTGAAATCAAGAATTGTTATCAGTGTTAAAAATTTTTTCAGACGTAAGTCTTCTTTTGTTAATCAGTTTACCAGAGTTGTGCCGAGCTGCGCGATGTTGGAGTGACTGAAAGTGGGATATACATGATTCAAGATCAACATAGTGACAGCGGGTTTTACGTTTATTGTGATCAAGAACACATCGAGGGAGGTAAATAAGATAAGCTTAAAAGAAAATTAGGAAAACTGGTTACACTACATTAAGTTTAAGCTTTTAGAAAAATTCGCAAAAAAAGGTAAAGAATGCAAAAAAAGCATTTTTCGTAGTTTGATTTGTTCCGTTTAAGTATTTCTGTTTATTTCAAATTTTATGCAAAACAAACCTTTTCCTTTTCAGTTAAAAATAGTTTGTTACGGTTATAATCCGACTTTTCGTGTCAGGCAAGAGACTCATCACATATTTTTCGGAATTTTAATGCAAACTCGATGAGCATCACTTTCAAAGTCATGTTCGAGCAGTGTAAGATGTTAGCAGTCTAGCATTTATCGCAGAAGGATTACCAACCACGCGTCAAGAGTTGATTCCAGAAGTAGATTTTAAGATTGATTAAGAGAGGCTGAATAGGCGCTCTATCCAATTTACTTCTCGTTCACAATTTGTCAACAAGGGTTACTGGTTGTACTATACCAAACATTAGGTTAGTTTGGGATTTACCAACAGCTTGACCTGGGAAATCAGTCTCTTCTAACTCTTAAAACAATTTCTTTTGATCTATTTCCTTTTCCAAGAATACTACCATCATGTCCCACCCAAGAATTTTCACCTCGGCTTGACACTTGCGAATTCGTAAATACGAAGAAAACCCTAAAAGAAAACGAACGTAGGGTAATTGCCCTAAAGAATTCAAACCATAGTAATATGCTAAGGTTTATATTGTGTGATAAACGTAGTTCTAACTCTGTACATCGAAAATTAAATAATACAAAATGACATATATACCTTAACTTTGCATGCATGCATTTTGCATTCAAAACGATAGTCATATCTCTCTCTCCCATTTTTCATTTTTATTTCTCTCTCTCCTTGCTAATTATTTGTTAAAACCAGGATGGACCATGGTATTCAAAGCGGTGTCTGGTGTAGGATCTGATGTTTATCAATTGTGGTCCGCCTCAAACGGTTTATTCGAAGAGAAAATTGAAGTCCTGAACGTAAACTCGTCGTTCAGAAATCATTACAAGAACCGCCTGGTGAACAGATGGCAAACTGTTGCTCCTAAGGAGGTAGGTTAGACTGTGTCTTGACTAAATGTGTGTGTTGGGGGCGTGGGTTGACCAATGTCATGTAAACTTATATGAACTTTAAAAAAGTTCTTAAATTTCTTATGATTAAGTTCCACAATCACTCTTTTAATACGCCCGTCCATCGGTCGGTCAGTGAGCCAGTGAGCCAATGAGCCAGTCAGCCGGTGAGCCAGTGAGCCAGTGAGCCGGTGAGCCAGTGAGCCAGTGGATCAGTTAGTCAGTCAGTCAGAATGTCACAGTAAGCTGGTCGACTAACAATGGATCGCTCAATTTAATGATTTATTCCATCATTACAAGCATCATTGTGTCATTAATTTCCTTAGGCTCGCGTAGCTCTTTACAAAGATGGAAGTGAACTGTTCTCCATTGTCTTTAACGCCTCAAACAGCAACAATGAAAACTGGTTTACAAAAAATAGAGTCATTTCTTCACCATGGACTGACTTGAAGAGCAATCTGCCTACTTACTTTTCTATTCCTGGGGCCGATGGACGACGATTTTATGTCCATGGGCCCCACCCTGGGTGTAATGGAGACTATGGATGGCTCTCTATTACCCAGCACCACTGCACATACGAGACAAGCCTCCCGAACACATCTTTCATATACAGCAGACTTCAAACCAAAACCAACTGGAATTTTCAGGGTAAGAAAATGCAGTGAAATTGCACCATAACGAACTGAACGTCAGTAGCCATGTAGAACTTAGTAAATATCACGAGGAGCTGAATATAACTCACTGAGTTAAAAACATGCAAGGAAACTAAGTGAAGGGCGGTAAAATTGACGCAAGTGATCAGGTCACTGCTGATTTCAAATTTTAATCTGATTGGTTGATAGGGTGGCACGATTATTCTAAACCAATCATCGAACGATAAGAAGCAAAGCACATACAATCCCAGACTACTTTCGATATTCATTTCAAAATTTCTTTCACAAGCGTCGAATTTCATTCCCCCAAAAGACGCGTGTACAATCAGGGCATTGTATCTCTTCTTTGTTTACCTTTCAATTTCCTTATTCTGTTTTGCTTTAGAAAATGTTGGCGTCGCAGATGTCTTAGTGGTGTATATTCGCTGAGGTAAATTAGAACTTCAAGACACTGTTTTAATTAAAACTCATCAAAACCTCTTGTCAGTGATACGTGAGACATAATTTCTCGTGGATGCTCTTTTCACCATTTCACCCCAAGATCTGTCAAAAATTCACCCCACTGTTAGCGTTACATTTTTATGGTTCTATTCCAGAGAATTTGGTGTTTAGTCTAATCATAAACCTAACTTTTTAGCTTTTGTTATTCTCATGGCTTATCTGCTTTGGACTTCATTGATCACATTAGAAGAAAACATCATCAAACACTCGTGGAATTTAAGGAGCGCAATGATCCTGTTTAATCAGTTTGAAACTTCCATTTGACTGTGTGTCTATTACATTTTTCAGGCGTGACGACTATTGGCCTATCTGACAGAAACGGGAGGTGTGCCTTAACTTTGAGATAAGCTTCCGCTGGTAGCAAATACTGACAAAGATAAAAATCCGTTTCTAATGAAGGAGGAATCCTAAAGGGCTGAATTTCATGATAACCAAAAAGTTGTTTGAGAAACATTTGCGCTGAAGCTACGTAACAAGACTATCAATGCCATATAATTGATAAATGCAAATGAGCTTGTACAAAAAGGCTGAAATAAACTTTTTGATTTTATTTGTCGTAAATTATACGAATGTGAGATATTGTCTCCACATGGTAAATTATATTTGGAGATTTACCGATCGATGGGTTTTTATTTCCATTCAAACATCTACTTTAGGGATAAAAAGAGAATGAATTAACATTTGAGAAAATACCAATAACTCATGCGTCATTCGTCATGATGTTATTTTTTCCATTAGCTTTGGACCCTTGCGTTTTTTTATTCGACATCTTCAATCCCTATCTACATTACAATCTGTTTCTCCCACAATATTTTGCATAAGCATTGTTTTTTTATACTGTGTTAATTAAAACCCACATGTTTCTTTAGATGATTATAAATAAAGTGTGTGCAAAGAATTGGGTGGCAAACAAAATGAAGTGAGGGATTTTACAACAACGAATTGTTACCAAAATCTTTACACAACAGTTGAATGAACCACGAACACCGAAAGATTGTTATGATCTCAAAGTGGTATCAAGATTTTGTTTTAGTCCTATTATGGCCAGTTTTGATATTTGCAACAGATGATTCTTCTGGTAGACTTCAAGACTCTACCGAAGTTTCTGATGGAATCATCTTATTTGCCAATGTGTTTTCATTTCCGCATCACAAGCTCGACTCAAGACCATTTGAAACTCACGCAGTTAACAGTGAGCAAGATTGTATTGAAATTTGTTCTCAGATTTCTCGCTGTCGATCGTTAAATTTCAAACATGGTGCAGAGGAAAGTGATGAATTTGACTGTCATCTTTTAGACAACGACAAATTCAACTCTTCAGCTTTATTCGAGAAAAACCCGGATTTTCATCATTACAGTTTAGCGGTAAGTAGATGAAATCCGAGTATCACTTTTTTTCCATTTATTTTTCTCCGTTTAATTTAATTTTCACCTTTCCTGGATAAAGTTTATCGCTAGAGAAATTCCTCGAGCAATTAAACTTAAAGCAACGCATTCAATTTTTCTTTTTCAAAATTATTTTAATTAACAAAACACAGTTACCACATAGACTTCGAATTTAATAATTCATCTCCTGCAACTGTGCACTCTACTTCCTTACTTCCTTTTATCAATACAGTTGTGGGAAATTTGCAAAAAAACAGGTGTGAATTCACAAAGGAACGGTAAACACAAAGTTAGTATGAGTTTGCGGGTTTTTTTATCTATTTAAAATAATATCGTAAATATTTAGGTGTGGATAACGTAAGTTTCAGGAATGATTTTGAAAATTAAGAAGAGTATTTGTCTTATTTTTAAATCCAATTTCCTTTCCATCTCTGAGGCAGAAACTTTGAGTGGAATGAAAGCTTTTCCAGTTGCTAGATCTACGAAGATAAATAAGGTTTTACCGCTTTCAGAAACTCGTAATTCGGGAATTCATCTAGCTTTAAAGAAAGCTTTTATAGTGGCATTACATTTCCGATGAAACTGAATTCACATTTAACCGCTGTAGACTCATTTACCGGGCTTAATCACTTTCTGCATACATGGTAGGAACTTCGTTTAAAAATTAACTCTTCACGGTTTTTTTATTCTAAAATAATAAATTTTCGAGAAAAATATACTTAAGCTTCTCATTCGGCAACTGATATGAATCCGCAGCTCGGAAAAAATCCTCTTATCGGATGGAAATGGTATTTTTAATTGTCGTAAAGAACTTGAAAAACCTTAGGCAAACTTAAAGGAAATATTGAGCCCTTGGCATCGGGTTAAGATTATGCCTTCAATTATAGGAGTTGTTTTCTATAGAAACAATGTTGTACATAAGGCTTTCAAAAATATCTTGTGAAATGATGACGTCGAAACCCGTTGCCTCAGTAACGTAAGTCAAAGCCATTCTTTTTTAACTTGAAGTTTATCTTTTCCCCAGACTTAAACAACTGTTTCTAAAATAAACTGTGTCATGTCAATCATAAATCCAGCGAATCATAAATTCGACCGCAAGCCAGATTAGATAAAAAGTATAGATATACGAAACAGAAACAGTTCAATAGTCTTTAATGACAAGTGGACGTCGAATAAAGCGAGTAAACTCCAGATTATTGCTCATTGGGTACATAATATATGGATAAATAAATTAAACTTTCGTTTTCGCTATGAGATAAACATCAAATGCAAACAAGGCAAGATATGTTGGTTACCAAAGGAAGTGTTAATTTTAACCGGCGGCACAACAGAGTGCAATTGTCAAATTGAAATAACACGCGGAGTAATGGAGAGTTACACTAATTGTGGCACATAATGCAGTGAGGTTTGGGTTCGAAACCTGGCGGAGTCTTTGTGTTGTGTTCTTGGGCAAGACACTCCACTCTCCCCATGCCTCTCTTCACCCAGGAGTATAAATGGGGACTGGTGAATTGTTAGGGAAGCCTGATGAAATGCTGGTAGGGGGGAACCTTGTGATGGACTGGCATCCCATCCAGAGGAGAGTAGTAATACTCTTAGACACTTCATGCGATGGAAACCGGGATAAGCTCTGGCTTTTTGGACCAAAAGGCTTTTCCACTGATAAATGCTATGCGTTCACTTTACTGTGTTAACCATATCATTTGCACAGTTTTATGAGTGAGCTGTCAGCCCACGATTGAAACAGTGAGGTGAAAAGTGCTTTGAGCTGCCTTAAACTTACGCTGTTATCTAATGAGAGGAGGTGCAAATTCTCTCCCTCTTCAGGCTCCTTGTTATCACAATCCATGCAAGAACGGGGGAAAATGTCGCCCAGTAATCGAAAAGTACGACTTCAATTGTCAGTGTACGGAACATTTTGGAGGAAAAAAATGCGATCTTCGTGAGTATTTCAATTTATTTTTTTCTCAGTTCGTGAGCGGTCGGTATTCTACAAATCCTGCTATCTGATTGGTTCCGATAGCGGGCAGTATTCTCCCCATCCGGCCCACTCACAGCGGGAGGTTCTTTTCGCAACCATTTGTTAGGTTTAGAAAAAAATAAAAATGTTATTTACTTTCCAAGGTCGGTCCGTATTGCGAAAAACTGTGCCCTCTGTCTTGTGTACCGCCCTCGACCTACGGCCTCGGGCGGTATCCAAGACGTCGGGCACAGTTTTTCCCAATACGGACTTCCCGTCTGGTGAATAACATATATTTCTTTTCATTTTTAGTTAAGTTTATCTTGAATGTCTGCCCAAGTTTAACATTTTATAGATCGATTATCCTTGGTGTTTTACCTACAGCGAGAATTTCCCAAGGAAGCAATGTTTGCACATGGTTTTTGGAAAACGGATCGAACAAAAGTGGCATTTATCAAGTTGCAGCAGATGGGACTGACATCATCAGCATCTTTTGTGATCAAACCAATCAAGGAGGAGGTAACAAGGCTAATCGTTTCACCAGTCTACTCTCCAAATGATTTCTGTATCGAACTCAAAACCCTGGCATTACACTCTTACAGAGCTCCTCATATCGCAAAATCTTGGTGTATGAATGAGCTCCAAAATGAAAACGAAAAGGGGAGGCACTAGAGAAGAGGGAAAATTATTTTAAACAATTTATGGCAAAGAAACAGGTCGCGAGTAGTCGGAAATCCGGATTTATAATCCCTATGGTTTGCAAACTGATTCGGTTTGGTTAAATACTACGGTTGCAAGGATGAGCCTGCGTTCGTTGGGTTACGAAGTGAGTTAGTGAGTTTTGAATTGAGAGAAAGTTCTAAGGAAAAATGAAAAGCTAAGCAAAACGCGTTAAATTAAGAAGGAAGCCTTCCATTTTTTTAAGGTACTCAACGGAATAATGGCTTTTACTGCCAACGGTTGGAAGTTTGGCCAATTTACGGCTACGGTTGACCCCAAATGACACAAAATGACACGTTCTAGAAAAAAATTATGGTTTCTTTTTTTTATGACTAATGGTCAAAAATTTGTCATTTTTTAGGTCCAACGGCCTTTTTGGTCGTTTCACGGCAAACGATTAACCCCATTGAGAACCTCTATTTATTTTTACCAGAAGTTTAGAAGTAGCCTAGATTTTATATCCTCGACCTAGTTTCCTGAATCGCGTGGGAGCCATCAAAAGACTCTCCAAATCACTAAGCCTAAACGTATTCCTTGATTCTGATCACTTGATTCAGTTTCGGAGTCAATAATATAAGTTCGCATGAGACATCTCGTAACCCATAAATTTCCAAAATTCCATTTATTTTTCCCACCACCTCCACTTTGGGCCTCGCTACACAACGAAAAAATTACGTGTTGCGTGTTTGCCAACAGGTTGGACTATGGTATTCAAGTTAGTGGCCGGAGTTTCAGCTGATATCTCTCGTCTGTGGTCATCAGGTGACCCTTTAAACGAAAACAACGCAGAAGTATTGAATACCACTTCAACGCCCAAAGAACATTACAAGAACCGCATGATAAGGAACTGGAATACCTTAGGACTAAAGGAGGTGAGAAAATTCCTGAAAATTTTCCGCGGTCATTATGATATGTGATACTGAGTATGATGATATATATGTATTTTTTTCTTTATGATCGCCATCTTCGGTATCACTATCGAACTTATAACCCTCGTTATCACCGCATTCACCGTCCACGTCATTTCTACGGTCATTGTCGTGTTTATCATTATCGCCGTCGTCATCGTTATTGTCATGTTCATCGTCAACGTCATTATCGTAATTATCGTCACCGCTATCGCCATTCTCATCCTCAAAGTTATCGTCGTTTTTCATCGTCATCGTCACTGTCATCGTCGTTGTCATCCTTAGTTATTGTCTTCTTCATCGTCATCGTCAATTTCATCATCATTGTCATCCTCAAAGTTATTGTCCTTTTCATCGTCATCGTCATTCTCGAAGTTATGGTCATCGTCATTTTCATCCTCATTGTCATCGTCATCGTAATTGTCATCCTCAAATTCATTGTCATTGTCATTGTCATCATCGTCATCCTCAAACTTGTCATTTTTCATCGTCATCGTCATTTGTTATTAACATTGTTATTATCATTCTCATTGTCATTTTTATCGTCATTTGTTATTAACATTGTCATTATCATTGTCGTTGTCATTCTTACTGTCATTATCATTATCATTTTCATATTCGTTACCTTCGTCATCAGCACTGTTATCGTCTTGTTCTTCATGGCCATCGTGATCATCACTAACTTAATTTTAGACGGATACAATTAGATTCAGCAGTCACAGATCAAAAGAATGGCTTTTCGACCGCTGTTTCCAGGGCTAATTGAGATTTTGAGTGTTGGTTTATGTGGAGACTGAGAGACAGGAAAAACGCTTAGAGTTAGGACGGGAACCAATAATGATGTTAACCCGCTTTTGACTTACGGTTACGGCAAAAAACCCATACACACTTCGAGGTAAAGGCGGGTGACCTGCTATCACCACTGCGCCATCCTTGCCTCCACTAAAGTGTTAATATCATCTGCAACGTCACTGTCGTTATCATACCGATCACAAAGCGAAGTAACGCGAAACCAAAAATCCTGAAGATTGTACTCTGAATTTATTTCTCGGTGATAACTTCTTTTAAATGTAATTTTAGGTGCGTGTCGTTCTCTACAAAAACGATTCTGAAGCTCTCTTCATTTCGTTCAACGCAACTGGCACTGACAACATAAACTGGTTTGCAAAGAATAGGGTGACTGAGTCGCCATGGACAGACCTGGGAAGTGAATCTCAAAACATTTTCTCCAACATTGATCCACATGCTCACTCAGGCAGAAGTTTTCACATAAACAGGAATTATGGGGGATGCCCTGTAGATGCAGGATGGCTCTTGGTAACAGAGGGAAAACCCTGTGAATACGAAGAAAAGCTTCCACCCATAGTGATCCTTTATAGTAAACTCCATAACTACACGAACTGGAATTTTCAAGGTAAAGAAACAAGTATCGATTTTGAATTGTAAACTTGAGTTAAATGATTCAACGAGACCACACATCAAGACACGTTACTTCTCAATTCGTATGCCAATTGGGGATAGAGGGACGGAACCAATCTGATAGATTACTTTTTACCTGAGGCGTGATATTTTATGGTTATACCACACTTTCTCACGGTTTATCACTATCTCCTTCTCGATATACGCCCACCTAAAGGCTCGGTAAAGAAATAGGTGTTTTTCGTCTTGTCACGAGCGTGAGACGAAGAAAAAATTCTTAGTCCTTATGAGGAAACGAACGTCAGACCTTCGCTCCGATGCTCTACTTTTTTTCCGAGCTCAAAATTTACCGTCTCTCTTTTTCTATCATGACAAACATGACGCTATCGACATTGTTGATCCCAGCTGCAGTAGTATATTACTGTAGAGTCTCTGTGGCTCAGTGGTAGAGCATCGCAGTGCGGAATCGGAAGGTCTGAGGTTCAATTCCTCATGGGGACCCACTCGCTCGTGACAAGACGAAAAACATCTTTCTCTATCAATTTGAATTCTTACAAGTGGGAAAATCTTAGACTGTTGAATGTCTTGTCTTGCGGCCAATGTGGGAAAAAAGAAAATCCAACCTAACAGCAGCGCGATCTAGAATTACTCTTTTTGCTTGACTATGGAGGCAAAAACGAGTGAGTAAATATGTTTTTGAACAATGCAAATTAATTTATGAACTTAACATTTAACATTTCTGTAACATAACCGTAACAGAAAGAAATTAACCTGAAGCTGTAAACCTGGCCAAAGTTTTAAGCATTAGCCGTAAAAATCAATCATCCCATTGAGAACCCCTGTGTTGTACAGCATAAACACTTCGCTGTGATCCATTCAATATCAAGGGAATTTGTAATTCCATGTTTAGACAACTTTCACCAACACAAATTTCCTTTTTTATTTTTTAGAGAATGTTGGCACTGCCGATGTTCTTGTGGTTTTCGTTCGTTGATCCAAAGACTCACCAGGAGATGGACATGAATGACTATAAATTGATGCTCAGATAAGTTTTTGGCACATCAATGCAAGACAACCTTCTTAAATCAACAAACTCTTTCAGAAGCGCTATATAACTGACTCACTGTCTTAGGCAGGACAGCGAACGGGCTGAAATAGCAATTCTTTTATCAAAATTTCATTGAAAGTTATGTACACAGTCAGACATCTGCTTATTGACCCGTTCCCTGGTTTCTACTTACTTATATAATATCCGCTATAAAATGTTCTGTAATAAAAATGTCCCAGTCAATTCAATACCACAATAGCTCTTGTGCGTGGCAAGCAGAATGAGGAATGTGTCACTGGATGCGACCAAGCCAATTTGAACTGAATTTCAATAGGATTCTTTTGTCCATCGAGGTTTACAAATTGCATTTTTATTTGAGGACTGTTTCGCAACGTCAAAAATGTCCTAGAAAATTAGCTTGTGAAGGAGTTAAAGTGTTGGTGTATATTTGTCCGAAAGTGAGTCTCAACATATTAACTTTAAGAAGTTCTTTGGATGCCTTTGTCATTTGGCATTTCTCTTACCATTCCTTTCTTTCTTTTTGTTGTCGTATTCTGCTCTCTACATTGTCTTTGTTATTGCATTTGAATGTTGTAAGTTGTATAAACGTTTAAAACATTGACTCTTAACTTCAGAAAAAAATACCTGGCATGTAGTTATCAAGGCATGCCTTTTATGTCTGAGACTGGGAAGCTCAAAATTGCTAAGAAAACTAGTAAAATAGCACACAAAGCATTAAGAAAAGATAAAGTTTTCTTGAATGTGTAAATTCATATTTCATATTCTTTCACCGGAAAATGCCAAATGGTTGGTAGTTTTCGAAATTAGTTATGGTGCTTCTTGTGTATTTTAGTACCTAAAAATGGAAAAATATTTACCATCCTTTTCGCTTATTGAAAATGGAAAATGTTAACCATCCTTTTATCATTCTTGTTAACCTTGAAATGATATGTTCTCTGCCTACAATGTTTAACTATCATTTACGTAGTAGCTTTAAGAAGGTAGATAGTGTACATACTGTTTATGTTTAGTGTGAGAGCTATTTATTAAAACGCACAAACTTAACAACAAGTCGTTGCAACACTTCCCTTGGACGAAGACATGAGTGCTGACCATTACCCTTCACCTTCACAGATGCGTCACCCTCACTGTTGGAAATCACTCATCTGACAATGAATTATTGATGTTTTCAAAACAATACTATTCTTTAGGAAAAATTGATTAATCAAACGCGCGTAATTAGAGAACATTCTTCACAGACTACCTCCATCCGTAGAGATGAAACTGGATCGTGTCGCCAACACTTACAGTTGCTTCCTCTTCATTTTATGTCCTTTTCTTTTCGCATACAGTGTGGCCGAGTCAACAAATTTCAAGAATTCTTACTCGAATGGATATTTTTTGTTCGGTAATCCGGTGCCTTTTCGTCGCCATCAATTAAACTCTTCATCAAACATATCTTACGAAGTTGAAAGAGAAGAGGAATGTCTTTTAGGATGTATCAACACGTCAAACTGCCAGTCTGTGAATTTCAAGATAGCCGCTGGGAATGATGGAAGGTTTCTCTGTTATTTACTAGACACTGATAAGTTCACCTTCCCGCAATTATTCAATGTGAGCGAAGGTTTTCACCATTACAGCTTCACGGTAAGATCTTTTATAAACAATCTCGTTCTATTATTGGAAACCAAGGGCACATTGTTATCGCAAAAATACTTTTGAAATTATCGGAAGGTTGAAGGTCAAATTGTCGAATTTCTGGTTTATGAATAACTAAATTATGATAAATATGTTCTAGAATTGGTATCATAATTTCTATCTTCCATCACCGCGCTAGGTTATTTGTGATAAACAATCGAGGAGCCACACTGGCGTTGTATTAATATACTTTAAGTGTATACATAGACAAAACCAATTTGTTTTATGTTTTTAACCTGAATACTTCAATTTCTTGAAATGAAAACTGATTAAGGCGTTTTTAGTTTAGAAGTAAAGCTCCATTATTTGTCTTGTTTTCAGTTTCTGTATTGATCACAATTTCTGAAGCCATGACCACTGTCAATCCGTCAGTTTTTATCGCAGTGGCTAAAAAAGGATTCCTAGGCAAAGGCTAATAACACGCGATCGGTTGTTTTTGATTCATTTATATTTTTTTCGGACACTGAAAATTCTGATGCCGTTTTCTTTTTTTTTTGGCACGAAACAGCTGAATTATTGTATACTTGAGTCACGGATATAAAATCAAAATTTTAACTGTCAGCCGTAATAGCCGTTACTCCATTGAAACCCTCCTATCAACTGCTTTTCTCCTTTTCACATTTATCAGCCTAAATGCTTTTTTAATCTTATTCACATTTTTTGTGGCGATTTTGAAAATTAATTTAAAACAAACTTCTTCTTGTTTTGTTGTCTCTCACCAGTCCCCTTGCCAGAACGATCCATGTTTGAACGGAGGGACCTGTTACTCAGTGAGAGGCCAGTATGACTTCAAATGCACCTGCCCGCCGGGTCTACAAGGAAAACTTTGCAACATCTGTAAGTAAGCATTTGAAATATTTTCTTCACTTAACTTGCCGCAATAGATCAAAGTTATGTCCCAGTGAAATACTTTTAGAAATACAATCTAAGAGGACAGTTTGACGGTTTAAAACGGAAAAGATGTAAAATATCAGAGGCTTAATCGAAGGTCAAAAACCACTATCTTATACGAACCGGTCAGATGGTATAACCCGTTTTGCGTCATTCTTTTGACACTTTGTCACTATTTACGCCAAAAGAACCAGAGATCGTAACTTTCAAAGTCGCAAATTGATCAACTAAAATCAAGCAATGGCTGCAAGAAATAAAATTGTTGTTGCCTGAAAAAAAACTCACACAGATGAAGTAGTGACTTCCGACGCCGCTACCACAATTTTTCCCGTCAAAACTATTTTCTCTCTCGTTTCTTTCCTTATGCAAAAAGAATAAAAAATAAAAAAAGCGGAAAAGGATGTTCTGTGCAATATCTTAACATATTCTAAGCCAGATGTCTTCCTTGCCTAACTTTAGGCCATAAAACGTAATGGCGTGCCATATGACCGCTAAACACATGTCGCAAAATTGACAAATTTCTCTGTAAATTTGGTCGTCACGACCTATTTTTCTAATCGCCGGAAGCACGGATGAAGGAGACTTCCTAACGGCAATTATATCAGCCTAAAACACTTTAATCTTATTCTCTGGTGATGTATTCAGGATCACACCCCTACTTTCATTTATAAATTTGCTTGTGGCGTTTGCATGCACCGTACTGTCATTGAATTCTATTTCATAGCATATCAAAGCTGTATCGAATTACTCAACGCTGGATATATTCTGAGTGGAGTTTACGTCATCAAGCCCAGCCAGTCAGAAGGGTTGATAAGTGTCTACTGTGACCAGTTCAGTAGAGGAGGAGGTAATGAATTCATTATTATTTATATAGAGAAATTTTCAATTGAGTGTCGAAAGCAGTGTGGGATTACAGTTGTTTTGCTTTTCTTCGCTCTGTAATTGGTCCGGAAACTTGCACCACTCTTTGAACCAATCAAGTGCAAAACTAAATCCAATCATGACTTTGCCCCCCGCGTTTTCCAGCACTTTACACAGTTTGGTTGTTTTTAACTTGGGTTCTCATTGGCTCCTAATGATATTTTCCTTTTCTTTCTGATTGGCTGCAGTGATAACTTTGGTTTGGTTTTACGGCACACGATCGAAATGCGTTCACTTACCTAAACGTCTGCCATCTTAAACGTGGACTTTTGAGGCCCTACTCGCGCTAATGAGTTTTCATTCAAAAATACTTTAAGGTGTGATGGGGTGGTATTCCTGAGACGAAAGCTTCATAACGTAATGCGCATGTATTCGACCTTATTGACAGAAAACATCACAATCCACATAGGAAATGGATTCATCGTGAGACAAACTGTCGAAAACGTGAAAAGGCCGTACCCCGTTTCCTTATAAACTCACGATTTATTCGCTTGATTCAACAATTTTGTCCCTATGCTTCGGTTGACTCCCACTCACAACTCTCGGCTTGTTCGAAGGAAACACACTGAAGGTCCCGTTGTAAGCACATGGAACAGTACCATACATGGGACGATAAAACACGTGCCGCATACATGTTTGCCAAGTTATGTATAAATAAACGAAATCCCTTCTAAATGTCAATGAGAATAATTAACGTATCGCACAGCTTCTAACAAAACGATAATACTTAATATACGACTGCATTAACAGCTATCACTTATCGTAACCTTTTTTACCTTATTTACCTCTTGTCGATGACAAACCATCCTCTATCTTACAGGTTGGACGATGGTTTTTAAACTGGTGTCCGGCGTTTCCACTATTCCTCACCAGCTATGGACATCGTCGAGTGTTTTGAACGAAGACAAACCAGAAGCACTGACCACCAATTCAGATTTCAAAGCTCATTACAAGAACCGCATGGTGACGAACTGGCAGACTGTGAACCCTACCGAGGTAGACTTGTAATTTAATGATAATTATTATTAATTTAAATTAAAGGCTCGGAGTAGCGACATAGTTATGAATGAAATTCGCGTTGCAGAGATGAGGTAATCTACACAGATGTTTTAGGCTTTCATGTCTTTTGAAACGATGTTAGTCATGGGACAGTGGCGAGGGGAAATCAAGCATCGTTGTCACTGAAAGCTCGAGTCCTGCAAACAAGAGCAACTAGTGCAGCTTCCACTCCAGTTCAGCTTTAGTATAACGCAACTTGAATTATCCTTGCTACTCTCCCATAGATATGACTACATTACACGGACCTCTGGGAGTGAGGCACTTTCTCCGAAGAGGTCTACGTGGTTAATTCTCCAATTTCGTGGGATGTTCCTTCATTTTTTGTTTCCTTTATGGATTCATTTCCTTTTTTCTCGCTTCCAGGCACGAGTGGCGCTGTACACAGAAGGGAAAGAAGATCTTTCTATTGTCTTCAATTCTACAAGCTCTAACAACGTCAATTGGTTCTCAGAAACTCGCGTCACTGACTCTCCCTGGACAGATCTCAATACTGAACCGCTTCTTTTCTTCTCAATCGAAGGCTGCTGTACTAAAAGAGACTTCTATATCGTCAGGAACCATGGAGGCTGTTCTGAAGATGCAGGTTGGCTCGCCACAGCTTCCGCAAATTGTGACTGGGAGGGAAAACATCCGGAATCAACCACATTGTACAGTAAACTGACGACCTATACTTCCTTCAAACGCACAGGTAAGGGAAAATGAAGGAAGCTGGTAACTGTCAATTTACCGCTTGAAAACATCCACTTTGAAATCCCTGGTGACCCTTGCAATCTTAGCGGCTCTCACAGGTGCAGTTGATTCACGAAGCACACAATTTTTACTCTAAATCAGTCGCATCTTTTTCACAACCAATGAGAAAGATTTGCTTAAAAACAACAACCACCCAGA